TGCTAATGCAACGAACTGTCTGAGTCTTATGATTCGAAGTACCGTGTAACTAATTTATCAGTTGAGAAATATTAATTCTTCTAAAACTATGCAACAAATAATAAATTTGTTAAAAATTTAATAATAATATGTTGATCTACTTTTAATTTTTGTTAAAATAAAACATAGCAATTAATACAAATATCATTATATTACACATAACAAATATTATAAATTAGTATATTTTTATTCAAATTTATTGAAAATCATTGAAAAAAATGCCTTAGTGCAGAAGAAATAAAATTATATTATGCACAGCATTTTGCTAGCAGCACTTCTGGAATGATAATAGCGTCATTTAAAATGTTCGCGTAATTAACGAAGCTAAAAACTTTTAACCCTTAATTACGTAGACTATTGTGCTCCGTGGAGTTCTTTCTCCCAGATGCAATGAAAATATGAATGCCCTCTACTGAAAAAAATGTCCTACAGTCTACATTTTATATAATGTGTACCTTTTATGTGTGAAAGTTTTTTATATCACGTAATACATCTCAGTTGCAAATAAATCGTAAGCGAAAATATTATAAATTAAATTCTTGAAAATATAGTTTAATGTAATAAAACATAAATAAATAGTATAGTCAAAATTAATTATCTTATTGAATTAATTAAGCGTATATAAGTACACTTTAGGTCATTAATAATTTATATTAATTCAAAAAACTATACTGATATTAATTCAAAGAATTATAATTTAATATAAGTGATTCAAAGAACTATAATTTAATATCGCCATTGCGTGTGTTTGAGTGTGATGTAGAGTGGTATGATAAAAGCATTGAGATATATATATATATATTCTATAATTAGCTGAGTGTGTAAAAACAATTGTAAAAAAATATATATATATATATATAGGTACATACTTAGTATATATAGATACATATACTTCGATTTGAATATTTTTACCATAAAACTATTCTCTTTAATAAATTTTCGAGCTGTTTTATTTATTTAAAAAGACATTTCTTTTATTATTATTACATTAATCTCAATTTAATATATAGACATTATATAAAGCCATTTTGGAATGTGAAATGTTGCAATTTTGCCGAACAATTCCAAAAATAATAAAGTATAGCATCGCAAATAATGAAATAAATTGAACAAATTTACTCACTAATTTACTCCGTTGCAATCATCTGTTTCCTCGGTCATTTTTATCTGAGGCAATATAGTTTCAAGTCATGATGCAGATAGAAATTACATCTAATTGCATCATGTACCACAGAATCCTCTTGGCGTATGTCAAAGCGCTTAAGATTGATTATCTGTAATTATATAATATGTAATTAAGACTTTATATACATATATATGTATGGTTATAAATAATAGAAAAATAATACGATATTATTTTTTTCTATTATTTATAGACATACATTTTTATATTTTAAACAATATTATTTTTTAGATATAATAAACGCAAAATTCATATATAAATTATATTATTTATATATATTATTATATACTGTTAATAAAAAATTTGTGCTATCAAGTTTAATAAAGTAGATTATTACTACAGGTTTATTGCAAAAATTATCCCGATGGACATCGATAATCTCGACATGATTTGAGATCGAATCATACCATAGTGCAATCGAGAAAATGAGATTAATAATGGACGCACTAATTAATACCGTAACGACAGTTCACGTTATCGCTTTGCTGTTCATTTTCGACTAATAACATCGGATCATTTGATTACGAATCGACACGATTGTATTTCACACATCTACTCGAATATCACGTGTCAATGAGTAATTAGTATCACTTACCTTAACTGATTCACTCTGGCGGCCGATCGTTTATTCACTCACTATACTCGATGTTTCGTGTGCGACGTGAATTATGCGAAAATGCGATCAATCGCGATTATGCGTGACAAATTAATGTACCACTACAGCTGTACTAGACATCGGTAACAAGTATCACACTTTCGTTGTCAATTCGCATGTAAAATGCATTTTTGTCGAGTGGAAAAAAAGCGCGCGCAACGAGATTTAGTGATAGCCCGCAGCGAAAGCGAGAATATATCTGCGCATGCGTGGATCGCATGTTTTCGATGATTTTCTGCGTCGCGAGACGCCGATACTTTCGATAAACGACAATGATTATTATGATTTCCTTTAATCAATTTACCGGAAATGTTGTTCGTCGACTATTCTCATCGTGCTTCGCGACATAAATCACACGATAGTTCTGAGATAAATGATGAGCATTGCATCCGAGAATCACGCGTGAGAGAATCGCCGATTCACGATCACAAGAGCAGGATTAATCATGTTCACCCAGATTAATTAACACACTACACATAACGATGCCCAGCTTCGCATGCGACATCTTGGACACCGATTTATACGCGATATGTAATTCTTTAATCGAGTAAAAAGCGCGAAAAACGCGGGACGATTTCGCAGCGTCCGTTACGCGGCGCGAGGACACACGAAATATGGCGTACGGGATGTGCGCATGCGCGGATCGCACGCGACTCGCGACAATTTGGCGCGTCGCGCGAAAAACGAATTTCGGACAAATAATGGGCGTAATATGAGTACGGCAGTAATTAATTATTATTATTTATTTCTCAATAATGTTTACCCGTTTGTTATTTTCAGCGTATTTTTCACGCGATGTGAATCATGTGATTAATTTTAATTCGATAATTAGATATTGATATGTGCAAGAATCATTCGCAAACGAATAATAAATTGGCGAGAATGCAGTTAATTGTGTTATCTAATTAACACAATGCTAGCATCGTATGCGGTACTTCAGATATAGATTTATGTACAATAATTTCTCCGAGTAAAATATACTATATTTTATAGTATATTTATATACTATATTTTGTATCACAAAATACAATTTCAATCAATTTAAGATTACATTTTCAAGATAATTTACTAAATAATTATATTGATTAAATGACACAAATACAACGCAAATTTTGAAGTTATTAAATAAAAACAGAAATTTGAAATAAAAAGATAGAATATTCATCTTCATTTATAATTATTATTTATATTTTCAACATAAATTTTTCTTTCTATTAAATTTTTCAAACTAAAATAAGAATCAAATTATATAATTCTATTTCCTTGAATGTTCTTGAATTGAATTTTTTTGTGTGGGCTACAAATAGCGCATATAATAATTAAGAATTAATCGAAAAGTGAATGAAACGTTTATTGAATATTTGAATAGTTTATTAGAGAGGGAGCTTTATGTATGAGAGATAGAGAACTATTCGAAACAATATAGTATATACATACGTACATACATAGTAAAAATGTGCATATAGCAAAAAGCTCATAGAAGCGGCATCATGTTTAGTATATGATCATGCCTCCTATTGTCTTTACGTTTGGCTGAGAAACGCCCATTCAACGGCTGTTTATATGGATGAGTCCATAACGCTTACGCTTCCATGTTATTTCGGTAAATACTACCCATGGCATCCCATTGTTTCGAGCGTGGAATATTTATGTAAAACGAGCTGTTGTCAGGAGAGTACCATTCTATTACTTAGGATAGACGTAGTATATTACGTTATCTTATATCGTGTCTCTTTGTACATCCTATTATTATTTTATCGATTATATATATGTGCGTCATATTATGGTGCGTAAAATTCTTTCCTTAAGTAATTCGAATGCAGAGAATTGCCGTTATAAACTTAAATCTTCCTTTTTCCAGACAAAAAGAAAGAAAATTTATTATATCTATATTTTTTATATTAAACTATAAGAGGAAATTATATATAATGTATATGATGAGAGAGAGAATAATAACTATTAAATCAAATTAATTTTCTTAATAATACAGTTTTGTTTTAGCAAACAACAACGTGTTCATTTTTAATTTATCAGCTCCAAATAATGTCTGTCGATTTCATCCGTTATTACGGTTCATCAAACAATTCACTATTTATAAGTTACTTGTCCTTTAAGAGGACCTTTTAATAATTTAATAATTTAATAATTTAATAAATGGAGAGTTTAAGGAATTCTTGATGGAATTTCTGAGCAGATTTCTATTACATTTCATATTTGCAAGATTGCCTAAAATAGACGAGACTATGGCCATTATCATCAAGAATATATTTTGTAAGACCATCGCAACAAAAACTATAGAAAACGAAATAATAAGACTCAAACATGTATTACATTTTATGAGATCTATATTATCACATTTCCTTGAAAATTATAACTTTCAATTTTCCTGAAGGCAAATTGAATCATCGTAAATATATATTTAAGCTGTAGATATCTCTTTCTATCGTACATTTTATTTTGAAGCTTTATAAGAGAAATAAATAATTTAGACACAATAATTTACATACTATATTCTATTGTATATGTTTCTTCAATTTTTAAAGAGACTTTTACTATTTTTATAAATACCATTTTGTCATAACATTATAAAACATAAATATGGAAATTTTATATTTTTATTTAAAAAAATATTTAGGTATCTATTCATATTAAATCTAAATATAAATATTTGATAAAATATCAAATAATTTAGAAAATAAATTAATTTATTCATTATTCATATGTTGCGTAAAAATTCAAATATGTCACTTTGATAAAGTAGTGGATTTTATTTCCGTGAAAGCTGATTTTGATTAAAAATGTATTTTCCAACGATTATTTATCATATGTTCAATAACCAAAAAATTAAAGTGCAGCAAAAAGTTAATAATTTTTGAGTTCGCTTTAAAGAAACCGAATCAAGCCGAATGTTCTACCTATCGAGTCAGTTTGAGACTCGTAAGAGTAGGTGGGCCTGACATGCGATCGGTCCCAGAACCGAATCACCGGTCGGCTGGTGCCGGCTGCGAGTAGGAAGAGAGGGACGCCGTGTAACAGTCAGGACCCTTGGGGCCCCTCTAGCCACTTGAGAGGGGAGAACAGGGGGCAAAGGCACATTCCAAGGTAGAACGGCTGCCAGTGAAGGTGGAAGGCTCCAACAGTCTCTCACGAACTTCTGCTCCGCGTCTCTTCTCCGTTTGTGAACATCGCGAAAGTCATACTAGTGCGTAAATTGCATCGAGATTTTGGAGTTTCGTTAAAGTTACCAGAGAAGTTCGTAACTTTATTTCCTTGGTCGAGATCGCATTTTTGGAGTGGAATTCTGGAAGTGTATAAATCGTGAGAATTTTATCAGCTAAAAATAAGAAGAGAAATTATCTGCAGTTTGTTCGTGTGTTTTATTATGTTACAATGATTATTATCATGACATCATGATATGTGTTGCGAAAATAATATATGCTTTTACAATGACCTCGACAGTTTGAGTTGTTCAAGAATCCAAGGATTTATTGCGAACTGCAAACCTTAATATTATACTATATTTAACAGATGGCTTTGTGCACAAATTGCTAAGTTAAAATCAGTTTTAAATTATTTAAATTGTTTAATGATTTTATCTCGCTTTTGATGATGATTAGCAGTCCATGACGATTTATAGTATCAACGATTAATCTTCTGTTTGTCGCATCCGTTAAGACTTCGTTGTGAACTTTCAAGAATACAATCGACTAATCGTGTAATCTTATAGACGGAAGAATTTTCGAGACTTTTGCATTTTATTCCCCTGGCTTGCTGCCTCTCGTGCCCTTCGCTGTAGGATCGCCTGGGCTCTTACAATGCTTCAAGGAACACCCCAACCTCATTAGGCGTCGCGTCGATTAACAGTCAGTGAAGCAAGAAGAAAACGACAGGAGCACGCATTTCACGAAAATGCGCCGTTTCAGGGCCGCAATAAGTTATTTCCGAGGGATAACGAGAAACGAGGTTCGTCGGTTCATCATATATCGAATCTCTGCATCGTGTGCAGATCGCCCAGCACGCGGAAGACACAACGCTGTGGGACTACAGTAGTGATCAAGAGGATTCAGCAATCCAAGAACTAACTCACAGGTGAGTTCTGCCGTTGTAGATCAATTCGATCGCTTACTATAGATTAAGATAGACTGTAACATGAGCGCATAACCGTGCGATTTCGCAACACGCGTGCGAAACATGGGGCCTGTATACCGCCTATGAAAAGGTCGCCACAGTTCTTCTCACGGTGTTGCAAGAGCGCCATGGAAGACCGACCTGGCTTCTTAAGTGCGGAGGAATTTGCACTGAAAAAACACATTAAAGTGACTGGATCTTTTGAAATTTTATTTGAAACATATTTATATTTTATATTTTAATAAATTGCATAATATCTCTGGAGATTAATTCGCACGAATTATTAATTATATAAAAGAAATGGAATAATTATATTTTCAAACACTTCTACTCGACGCACAAATTTTGACTTGATTTAATTGCATTGGATCTATATGATTAGAGAGGAAGGTTGGGTTGTTCGTGTTGGGAAAGTGTTTCCTGCAAAAGCGCACAAGCGATTTTGCAGACTAGTAACAGCGACGAATATCTTCAAACGAGCACTTTGCTCGATAAGCGACATTAAATCCACGTGCCGTGAAGACATTTCCATTCTTGCCGACTACACCGGATCGTCAAACGACAGAAAAAGCTAGCGGCGACTGAGCACATGCCATCAGCATCGAACTTGACCGTGGCCTTCGGAGTCTTTGCGCTGGTATAACGAGATACGAGGAATGTGAGCGGCCGGGAGTCACTGGTCGTACTTACAAAGACTACTTCGGACTGGTTATAGCAGCTAGATGCCCGGTATCTCGAATGGTGGGCCTGACGTGATGCCGGAGCGTAATCGGTCTTGCAAGATAAAATTCTTCGTGGATCTCATATCTCTCAAAGGAACCTTTTTGATATGAGGAGACAATACGCGTGAAATGAAATTAATTTAGGCATCTCGTATATCGACATTAGAATAATTTCCTACATGTTATAATAGACAAATGAAAAAAAAGGTATAAATTAATTAATGAATATAATTATTTAATTTTAATTAATATACATATATTTTTTATCTAAAATTTGGAATATTTTTTACATATATTTAATAATAAGCATTTTAAATAATATTTATTTAATTTAGCTCATAATACAATAATTCTTTCATTATAATGAGAGAAAAGAGACAGAGAAAGAGAGATACATAATTTTATGCAATAGTATACTCTATATATATTTACCTGAATCATAATCTATTATCTTTGTGCTTAGTAAACTTACGATTGAAATCTCTTAACGAGATAAACGCATAATAAACCGCTTCAGCGCGTTCTTGAAGTCTACAATTATGATCGATTATGAAAGGCTACTTTTATTTTCAAAGAACTACAAAAGAGGAGAAGTAAGACTCCGTTCTTCCAGAAGATTTATTCAAGTTCGCGGGTGGCTGTCAGAAAAATTTTAATAACGAACAGTAACGAAGTTTTCATATTATCCAAAACTGGGATAATACTTTGTGATTTTGTTTATAATTTAAAGCTTCATTAATACTTCGTTTCGTCTAAATTGATTGCTAATATTAATCTCTTATATTGTTTGATTATAAGCTTATCTTTTTAAAATTAAAGTGTATCGAGATCAAATATAAAAATTAAAGATTTATCCCAATAATAAAGTAATAAATATTTAATATAAAATTTATTAATTTCATCACATTCTTTAAGCATGTTTGAAATCATCTGTATTTGAAGATTTGCTACAAGAAATCTTTTTAAAACAATACCTTTTACAATTAAAACAATGTTTTTCTAATGCATTTCTTTTCGTTATATCGATTAAAGCATGTCAAGTAAGGAATACCATTTAATCAATAATTTATTTTTCATCCAGTTTCAAATGGATACAGTTCATTACTGTCATACATGTAATAGCTAGAAACAAGAATTGACAGCAATAGCGTTGACATATCCACCGTCTAGATCCGGATCGATATGTCGAACGATTTCCAACTGCGCGATGACCGTATATCGCGATGAGAGGTTGTTCGTTTTGATGTCCCGCCTCGTTGCACTTGATAAATCGCTCCATATTACAAAACAGCAGGAGTCATCGCGAGTGATGTATAAAAAAGTAAAAACGGAAATCTATCTAACGAGTAATTTCTTTCACATCTTTTCTTATTTATTATATGACCGTGACCGATATAATTTCTTCGTTAATATTCTAAAAACAAAATAAATATTTTATCAAGTTAATTAATCCTTAGAATAAATAAAAATACCAGAAGTTATTAATTAATTAAAGAGATCGTAACAGAATTTGCTTTCAATTAATTATATAGAATTAAGATTAACTGTTAAATAAAATGAATGTATATATATATATATATATATATATATATATATATAAATATAAATAAATAGATTCTTTCAAGAAATATCTCATACCTTGGAGGAAGAGAATCATTATTAGCATTTTACTTGAAAATTGCAATAATATTTAAACTTATGAATAAATGTTTGTAGGGACAATTGTCTCCTACTCCGCCCGTGTTACATACACACGCACATTTTCCACACATGTCCGAAATCCTACCAATTTTCTAATTCCCGCATGCATGCATCCGCTTTCACCTCAATAGAATTTACAACCCTTGCATGTTTCTCAGCCGTCCTCCGAGTCTATAGATTGCCATGTAACATTTGGCAAACACATGGTTTTTCCTTATGCAATTCATCCCTTGTAAAATGTCTCCTATTATAAAAAACCTTTCTCGGTTCATGCATGCGGAATCCAGATTTCCTGAGAGTGCAGTAAGTTCCCGGCTTGCACAGAGTTCACATCACCCGATTGAACACGATACTACTGACTCGCTCGCGTACAGACACATCACGCTCACATCAGATATACTCATGTAACAATTGTATTATAAAAGAAACAAATACAGAATTATTATTTATTGCAACGTAGAGTCTTAGTTGTGACATACCCCACATGTTTATTAAAATAATGCAAATTTACACTTTACGAGTCTAATTTGTATATTTTTTTTATGCATATTATTCCAGATATTAAAATGTCTCAACCGGAATTGATCAGTGATCTAGATGTAGCTGAGAATCCGCAGCATCCTTGTCAGTGCTCCGCGATGGATCCTGTAAGAGACAGAACGGAAAGACACGTGGGAAGCACCAGGATCTCCAATAATCAAGATTTTCCGCGAAGTCTGGAAACCTTACAAAGTGCTTTCGAGCCGATACGAAGATTGGAGAGTCCTCATCAAGATAATTCGCAACAGATCAGCCTGGATAACGCCAGGAACATCGATCTCCTAGATCGCCAAGCGAGCATATCGCCTAATCCAAGATCCATGAACAATCAGAACTCGATATTATTGCTTCACGGGCATAATCTGTCTTGTAGTCCGCGTAACTTGGATCTATCGCGCAATCTCGCATTCGAGGCGGCTCGAAGGGTCCAGGAGACCTCGAGCCTACAGGACAATCAACACAGTTTGACCTCGAGTCCTAGTCCTTTACTGGAGGCCGAATCGAATCTGCTCGAGACGAGCAGTAAGGAATTGGAAGATCATAATAGCTTGTCACCGCAAAAGCAAAACTCTAGCAAAGACAAGCTGAAGAATGTTCAACAAGTATTGAATCCGTATCAACATCATCATGAACCGGCGGCGGTGGATCGTAGCGTTCACGGACACTTCCACGGCGATATACACGGTCACATTCACAAGCACACCGATAACTTCAGAAGCAATTCGAATCTCGATGCCGGCGAGAGCTTGATGGGCTTTCAGCAGCACCAGCGACCACACGCGCATCATCATCATGGCAATACAAAGACGAATGTCACTCATCATCACGGGTCCGGTGCGCATCACGCACACTCGCAAGGAATGACCGGACATCATCACGGAAATCTGGTGTCTAATCTCACCAGCCATATCCACGGAACATCTGGTTCACTAAGCGCGTCCGGTTCGTATCTTCTTCGCGATCATGTTAATTATTATGCTCGTAAAATAAATGGAATGTCGCATTATCGTTACAGGTTCCGGTTCGATGAATCAAACCAGCTCCACCACCTCCACTGGACACCATCATCCAACGTCGATGCCTATCACGGCTACGATAAATCACGTAAACTCGCCACGCAGTCATCAACGACTCGGCGCCGGCCATGGCTTGACCCATCACTCGAATCCTACCTTTCCCGGCGATCATCACGGTGTTTCCAGTGCTTTGAGCGGTGCGTCGTCTAATTCGAGTATGATGAACCACGGCGGCTCGCCTACGGTGCATCGGCACGTGGTCAACGTCAACAACAGCCTGTCGACGACACCTCTGGGCGGTCACCATCGCGGCAGTTCGTCGGGTAGTCTGACCGGTCATTCCAGCGTAAATCACCATCACATCAGCTCCGGGATATCATGCGAATCCTCATCGTCGAACGCCAATACCAGGACTCACAGCAGGTTGGACCACGTTCACGATCATCATCATCACCTGCAACCTGTGCATCAACTGCACACGAGTCATTCCGATGCCAGGCCGAGAGATCGGGCGCCTTCGAGCTTGGATCACCATGGGCATCTTCATGGACACGTGCACAATCATGGGCATCCACACGGACAGAATGATACCAAAAATGCGTCTCTCATAGGCGTCGATGCCATTCAGGTATGCAAATCTACAATAAATTATCATTTACTCTATCTTATTCATAGTGAATCGTAAAAAATCGTGACAACTTTCTTGTATAATTATTTTGCATAAAACTTGAATAATATGGAACAGATACGATAACAAGAGCTAATGAAATTTTAAATCTTCTTTTTCTCCTCGCTCTCCTCGTCCATACAGTGACAAAAGAAAAGGAATTATTTCGAGAAATTAATTAGATCTCGCACGATTGTACTGTCATAAATTTTCCATGCGCTTCGCCAGATGAGGAGAATGACTTATGCCATCGTTCCGCCCAGCGGTTCGTATATTCCTAGCCGCGTTTTTGCCGCCACATCTCAGAAAATACATGTTCGTGAATCGCCATATCTCTATCCGCGCACGCTTGAGTTACGTTCTCCGTGTCTCGGCCACACGAGAAGCTATAAATCGTATACTAAGCAACGGTTCTGCCCTTAGAGTTTATATCAGGAAATATTTTCAGCCGTGGACCAAATGCAGCGCGCACACGGATGATTAATGATAGGTGCCCGTTGCAGGAATGTTCGAATTTCGTCGCGAGTACGACGAAAAGTATTTCATCGGGCGTCCTTCGCCCGTAAGTGTTGATATCGAGTGCTTATCTATAATTAACAATTAAAATTTATCTAAATCCATATAATACAGCATATTTTATTTGAATACAATGATTGTGAAGAAGAAGCATATTTAACGATGAGAAAAAAACTTCTAAATCACATAACATTAATAATAACACAAGAAATATATTTTTATTGCGATTTCAATTATTATGATACTATAATTAATACTCATCAATGATTCGTTAAACTATAATAATTTCGACTTATATCAATTCGCAAGCAAATTTCTATTCCAGAAAAAATAACAGAATTAAAAATTTAAAATAATATTGTCGCTTGTTAAATATCATTGATTAGACAATATAAAAGAGTTTTTTAAATTAAAATTTATTATATCGTTAAACGATGAGCGCATTATTTTAACTTGAGTTAACGTAAGTACTTTGATGTTTCAGGTTTCAGCCCCTACGAAGAACAAGTGTCAATGCCACGTGGTGCAGCAACCCGGAGGAAACAACAGAGGAACAGAGGGTGAGAGTGATGCAGGCATTGAGGTGGCATCGAGAACGCATCAACCCCCTGCCCTTCCACCACGTCCACCACCGAGACCAACGAGACGTTACGAGACAGCTACTGCCAATCAATGTAAGTAATTTATTTCTATGCGTGTAATATTTAAATAACTAATTTTTACTTAAGACAATAATTTAGACACATATATATCTCGAAATTTATTTATAGTTAATTATTAAACGTTATATTGTATTTAATTTTATTATCGCAAGATGTATTTTTTGCGAATATTATAATATTATAATCGCGTATATAGAAAAAAATGTATCAAGTTAATAATATAAAACGTTAATAATATAAAACGAAGTTATGCATCTTCTATGGACGCGATATTTCCCGTCCATGAGTTGCACACTGGACGTCGATACGAATGGTCGACTCGCGAGATGAATGACGTTAACACTCCATTCCATATCGGTGACTTAATTTCCATTCGAGATTGAAATGTCAGACAGAGTCGTTGAAATGTCGGACACAGCGATGTTCTCTGAAAATTACCCGAGAGATCTCGGGACGGATGGTGCAGCTCCATCCATGTGCCGGATTTGTTTTTCAACCGTGACTATCGTGCACTATCAGCCGGATGAAGAGGAGGCGCACGACGTTTGCGTCTTATCAGTCGCGGACATCGGTTATCGACGACTACATGTAACTGCAGTTCCTATTCCGCTTTTACGAAGGGTGCATTCCCACGAAATTTCAACCCCCGACCGCGACGGGTCGCTCGAATCATCCGGGGGTATATCGACCAGTCGATGCTTGCACCAACTGAGAGTAGGACCCTCCTGTCGAGGGTTGCGAGCGACTTGAGAGCGGGCCGACGATACTACAAATATCGCGCTATAAACGTGACATTTTCTTTTTACTCGCTATACGTGCTCGATAAAATTTCCCTGTTAACGTGGAGAAAAGACTGGATCATATCCCGGATCTCGTGGATTCGAGCACCAATGGAAGCCGCCACCTGTGGGACATATCACAACGTGTCCGCCACCGACGATTGTGAATCCTCTCGAGTACGCGATCGTCGATACGAGAGTGGATTTTCAGATCTCGAAAGAAAATAGACAGTGAAGATCGATATTGGATTTTTATATTTTTCGAATTGAAGCTTGGCATCAAATAACCACTGATCGAGAACAGAAGCCAATGTTAGCGATGACTTCCGATGACGATTATTGATGGTGAAAGTAGGTTGTCCCGGAAATGCACGATGAACAAGTGACCTTGGCGAGCTTTCATAACACGTGACCTGTGTAAAATATTGCAGACATGTGTGATTTAATGACGGCAACAGGGTATTTATTATATCGAATAATGCTGTTATAAACTGAACGCATAATGAATCATTTTATAGCATAAATACGATTTTCTTTCAATTCTTTCAATTCTTGTTTAATTGCAGAATTGCAAAATATGCAATGCACAATTTTATCAATATATAATTAAAAAAAGAATTTTGAGTATTAGAGGATTTAAATTAAAAAAGAATAAAGTAAGTAATCAAACAATTTTCATACAAATATAATAATGATGTGACGATTGTATTTGTATTTGTAAACTTCAAGAATTAAAATTACACTACGAAATAATATATAAATAATATGAATATCATCAATTAAAGCAATTTAAAAAATTGTGACGATATAAAAAATTCTTTCCAAAATAATAATAGATAACGTACGATTATTGAATTTCGATGCAGATAGTTCTGAACAGTTCGCGTATTGGTATAGTTTACTCTCACATTTTTACGATGTTACCTGTTTAAAGAATCAATTAAGTGAAATTAGATTTAGCCAATTTATCCAATTGTCATCAAAACTGTTCGATAGCAAGATAAATGCCGAAAGAATGGATTGATTAAGAAGAATCAACAGCTAAATGATAAAATCGCCGGAATGAACCCGTGGACCCGTTACTGAAGATCGTCGCGAGCGGGTGCGAGACGACGCGAGGAAGATGGATGGCTATCCGGTGCTCCAGATAGTGCGTTGCCGCCTCGGGACGGAAATGGAGATGGACAGCCAGGGCTATCCTTTCCCGATGGCGACGCACTCGCACTCGCATTTGCCACATCCGACGAATCACGCGCACTTCCCGAGGCCGCATTATCCGCATCCCTGTGGTACGCCGAGAGACCCCTTTCGCTTATCAGCATCCCCTTTTTGCGCTCCCTTTGTGCACTCGTTATTAATAGACACTGCGTCTTGAGGCAAGGTCAAAGGTTGCGACGCCTCGCTCCATCAATGCGTGCATTCTGCGCGTTGCATTTTTACCGCATTTTAATTTAAGATTGAAAATTGTTTCGTTCAAATCATTCCCTGTAATTGTGCTCCAATGCTAGAAAGAGAACAAATGTAAAATTGTTCCTCGTGTATAATTTCTGAATTGCTTATTTGGTTTATCGTAGAGATTGCGATAGAATGATATTTTTTGAGAACCCCTGCTACATAATGTCGAGCTCCATTTCTATCTATATTTCTTTAGGCAATCACATCGCGTCGTGAATTCTCTGAAACGACTATTGTTCTGGGACTGGTCTATGTTACTCTAGCTCGAATATTATCAGGGCAAAAATTGTTCTCGACATATTGACTATCTATGTACGCCTATGAGAAATATTCTTAGCTGCGCGCTTCAAAATAGATGGTCCAATCTCGTGAGATCAGATTGCACGGTTATATGATGTGGATTTATATATAATATAGAAGATTTCTCTTTTGTTATATCCGTATTTGAACTACGAGAAAGGTTTCGAGTAATTTCCGACATTTGTTTTTATTAGCGAGGAGTAAAATATTTGTGATCCTTTTTTGCGATGAAATCAATATTATGAGAAAAAAAATTTTATGTATGTACCTAATTTGTTTTACGCTGATTCAAACCAATATAACTTTTCTCGAACCAATATAACTTTTCTCCCTAAACAACATAGGTAGTAAACATGTCGCAACAGGTAAAAGGCTGGGCTTTGTTACCTTTGAAAAAGAAAAATGTAGGTTTCGCCAGTTTTCTAACTGTGAGTCTTAGAAAGTGAAATGTGTATACGTTCCTCTACCTTCATGTCACCGATTTCTGGTTCATTGTCCTGACTATTATGGAACGTGAATTCGTCGTTCGATGGGAGACTAGATCGAAGGGGAAACTTTCCTTAAAGAATTTATTCGATTTTCTTCTCTCTAAGAATTTTCAAATCTTATATCCCGTCTTTAAACGGCAGATGGGATCAGAATACGCGTCATGCTCGAGGTATTTTCTGAAAATATCTTTCGAGACTCCCCCATTTCACCTTTGGAAGAAAGAATAGAGAATCTTTTTTTGAGATCTTACATCGTCTTCGATTTTTATTTACACAAGTACCGCTAAGAATTTTATCTTGTATATATTTCTCGATAAAAATGAACATAAAAAGTTCTGAAAAAATCTGAATATCTATTTTGAATATCTTCTGGTCTCTATAAAATGACATTTATGAATACATTTTGGATCGTATTCGTGTGATCTTTCATTTTGTTTTTAAATTTCTCAATATTTTTCATGCATGGATAATATATCCGAAAAATTCATTTTACGAGAGTCGGGAATATTAGTACTGTCTTTAAAACTACGAGGTATATTAACGATCGAGAATTCATTGAGAGAACTTTCAATACAACACGATCGGCGCACCGGGTTCAATAGAGTGCTTTGACAATGGAAGTCGAACCCGGATGCCGTCAAACAGAGTAACGTAGCTGCATTGAACATTACAAAGGCAACGTCGTAAGCATTCCGCAACGCGGTAGCGATAGAAATGGAAATATAATATGATGCTTTCTGAATCTCTCCATGCGTAATACACGAGAATTACGCGATACGCGTTGAAAGTGATCGTGTATAATTCTCATTCGCTTAATATCTTAGAAAGAAGAAATTAACTTTTAAGAAATTAACTTTTTTTTTTTAGAAATTAGTTACTTTTTCGTATATTTAAATATCTTTTTTTGATTCCTGAATTTGATATGTGAATTTACAAGATGTGTTTCTTTATCTTGACCTCTTGACACTCTTATAATTTTTATCATCTTTATAATTTTATCATTGTATATCTATTGGAGCTATTTTATGATCTTAAACGTTGTCCTTTGTAAGGCCATCAACCCTATTCATGAGAAATTCAAGCACGACGGTAGTAAGCCGTGCTGGATCTTCGGTTAGCGGGATAATGATTGTTCGCGTGAGAACCTAACAGCCGTAGTTCTGATCTGGTCACAATGAGAAACGTGCCGCGAGCGAAATTCCTCGAATATATCCGCAGACTGCGATTACCCACAAACTCGCATTGATATTCAGTCTCGATAATGCATCGTCGACGGGACTGAAATTAATTGCAGTTCTTGACACTATCAAATTTACAACTCGCATCTTTCATTGATAGTCGAAAATATCCGCCCATATTAATTCAACGAAACATTAGAAAAAAAAAAACAGTGCGCGAATTTAGCGATTCGAGCTACTTTTTTAAAAGTACAAAAATGTTCGTCGATTTTTAAAAATAAAAATTAAAGATCATTGAATTTTCAAAAAAAAAAAATACAACAAAAACAAGCGCACCTTCTCTTGATTTAGTATTCGGCGAAGTTTTGCTACGTTTGTTATCGAGACATTAGTATTCCGAGCACGCGCGTGGAATTTTTTTATCGGAGCAATTAGAATTTCAGTGATCGATTTTGCAGGTCACAGCGGCGAAGGTGGCTGCTGCAAGAAGTACGTTGTCCTCTGCTGCCTCTGCGGTGGGTTAAGCGCAGCGGTCGGCAGCCTCTTTTTGGCGGTGCACGCGGTCCTGTCGGCTCACACGGCCAGTCTAGCGCTCTTCGAGACCGTCCCATCTTACATTCCTGGCATTATGGTGAGAGACAAGAATTGATTATGTATGATATGATCGATTATATTAATAATATCCATTCTAACGTTTGTAGAAAATTAATATCAAATATTACATCATCGGAAAAATTAATTTTTACATAGACGCCATGAAGCTGTTACATGCATATAAATCAATTCTTTGAGTCTTATGAAATTTCATTTTCGTAATCATAATCCTCCACAGTACAATTTATTTACAATTTATTTATTTACAATTTATTTATCTATCAATTTATATATTTATATATTATTAATTTATATATTTATATATATTATTAATTTATATATATTTATATTTATATACAATTTATCTATTTATCTATTTACTATCTAACCGTATGATAATGATTTGAAAATGGATTTGCCGTTTCAGTAAAAAGAGTAATGATTTTTTTTACCGTTTCAGTTGATCCTCATGGGTCTTTTCACAATGCTGCTAGCTAGACGAAAGCACAGATACGGACTTCTGGTAAGTCCGTCTTGTAAACTTATCGGTCCCTCACGGGAAAATGTCATTGGCGTTGACAGTTTTGTTATTAAACTGGGTTTATAACTTTTCCAGATGAAAGTCTGCGGTTCCGTGGGAGTGGTGTGCGCGCTGGTGTGCGTGCTCGTTACCGTCACGACCACGGTAATTCACATGTCGCGATTGCAGAATCTTCGCGAATGCGTTTACACTGCGCGCGCGAGGTACGTATGCGTGTATACATGTATTTCTATCTTTAATATATCTCGGAAATTATGATCATGAGAAATTAAAACGTCTCGGTTATGAAAGCAACACGTAATAACGATAATAATTATTATTGAAAATTTAACCGTCTATGTTGGTCAAAATCACTTTTACAGAAGAGTTGAATTAAAATGAATTTTAATTTATTTTTTTCCTACTCAAATGATCTAAATTACGAGCTCAAGGCATATTTTTCTCCGAGGCAAGTGGGATAGAAATCAAATCCTGAGATATTAATCTTGAACTTTCATATGGGGATTCGCAGATCGTGCACATGTTATGGTGCGCCGCAGTCGAAGGGAGACCCTGGCGTACTGTTCGAGGGAACTCCTCATTGCGAGGCAGTGCACGGCGCATTGTCGGACTGCCTGAGGGCTCTCTTCGGCGTCTCGGTGGCCGGTATACTGGCCTGCATATTCTCGTGCATGCTCGTATACCAGTTGTTGAGTCACGAGAAGAAGAAGATGTACTGGGAACAGTTGGAGCTGAGATGCAGATCGTTGTACGGTCAGGGTGGCGCCGTGGGACCACCGGCCGGATCCTGCGGATGCTGCAACGATTGCGGGGGTGCGAGTCCGTGGTGGGCGCAGACACCGGGAAATCTGTACACGCCGAATCCCGACATGGCACCTTCCAGGTATGAAAATAATAATGTTGTAAAAAAAAGGAAAGAATTTTTGATCGGTATTTATGAGAAACTTTATCACTTCATTCTAATGAAATCGTAAAGTTCGTACTGAAAGTTCGCGTAAAATTCTCTTTCAAAAGGAAAATATTTTTCATAGGAGCTTAATTTTATTTGGCCAAGATAATGAAAATCTAATATGTTTGATTTATTGAATAAAAATATCTAGTACAATTATTTATTAATAATAATCGATTTATTAATAATAAAATTTGGCCTAATAACTGGACTGCAATTATATTGTGTAATAATGGCCACGACATGTATTCGATAAAACCAATAGATTTCATATACGAATGTTGTCAGTATACGAACAGAATGCAATAAACTCATAAGGCAGTGTATCCGCACTTCTGCATCGTGCATTGTATTCCGATAATTTGTTAATACATACCATTCATTAAAATGGTATTTCAATCGACTTCGTATGCTCGTAGAACAATTTTCCCGAGTTCCGGGAATATTGCGATGGACTCTTTGAAATTTATTTTACTCGCCGTAGCAAACTTGCAATAAAATACACGAGCGTAATATCAATTGTGAAGAGTATACGATAGACTTTGTGATATTTCTTTGAAACATTGCATCCAATAAGAGATTGGAGTCTGGTCAATCCCGAGCCCGCGAAGAGGTAAAAAAGATAAAAAGAATTATGTTTGTATTGTGCACAATTCAAATCAGTTTACAACAGTCAAAGCTTACGTTAAAGAATGCTGTTCTTTTGTAATAGACATGGTCAATAAAACTGCCTCGTCAGTATACAATGCGTTTCATAATATAACAAAAGCACATAGAAGCTTTTCAAAAAAATTTTTTTAAAATATTGAAAAAATATATCGTAAACATATTTCCTAATTTTTCATTTTGACAACTAAATTGGGAAGAGACACATTTAAAAAGATTTTAGAGATATTTTATTTTATAAAATAATTTGTTATATATTAAAATGAAAAGTAATTACAATAAAATTATAATAAAATTAATTAAAAGACAAACATTATTTTTTAAATGTAAAAGAATTTGCATTTTTGCTATCAATACTAATTAAAAAATTTGCCTTTTTTTGTAGAAGGTGGCGATTACCTTGGTCCAGATCAAGAGGTCCAGCACCGAGCCCGGATTCAAATTATGGCTTTCACACGCAAGCACGAGCAACGGAAACCAACGTGGAAGGAGGAACGGGGCCGTACAGCGTCCTCAACTCGCAATCGAGTGGTCCTTATTCCGTTTTAAACACTCAGAACGTTCCGTACACACCGAGCACTGCATCTTACAGCGTTTTGGAAACGCCAGTGCCATTATGGGGACCGCCACCTCCTTACAGCGATCCTAACAGTCCCGCTAGAAGGCCGCAAATGACCGAATCGAGAACCAGAATTGCCAAGAGGATGGATAACTTTGAAAATAATGAAGGTAAAATATGCATCAGAACACACGAGCTAAATAATTATTTTTGATGCAATAAATATCATAATAACATTTCTATAAAGTGCTATAAAATATCAGTTATTTCATCAATCATCGAGCATTAAAAATGAAATTTTCACGTCTCTTCGAAATGTTCAGATCATAGATCGAGATCCGCGAAGCGTCCCACTGATAATTATGAAAATGCCGAGGAGATTTCCAACAGCACGGATCCCGAAGGCGGAAATGAGGGAACCGTCAAAGGTAGGAGAATTAGAAAACCGTTGAAGGGAGTGGAGAACGGGGCATTTCAGCAAGAAACGAATCCCGGCCCGAAACAGTCCGAAAGTGAGCTATACTTCGGTGACGTATCTTCATGCTGCGGACCTGAAAGTAGTTTTTACGATTTGGCTGTGGAGAAAGAAGGTACCAAATTATTCTACTTATGATCAAATCACATGTCATGTAAATTCTTATCATTATTTCCACATGAGAATTTTTCATTAATATATTATTATATTTAAAATAAATTTTGAAAGGTATTCGTAAAAACATTAATTCCAAGTAATATTTCACTAACTCCGTTACATGTTATTTAAAAGAAAAAATATTGAAAATACCACACAATATAAATTTTTTTCTAATTTTATCAAATTTTTTTTCAAATCCTTAATACGTTTTTTATTAATTAATTTTTATTAATTATTAATGTATGCGTTAATATAAAAAATTTTTAAATAAAAGATATTTAAATATAATTTAATAACAATTTAATAATAATAATTTTTAAGAATATATGTAAATTTAATCACTGTTTTATTTAAAATTTTTCCATCTTCCAATATATTTAACATTTCATTTCTTATGTAAAAATTTAAAAAATTTACATTCTTATATCCTCAATAATTTCCTAAAGCAAAAATCTAACGAAATTGGTGAAATATCTATACACATATGCTTTTACTATTGCAAATTGTATAAGAATGTTTCTTATTTACAAGAGAGCCGAAATCTTTAATATTACATTAAAATTACTTACTTTTTGGAAGAAGCTAGGATGCTCCTTTAGGATGTTATTTTTGTGTTGATAGGTGCGGAACGTTCGGAAGGTGCCGACTATCTGGCGACCAGATTGGGCAAACGTCAGCTGTCAAAGAGATCCCGGCTGCCTCTTCCGTTGCCTACGGACAACGGTGACATTCCTGTCGATAATTACGCAAATAGTGACGAGCCAAGGAACGCTAGAGGCCCGTTCCTCGCTCCCGACGCGCAATATGAGGTGATTCAGCAGGGTCGTTATTCCTATTACACATCGAAGGATGACGAGGAATTACAGGAGGGTCCGGCGAGTTCCGGTTATTTCCGGGAGGACGAGAACGAGAGAGCGCGAGAAAGGGATTACAGGGACTACAGGAATAGCCAGGAGGAGGAAACGCCGCAGTGTTGCTTGAGCGACTCGACGACTCCTGATTCCGGTTGGCAGAGCGGTGAACAACAGCAATCAGATGACAATGTGCGGCCGGTGAACGTGTGATCTTAAATACTTATAAGATTTTAACGACAACAAAGTAACAAACGACCAGCGATTTTTCGCGAAAAAGTAAAGATAATTAGATCGTAACGAAGGAAATGCGACAATAGTTTCTGATCTGTGAATAAGTAATTTAGATCGATCGTGTATTTAGATCTTGTTTCCCGGCAAACAAAGCAAATAGCTGCAGTTTTGCTTGGAACTTAATCGCCGGAATAGAAATGTTAGGGATGGTAGAGCTCGAGCTTGGCAAATAAGGTCCTAGTCGGATGATGTGTACGTGATAGGTTCGTTAAAAAAAAATGAAAACGTAATTAAGTTGTTAATGAGCTAAATTTACAATCGATAGAGCGAAACTGAAAGAGGTCTGGAGATGACATGTGTATCGCATCGATTCTTTTTCTCCCGAAGCAGACTGTGTTGTTAATGAAACTAATTTAAGAACAACGTTTCGTACCTCTTAAATATTTTAAGTGGCCGTGACACATATGTGACATAATGAGTACTTTGACAATTTTCTTGCGTAAATAATAGTTATTTAATAATAATTGTCAATTTCATCTTCTTGATGGACATTACATTCTATATCTACGTGTCATGCTGTAGAAAGTATATAATAAAAATCGAAATAGAGAGAGGGAGAGAGAGGGGGAGAGACTTCGATACAAGATACATAGTGATATAAACGATAACATCAAATGTAACTGTGAATTTCGATTTGAATGACATTGAGATTACTGCCATTAATTTTTTTCGTAAGAAGTTTGTCGGTTGAATGTAAGCTATATACATATATATGTATATTTAATTGAAGAGTAAATATGATTAACATGCGATCAAAGTGAGATTTATGCTACGAGATTCATGCTAATTCTTGATAAAATCAAGCAATGTGATTGGAGACAAACAGTTTAGGCGCATAAAAATTCCTCGTGTTCAGTATAAGACGTACAGTATTAATGAAGCAATTTAAACGATCATATGACAATTGATCGTATGAAATACAATTGTCAAGTAAAAATGTTCATTGCATAGAATGAAATATTCGCGGCAAATTCTGTGTATTTTTGCACATTAAGCGATGTTGCTCGTGTTGTTCGTAATAATAAATAATAGTGTGTACTAATAATAAATATACCCAAGAAATTATCTACACTGAGATAGAGAATAGAAAGAGATCGATGCAGAATGAGAGAGATTGAAAGAAAGATTTAGATATTAGTTTCATAGTCGATTGTTTGTTGAAAATGTATCTCTTCTCGTGAACGAGATGTATTACTTTATCAAAAAGATGTCCACTTCTCTTATCGGATATCCATTCGCTATTTATTGTATTTGACTTGTAGTAGTAATAAGCGTATTTTTACTTGAAATTTTTTATATATTCGTTACGTATATACGGTATATAAAATTAAAATTGCCGATCAATTGTTCTTTGTTGGATACGCGGTATAGATCATGTACAAAAGTGTGCTTTACTCTTGCCAATTGGATGTTAGTTGTATAACTTGCCGATCATCCCCGCTCAATGATCAAACGATATATGTTTGTAATGTTAAGAAAGTATATTTAATGAGTACTTAATTTTTGCGTCTCACACACATCGTCATTATAATTTTAATTTATTTCTCAGTATCTATAAGTAAAACGTTTCGTATTCCTTCACCTCGATTAAAAGCTTCATCTCGAACTGTAAACTTCACTTCGGATCTTTCTAATGAATTGCGTTATCAATGTGCTTACTGACACTCTTTATTTCAGTGTCACGCCGTTTTCAGGTCACGAAGATTTGCATTCGGAAATCACAATTCAGGTGGACCAAGGACAATATAGAGAGATCAATCGAATTAATTAATAGGGCACTCGTCGGTTGTCTATTTTCGTTATCGGCCGCTCGAGAGACATAAGCATGTAAATGAAATACATATTTTATCATCCGATGAAAAAGATACATTGTAGCGCAGTAGCTTAATAGCGTGAATAAATGAATGAAAAGTGTACCTTAAGAGCGAGCCGCAGAGTTATAGCAAATCCGGCGCGCCAAACGTCGAACAATGTATTTGACAATGATTAAGAATAAAGGATGATTTTGCGAAGAAAGCTACACATGACGAACGATTACCTATCCTCATATCAGGACTTATTCTTCATATATTGTCGCACACTCTAATTGTTCAACAAATATGATAATTGTAGCCAATTTCAAATATGATACAAAATAATAATATTTATCTTGCTATATTTTCTTTGACATGTTTATTATGCAAATGTGACATTTTTCATGCTACCCGTTGAAACTCGTGCATTGTAAAAAATGTTATGATGGAATAATAATGTTATATATTATATGCTACTTGCACTTCACATATTTTTTTTCTACATTTAAAAGACAAAACAACTAATTGTAAACTACTTTTCTCGCGTTAGCAGATCAACTATAGATATAACGAGTTGTTTTGTATTATTTGTTCATTAGACATTCTCTGTATCCTATTTTTTTGATACAGTTACAGATACACTTGTTTTTAAATTATTTCTTTATGTAAAATTACAAAAATTTTCGTTAACTAAAACTTAATGTTCATCAAATTATAATGATTTTAAGACTGGATTACATGTTTGTAATCTTACTAACAATAAGCTGCTTCTTCTGCTGAATGCAGCTGCCAATGTTTCGCACGTTCTCTTCCCATTCAAATATTATTGATCGATACAGTGCTAAAGGGGAGTCAGTAAGCGACAACACTTTATTTCTCTGTGATCTCCGATCATAAAGTGTCGAAAGAGAAAGTCGTCGTCTAAATTTTCACTATATATACAAATTGAAACTTCAGTGATAAATAAATTCAGAATTATGTTTCGCCTTTTTGTGATATTGGCCGCGCTCTTTGTGATGACCAACGCGCAATTGCACAGGTCAGTATATATATTTTATTGCAATATATATTTTGGCATCACAAATATCGAGATTATAGAGATCGATTTTTTTCTTGTAATCGCATTCGAGTTCTTGGATTAAACGCGTGATTTGTACACACGCAATTAATGCTTCGATATAAATTGAATGAATTTTCTTTCGTTGAAACATATATTTTTATTTATTAGTTAAAGAATAGATAAAAAAGCATATTTTTGAAAAAGTGATTCTTTGTTCTTTCGTAACGTTCACTTTCGACGTTTTACAATCTTGCTTTTTACATTTAAACGATGATCATGATTAGAGATCTTCAAAACATCTAATTGTAAACTACTTTTCTCGTGTGTAGCAGATCAACTATAAGTATGAGTTGCTTTGTATTATTTGTTTACTAGATACTATCTACAAGATATCCTATTTTTAAAAGGTTGATACAGTTACAATTATTTTTAAATTATTTCTTTATGTAAAATTACATGCAAAATTTTCGTTTTATTTCATTTTAAAAATTAAAATCCGTTAAATCAATGATTTAAATAATGATTTTTTAAGGCTGGATTACAAATTAAGTATTACTTTGGAAATATATATAATATAAAGATCATATAATTTAGAAAAATTATCGAGTTAATAAACGTTTCTGATATAATTAAATATAATTATTTAAATAACTTATATTGTAAATATATATAAGTTATATTAGATTCCTAAGATGTTTCAATTTGTTCAGACTTATATGACTTATGTTTGTTCCTAGAAATATCTGCATATTAAATGTAAATAATCATTTTATACATATATGTTTTATACATATATAAGTTTATGTATATATATATGTATATATATATATATATATATATATATATATAAACATGCAAATACATATGTATAAAATGATTATTTACATTTAATATGCAGATATTTCCAAGAACAAACATAAGTCATAAAAGTCTGTACAAATTAAAACATCTTAGGAATCAGATATAACTTAGTATATTATATATATATATATATATATATATATATATATATAATACTGTATGTGTGTGTGTGTGTGTGTGTGTGTGTGTGTGTGTGTATGCGGGTATCATAGAATGTTCTTTCTGTTATTTCAAGGATTCAATTGCACGGGATGAAATCCGTTATACCTTTGAGAAAACTTTACACCGATTTCAAAGAAATGCTTTCGTTAGTTAATAATTTTTCTTTAGTATTTTTGATCAATTATCGAAACGTGGAATACTATGGTACTATTACCATTGGGACTCCACCACAAGAATTCAAAGTGATATTTGATATTGGTTCTTCAAATTTTTGGATACCGTCCAAAAAATGCAACACTGATTGTTGTAAGTAATTTTTTGTACATATATATACACAACAATATATATATATATATATATATATATATATATATATATTATAAACATTTAAAAAATTTAATACAACACAGATACAAATTTAATATTTTATAGTGTAAATATTGCAAAGGCAAATTTTGGAATTTACAGAAATTAATTTAAATATATTATTATATTTACTCTCTGAAGATACAAGAAGATTAATAAAATAATATCTCTATTGTAAAATTTTTTTTAATATTGTTAATTTGTGATACTACTGAATATGTTTTACAGTAAAACACAATCAATATGATAGTACAGAAATCCAGCACATATATAGCAAATCATACTCCAATTTATATGATGTATCATCAGAGGCATAATATACCTATATTATATGATGTATCTCCTTTTAACGTAGAGGGATTCCTATCTACAGACGTAGTGAATGTAAGTGATGATTAAACAAAAAATCCAATTCAATTACAACTGTAATCGTAGTTTAAACATATCTCAAGCAATCATTTTTTTTGTGCGACGATAACGATGTGTTATTTTGTTATTTTATCAATTTTATTACAGATTGCCGGCTTCAATGTACAGAAGCAAACATTTGCAGAAGTGACTAACGTGTCAAACGTACAAGCATTTAATAATGCAAAATATGATGGTATCTTGGGCCTGGGTTATTCCAAGTTAGCTGTCAACAGAGTAACGTCTGTCTTAGAAAATATGGTTAAGCAAATCTTAATGCCACCTATTTTCAGTTTTTATTTAAATAGGTATCTTCTCATACATGAACAATGCATATTTCCAAACAAAAATGTTAATAAATACATATATATAGTTATATTTGTATGTATATTTATATTTATTTTAATATTGACACATAAATTAAATTTATTATTTATATATTATTTTTATCTTTTAAATTAAAGTAATATTTATATTTGTATATTAAATTTATTATTTAATCTTAATTATTATACACACACACACATACTTATTACGATATAAAATTATGCAATTTGTGCAGAGATTCTTCAGCCAAGTTAGGTGGTGAGTTGATATTGGGTGGTTCCGATCCTGCTTATTACGAGGGCAATTTTACATATATTCCTGTTACTGACAAAAAATACTGGCAATTTACCATAGATGAGTACGTTATTTTATAAAATACGTTAACCATATTCCAATAAATTGTTATTATCGCTTTGTAGAATTGAAATACGTAATCGTCATTCGCATACCACAATGTGCTATAACTGTCAAGCTATCGTTGATATAAATATTCAGTTAATAGTTGCATCAGAAAGATATATCACGCTTATTAATGAATCAATTGGAACAACTAAAAATGTTGATGGTCAAGAAACAGTAAGTAGACGATCATATTTTTTATAAAGAATGTAGCCTTTAATAAAAAAATTATAAAAAATTGATATAGCAATAAAAATAAATATTAGATTCCTTTCAAATGAAACTTAAACTTCTTTGGAATAACAACGCTAATTAACATTCACACTTTGATTGAACGTGCTTAATATATTTCTTAAATATTATTAATTACTAATTTGATATTATCTTTTTTGTTTAAAGATAAACTGCAATCGAATTTCTGAGTTACCTACAATCAGTTTTATTTTGGCTGGTGAGAAGACAGGAAAGTTCAGTTTCGGTGGTAAAAAGTTCAATCTTAACGGTGAAGATTACATCATTCGGGTGCGTACTGGTATAAATTATTTAAATTATTTAAAAATATGTTGAGAATTTACATTGTGTGTATTTAATTCTGTACAGGACCCAGATAATGTTACATGTGTAAGCAGATTTTACGGAGCTAATATGTATGAACGTGGATACGATTTGATTCTAGGTAGTGCATTTATTGGCCGTTACTACACCGAGTTTGATATGGAGAATGACCGAGTGGGATTTGCTTTGGCGAAATAAATATTAATTACTATCTCTAACATTTTTTAAAAATATACATATTACATAATAAAAATGTACATAATGTGCAATTATGTACATTTGGTGGAATAAATTTTTGGATTTTGTTCAGTCCTGGATTAAAAATTGATATTAAATGTTATTCTTATATAACTAACATAACTTTCATCAATAATTGTTCATAACAAACGTAATGATTACGAGATATTTGACGTATTCAAAGACTGTGAATATCTTTAATTTCCTGCTTAAAAACGTACATAGAAAACATTTATTAAACAAAAAGTAATATATAAGATATATATATAAGAAAGATATATAAGATTTTCACTAATGTAATTATGGATTTAAGGATTCAATATAGTTTTATAACTTCTTTATATTTTAAATCAATTAAGATTATATCAAATATAGTTTCATCTTCTAAGAATGCAATTGTAATATCATTAAGCTAAATAACTTATTTATCTCACTCTTCTAAAAAATAAATTATAATTGAAAATTACACTCAGAACAAAATATTTTTTATCGCGTAAATGTAAGTAGATATACTGTCGCACAATATATACACTTTGACGAGCTGGTTCTTTGTTATTACACATAACATATATAATAAAATAAGATAATAATATTTTTTACATAATTATATCATACTCTATTAATTATACTACATAATAATATAGTATAATTGTATAGTATAATTAAACATTATTATATATAATATAATTAGATAAGTTAATAAGATAAGCACATCAGAGAGTAGAATAAATACATGTAACAGTATATTTCACATTTCATACAGTATAAATATATAAATGTATAAAAATTATAAAAGTTTTATGTACACAGAGAAAAATATTTCTTTGGATTTAACAAATTTTGCTAAAATCAAATAAATTTAATTATTGGAATAGTCCAACCAACTAATATTCCAACCAACTAATATTCGATTTAACAAATACGATTGTTTGACTTTCAAATAAGGTATACGTTTATTTTAAATAAAATTTTATCTTGAAGAATTTTACTTTTTCTTTGACTTTAACCTTTAACAATTATATTAATTGTTAAATAATTTATTATATTAATTGTTAATTCCACATGGCATCATACCGTTTAAAAGTTTTTTCTGTCTAATTTCAAATAATTTTTAATATTCTAAATCCCAACAAGGATCCAGATTATTAAATAAATTATTTCAAATTCAGTTTGAAATTAAACTGATAAACAATGATACTTCAGAAAGAGGATGCTCAACATGCACATGATCAGAGAACCTGCGTGTGAATAGCATCCTCTTTTTCGCACTAGTGCTAAGAGGGGAAAAAATAGATCTTTAGATCTTATTATTTAATACAAGTCCTTTATATACATTTCATGATAAATATTGAACATGAGAAAAGTTAAGATTGGTGCGCCGCGTAATGGCAAGCGAAGAAACATGTGCAACATACTATTCCAAATAATAAGTTAATTGAAACAAGCAACACTCTTATTTGAATTAGTATTATTTCAAATAATTGTCATTTTTCTGTTAAACAATATAAATTAATGCAACGAAACAATTAAATTAAATTTTTATTTAAACAAATAATATTTGTATAAGATAATTTTTTCTTTAGCGAGACAAATATAAGTCAAACAAATTCATATACTAAATGTAAAGAAATACTTTTCTCTGTGTATAAGGTGTTTTATGTATTATGAACAAAAATGTGGATGAAAATTAAAAGAAAAATGCGTGTACAATTTTTGCTCGAATAAATAAAAGAGAAAATGTAGAATAACTAAAATTTTTATTTTTCGAAAAGATGTTCAATTTTGTCCTAAGTCGAAGCAAAAATTCAAAATCTATTGAAAATCTTTCCTTGTCATATTTGATTGTATACTTTATCATCAAATTTATTTGTTTGGTTTTCCAATAAAATAAATATTCAATCTTTTCTAATCTCGCCAACCGACAAAGATTGCGTTATTAATATATATGAACTTTGCATTAATTTGTACATATTTTTGCCTTAATTTTCAAGCAATTTTCAGTGCAATATTTTATTGTGAAAATAGCTGATATGAGTTTATTGCTAATTAGAATATTAATTTTTGCAATCAAAGTGTCATTTGTTTTAACAAAATAGACGTTAATTACTTTTTATTAACTTATATCTAGATATATATCTAAATGATAAACTATCAAATAATTTGGTAAAAACAATTTCTTGTTTGACACTGATTAGACAGTAATTGTTACTTATAATTATGTGTATTATTATATTTAAAAATTTATTAATAAATATTCTATTAAAAATAATCTACTAGAACAGTCTAGAAAAGATAAACTTTTAGATATATGTATATTTCTTTTCTTTCTGTCTATATCTTATGCTGTGTTAATGTTCGGTCTATACTTATATTGTCTATTCATTGTTTGAATTGATATTCATTAAATAATTTGCAAAAATACATCTGATAACGCGTGATAAGTCTGATATAATAAATAATAAATAAAATAAGCAAATTTTTAATTAAATATATTGTACAGGACTGCAATATGTGCGATCAGTTTTACATGAATGTCAACAATTTAAAAATACGTTATTTTTATAATAAATATTTCAAATATATATTTTTTTAAACATATTACATACAAACATAAAATGCTTTTGTTAAAAAAAAATTATATAATAACAAAGTATAGGATATAACAGGCTGAGATTGCTAAAGTACTCTCTCTCTCTCTCTCTGTCTTTATTATATCATATCAATAAGACTATTCAGTATTAATTATTTTAAAAATATCCAATATTTTTCTAATATTAATAAAAATTAGATAAAATATTCTAATATTGTTAAGAAAAGATAGACGAGAGAGAAATCTTTTTGAATATTTTAAAATTCACATAGAGAGTCTATAATAAAATTATTTATTTCAGGCACTTTCATCGACTCTATGCGTTGCCTGATTTGCCAAGAACTTCTCAACTCTTTCCCTAAATTCTCTGTTAGATTCCGGCAAGGGTAGCCGCGGTCCCAGACTAGCTAGACCTTGCAATGTAGTGAAGTTTTGTAGACTTTCCGATAATCGATGATCATGATTCAAGATATCTGGCTTGGAGGCAAGAGGTTTTCTCTTCTGCAGCAATTTCGTCGTTTTCGAACCAGCCACGGCATTGCCGCTTTCCGGTAGATTCATCATTCCATTGAATGCAATTTGCGCGCTCAACAGTGACCAAAGTATCTCCAGACAAGACGCTGTTATAACGTTCATAGTCATCGGTACTCTGTTCAAATTCACCTCGAATTCTCGTTTATGCCAAACAGTGATTTTTTCCTTTTTCAAATTCACAGATCCCGTAATGTTCATCGTGTCATCATCCTGGAAGATATCTTTCGATATCATCATTTTTTTCTCAACTGTAAAGGACGCTTGAAGACTACTGTAACTGTCATTCATGATACCGTCATGGAAATCGTTGGATACGAAGGGTTCTAAAGTAACGAATGACTTATTAAATTTGTTGGTCATCGAAGAATCGTAATCTTCGGTGAACTTTGGATTGCCGTTAGATGTATCATTCGCGAAATCATCGACGAGATGAGGAGCGTCGAGATTTTTTAACGATTGTAGAGATTCTTCAGCGTTTAAAATCATCGTGAGATCGTACATCATAACGCCGCAGCAGAAGATCCCTGCTACCGAGGAGAAGAGGCTACTGTAGAAGAAAATGGTGATGTTTCGGTCGATGTACCAACGTCGCCAAGCGAAGCAACCGGTCACGGACGGTACGAGACATACGAGAGACAGAATATGACCCGGAACAGACATGGCTATGGTGCTCAGGAAGAGAGATATGGCCCCAAGGATGAAATGGATGAGGGACATGCCGCCAACCGTTGATGCCGAGTAGCGACGCTCCGATGGATACAAAGACGACAACGGTGGTTTTGTCTTGATTTTTATAACGTATACATTTTCCGTCATTGTCTTTTATGCGACTTAAATCGCACAAAATTTTAAATTAAAGAAACCGATCTAAGGAAAAAAAATATAATAAATAATTTGATACATTTGCCTCTAATTGTAAAACAAATTTGCATAATTTACACACAATCCATTGTTACGAACGTTCACATTTTTAAAAGATAGTTCGCACTTTTATAAGTTCTCATCACTATATAAATCCAGAAACTCATGAAATAATCTCCGCACTTCTATTTTCCACTATCAAATTGAAAAACATTCGGTCGTAGATGAAATATAGTAGTTGATCGCTGTACGTTACAAAATCTGTCTGAAAAACATAAAAATAAAACGTCTTATGAATATATTCAAATACATTGAGATGTCATGTAAAATTTATAAACATAACCATTAACATAACTAGTTAGATTTTGAATGTAAAATAATGTGCACATATATAACGTATTAAAAAAGATATATCTCTAATATTTTCACAGTTTTTTACTTTATATTTATATAAAGATATATAAATATAAATATATATAAAGATATTAATTATTACATGCAGTATAATGAGGCGATTTTACATAAATGTATGTACTAAGCGCAATGTAGATTGGTAATTTAAATAATTAATAATTAAATAATTAAAGATTAATAATTAATAATTAATAATTAAATAATTAAAGATTAAATTATAAGATTAAAAAAAGTGCGCGATCGACCGTGGAAAATCAAAGGAGTCACGATGAGTGATCGCGATGCTTTTTGCACAACCGCTCTCTCCTTCCGCATTCAATTATACCGGATATGCAAGCCGTAATCGTGCTCGTAGGCAATATCGAGCCCGACGAACGCTTAACAACGCGAATTCGCCGACGTTTGATGGCGTAGCAGAAGAAACCGAAGCCGACTTCCGCAGCGGTCGAGCAATTATCGCAACCGCTTCTCGTTCGACTTAATTGAAATCCCCGTCGGGGATTCCGCCTGCGCGCGGATTTCATTCTGCGTGACTTTCTGCGGGATAGACTTGCGTTGCGCAACCCGCGGATAACAATCGCTCGCTCGTGACAGAATCCAGCAAGCAAATCTCGACACAACGCAGAACGGCGTTCACACGCAAACGACATTGTATTGTAATCTACATTACTGTCATAAGTAGCATAAAAATGGAATACGATTATGCAGGGAGTTCCGGAATAAATTTTACTGGGGCACTATAGAATGAATGAGATTAAAAGGAAATTATGTATAGTTATGTATATAAAAGAGATCAATTTTATAAAATAGGAAAATATTGTCATAATGAAGTAAAAAATCTTTAATTCAGAGTCGTAATAAATGCAAAATGAACACTTTTATCTCTTGAGAAAAAAAGGAGATTATAACATTTATATAGATATATATTAAAGGAGATAATATAAAGGAGATAATATAAAAGGAGATTATAACATTTTATATATATACTTTGTGACTGGTTCAATTGACTTAACGACTAGAAACACGTTGTTATCTGCAGCTTGATCTTTTGTTCTTCTTTCTCATGCTAACATTATGCAATTGATTACGATATATCACGATTATATTACGAGCGCGCTTGTCTTTCCTCAGGCGTTTTTGTTTTCATAGACGGATTAGCACGTTAAACCGTGTGAATCTTTGGGCGTTTTTCAGCATGCAACAGGATCACATCATCCTTGTTGATTGCCAAATGTAAACAAAGATGAAATGATTCACTGACCTCTATATTGCTTGCTGAAAAATGCTTGAAATTTCCAGTAAATTTATACTTCAAAATATACAATAATTTAATTTAATTTATTATATATTTAAATTATACATTAAATTTATTTTAAACAAATATTAAACTTTTGTAAAGTGAAAAATATTATCTAATTTATTCTTTTATTAAATATTATTTAACACAAATAATATCATGTATTTAATTAATTAATGTATATGAATTTAATTTATTTTTCAAAATCTAACAGTTGCAAAGTGTGAAGAATAATTACAACATTGAAAATGACAACATTGATAATGACAACATTGAAATTGAGAAAATTAAAGTTCTGAACACAAGACCAATCCTTTTAAAATATTTAACTATTTATTTTATAATTTACGATATCCATATTTTCTTAGAAATTCTAAAAATTAAATCCAACATCATAAAGAAGATAGTAAATCAATTTATGTAACTTGACATGTTGTGATAATTTCGAAAATAAAAATCTCTGGCGATAAATATTATATATTATAAAGGAAACTTACATGTGCATATAATGAAATCTTACAAACTTTATCTAATTGGCGAATCTTTCTAGAATTTTCACTGACAATGTCAAATCAATCACATTTGATATCCTTCGTCACGTTAGAAATTGTTTCTCGAGAGAACAAACAATTTTGACATGCAACAATTACATCTCGTAGTTTAATAAGCGATCTCTCGCGCGCGACATTTGAGTGGCGACTGGACTACGAAGACTAGTTCTCGTTGAAATTACTACGGATTCCCAAACGACCCTCCCACGCAGCCGACTCCTAGTGAAAGGGACAACGCAGAGTAACGTTGGATGAACGTATACCTTCGCATTAAGTCTTGTTCACATCATTGACGACTTATGCTTATACGCGAAACGATCTTAACGATCAAAAGGCAAATGTCATCTTACATTTTCTTTTGATTATTTCTCTCATTTGTTGCCAGAAATTTAAAATGGATATCCGATTCTATTTTAAATAGAAAATACAAAATTGTTAGAATCTTTCCATTAAAAATGCGAAATAATTTTTCAAAGATCCGTAAAGTAGAAAATAAAAAATAGTACATTTCTAAAGTAATTTTTTAAATTAAAATTATTTTATTTTTATTTCTATTTTATTTTTATTTCTTACTGCATGCTGTATACATTGCCATGAACAAGTCTTTGTAACAATAGGTTGATTACGCATACTAAAGTAAAAGCCAGTCTCTATATAACCTTATCTTGATTACCATTTCTTATAATGTATGTGATTAAATTATTACAAACTAGAATTCATTCTACTAATGAACAAGTTCACTACAATGTTACACAAATGTTTTGATTTAATGAGATTTAAAACTATTATCGATATCTCGATTAATTTTTTAAGTTTACAAGAAAAATGCATTTGAAATAGAAAATGTAATGAAGTAATGGAAGCTATTTAAATATTAAAAAGAGTTTTTGAAAAATATATTTTAAATGCAAATTTTTGGTTTTGAAAATAGGCACTTTACATTTTGTATATTGTATTTCCATTTTAAATGTATCTATTTTAAGTAACATCTCTGAGTTGTCATATATATAAACTGTGCAAGAAAAAATAATAGAAAGTAGTGTATAAAGAAGGAGAATGGAAAAAATATCAGAGTATTCTTCAAAAACTAAGTAAATTTTCTCGATTATTTTTACATTTTGATCGAGCGAATAAGTTGATATTTTTGAAATAAAATTCTGTGAAATTCTGTGCTTGAATTAGCTGATTTTTTCAGAATAGTAATCAATTGACTTCACTTAAACGAAAACATGACCCTTCTTCTTATTATGAAAGTCCCGTTATAATCGAAGGTAAGAGCAAACATATCCCAGGATCTTCGTCGAGGATTGTGCATGAGCTAATCTTTATTGTTGACTGCAGAACACGACGTGTGGGTTCGGCATATGACCTTTTCGTTCGATCATTGGTAAGAAATCATTCACAGATTACGTTTCTTCCCATCAAGAAATGTAAATAAAATAAGGAAAGAATATGAAGTATCTCGATTTTGATATCAGATTTCAACTAGATTATAATAGGTAAAAATTATTTAGCGTTATCATTAACGAAGTACTGTTAAAGATACTGCCTATCTTATAAATATTCGCATAGTTAGAAAAATTCGCTAAAGCTTTCTCAAGAATTATGAGACAGGCAATCACTTTGTCACTTGTCGTTGATTCTTAGAAAATATATAAGAAATTTTTTATTTTTATTAAATTCATTATTTTAATCTTTTTAATTATTTTTAATTTATTTTTATATTTATATTTATTTTATTTTTATATTTTTATAATTAATTTTAGTATAACTATAATAAAAATAATGCAAATGGATTTTTGGTAAAATAATACAATATAAATAATATAATGTATCGAGTTCACTTGATCGTGACGAAAATTTAATTTATATTATTTTATAAAATTTATGGCTGGCCATCTTAACAGTATCTCTTGGTAGCATTACGCATTATTTTCAAATATCGTCGTCTAATTTAATGAGTTGAGAGATGAAGCAAGAAATATTTTCATTAAAAGTCTCTTTAAGTATCGAAATCATCGTTTATAATGTCTAGTCAAAGTGATCATCAATGGTTATTGATAATCTAATGATCTTAAGTGGAAAGCGCATATTTGGACAAGCACCTGCCGCTTTCAATCGCGGAGAAATCTTAATTTAATCCATTTAATCTTATACTTTTACTACTTTTAATCTTATACTTTATAGTAAAACTTATTGTCGATCTGTTTCAAATTACAATATTATATTTTTTAATATTGATCTATTATATAAAATAAGCTTATATAAAATAAGCTAGAAAAGCTCCAAAGCTTTTCTATAAAAATGTATAGAAATTTAAGACTTTTTAAGATAAAAAGTCTTAAATTTCTATACATTTAATATTTCCATACAGATAAATTTAAGATTTTTTCAGAAAATTAATAACGCAATTAGTGCGGACAATAATTTCATAGAAGAGCAATTTTAATTTTGCTTCGAGACAAACTGTTGCAACACTATTGGTATCAACATTTTAAAAATATCTCCGCGTAATTATTTCGTAACAGCATAATTTATAGATTGAGATACTGAAAAGCATCACTAAACTAATTAGTTTTAAATTGTTACAAATGGGCTAAACTGTGTTCGTGCAAGAATGAGAGAGTAAAATCACGCGTGATTATCGTGTCTCTTTCAAATAATTTCCTCACGATCGTAAAAGGATCGCGGAATGCTAACAGAAGTATCATTATTAGTACCTGCAATTTAGTTTTGAAATTAGAAAGACATGTAACGTCCAATAGCAGCGACATTATGTGCTGTAACGGCGCATGCATCTTTCGATGCGTTGCAAAAAATCCAAGAAAGAAAGAGGACTTTCACGAGGGAGGTTGCAGCAAATTTGCTCTGCCATCTCGATAAATCGTTCATGCGGAAATTATGACACCGCTTTCCAGAGGAACGCATATTATCGTTGGAGACATCGAACTTCCGGCAAGATCGTCCGGACCGCATACTCGTTCGAGCGGATAATCGATCGCGGTTTACAGAGAGACATTGAGGAGAAATCAAATCTTACACTAATTGTAAGCATGACTCCGCACGACGGGATAACCGCAATCTGTACGATTGCGTGTGGGAAAACATGCGTGCATCCAGCGACAGTTGCACGTGGATGCACGCTTTTGCGTGTATCTGATAATACTAATCAGAGTAATCACTATAATATTTATTGTAGCATCGCATTTTGCTTCAAAGTACAAGATGAATGATGAATAAAATTTAAAGATATCGCAATACGTAATATTATATAAAGATAAAATGTTATATTAATATATATTATATTATATGTAGATATAAATATTATAATTAAAGTAATAATAATATTATTAATTATATTATTTATATTTAAATTTGATAGCGTATATCTAAATATTAAATATATATATATATATATATATATATATATATATATATACTTATGTATGTACTATACATATTTATATATGTATTTGTAGACCTATTTATAGATGCAAAATTTATGTTAGATTACTAATATTATTAACTATTATTTAAAATAATATTATTTTTTTCTCGTTTATCATGTATTATTTAAAATAGGAGAAGGAAAAAATCACTGTAAAAATAAATAAATAAAAAGAAATTTGGAAAGTTTTCCAAAAGAACAGAATGTTCTTTGAAAGGAGTGAAAAGTCGCCGAACGGAAATTACGCACATCGGGATCAATAGCTGGAACATAAAAATATATCGATCAGAGGGATCTGGTTTCTTATTATTCCATGTTTCTTATAATATCGTCGCTCTTTCTTGTACACTTTCACGCGAGTGTCGACTAGTAAAAAGGCCTCGAAAAACGCGCGTTTACGCGTTCTCGTCGTGCGAGCCACGCGCGCCGTTTCGGGTCCTTTCATTTTTAAAGTGACTTTTCGGCCGTTAACGTGCCGATACTCGCGAAAGCGCAAGAGGAATATATCCAGTGCTCAACGAGAACGAGAAAGAGAGAGCGAGATAATGACCGAAATGCATTCGTGTTGGAGCAGCTGTTACTATCGGGGCACGCGTCTCAACGGTCGCGGCAGCTGTCCAGAAAATTGACTACAGTAGCCTCATTCTAAGTTCTTTATGTTTATCTGATTAAAGAACAATTTTTATTTTTCTTTAATACACGAAATTATATAATTTGGAATTTATTACAAAATAAAATCTTGTGCTGAGAATAGAAATTGAAGTAAAATAATTTCAAATGTTTTAATGATAAAATTAAGTCCTTGCAAATAATGTAAAAAATTCTGACAGATGCAGCATAATTATACAATATTTATCTTCAATAATATACCCTTTTAAAAGAATTTTCTAACAAGAAAATTATTTATTGTTTCTCTCTCTGCTTTATATAATTATATAATAATTTTTTGAAATATCTTCTTAAGAGAGGCAAACAAATTATTCAACATTTAAATATTTGCGAATATAGATTCTACATAAAAAAATAAAAGTTTCTTTATATTTTGAAACACAAAAATCTCAAACAGTTTATTTCGATGACAGGCGTATCCTTCAGGCATTTAAAGTTTAAATTACTCGGTCGAAAAAACTTCGTGACATATAAGCAACGGTCAAAATTCTAGACGAAATGTACTATAGTTCAAGGGCCCCCACCTCGCGCGAAGGGACATTGGGCCCGTATTACGTGAAACCCCATGACAACCCCATGAGCGAACGCGCATACACAGATACGCGAGGGAACGCATGGAGAAACGCATGGAGAAACGCCCTTTGCGCATCTGCTGTTAAGGGAAGAGAGAGGCAGTTTGTCGAAGGCAACCGTCGTGAGCACATCGCATGGTTAACGAAAGTGTGTTCTTAATGGATATTCTTGGAACGTCATCTATTCTATCATGAGATAAAATTGACATTATATTATTTAACAATTTTGAGATTCAACTTGAATTCGAAAATTATATTGATTGCATAAATTTTTAATGTTTATACAAGTGTATCTAAGCACTTAAAATATTTTTTATTATTTCATAGTTGTGCTTTTCCGAAAAAAATTGCGTGATCGATAGAAAATCACTCTACGTGAAATAATGCAATTTTATTGTTGAAAAAGACAGTTTTACAAAGAATTTCGACGTATCGGACGTTGTCCGAAATTTGTGTACGAAAGATGTGTAAGAAACTTTGCAGACTGACACACGAAATTGCCTCAACACCGATACAAATAGTAAGCTTTGCATTGGAAACTTGGCAATCTCCTGTTTACGTTAGTAACATGATAGTGATTCTTATTAATCGATCTTAATTCCTGATAATTTTTTGCAACTATACCACGATATATTGTTAATGTATTAATCTGAGAAATTTGCTGGAAATTTTTATGCATGTATTTGTGGCTGATAAAAAAAAATGTGATTAATTTTTGTTGAACTTTTGCTAAAATTGCATTCGCGAAAGGTTCAAGTGAATTTTTACTGATAAATTCTTAAATAAAATACTATTTATTAATTTTCATTTTACATCATTTTACATGAATTGAAAGAGAATTTTATTCTGGACAGAAGCTACACACATCTAAAAGTTCGTAAAGGAAGTCCTTCAAACTTTATTATGCTCATTTGCTTAATAACTTCCCAGATACTCCACTTAATCGGTTAAGTCTCAATTTATTTCTTCGCGAGTCAATGCCAGATTCATTTGCTCGAATCAGACTTAAACTTATCAGCTTAATTCTTTCCTCAACCAACCGATCTGCATCTGAGTTTCACGACGCTCATCGTCGAAGATTACATCGCGAATCCGCTTTTTTCATCGAGAGCTCGATGAGATAGTCACGAGCTATGATCATGGCGCAAGCATCCGAACCAGCGCCGGTGCATTGCTACACCAATCCATCGTTCTGTCGTCAATCGGAGTACATCCCGGACGATCATGTCAACGACCTGCCGCCGCCACCGCAGCAGTTTCAAGGAGGCGATGATTTGCCGCCGCCTCCGCCGCCGCAGCAATTGCAATTGCCCGCCGCGGGTCAGAGCAATCCGGCTTTCCAGGCACCGCCGGAGACGACGTTAGACGACGGATTGCGGGGCCGATATTGTTATCTGGAAAATAATCGCGTCCCTTCCGCTCACAGGAGATACGCCAGTCTTCCGGTGGAAGAGCCTCGCGTGACTTATAGCCAGTCCTCGCGATATGAATACACGCAGCAGGACGAGAGAGACCGGTTGCCGCGCGAGGTTGCCTCCTCGAGGTACGAGTTCATTCCGCAGCAGCAGGTGCAACAACGTTCCGCACCGGCGGCCAACCAAGACGATCGAGGAGGGTCGCAGACGCGGACGTGCCGTGGAAATGCCGGTAGATATGCCATTATACCGGGTGACCAGGACTACCAGGATTATCATGACGATCCGCAATGGAGCGGCAACGTCAAATCGGCATCGCGACACATCAACACCCCGCAGGGTGATTTTTCTTTTATTTTATCGTTTTTTAGGAATAAAATAATTTTTCTTTTCCCACCTTTCTCATCGATTCTTTAATAAAATTGAATAATATAAGAATATTGAATAAGAATGATGCATACATATAAATCAAAATCGATCCAGATTCTTGAGTGAACAGGAAAATATAAATAATTGATATACGTATAAATATATATTTTATTTTATCGTTTTTTAGAAATAAAATAATTTTTCTTTTCTTACCTTTCTCATCGATTCTTTAATAAAAGATTGAATAATATAAGAATATTGAATAAGAATGATACATACATATAAATCAAAATTGATCCATATTCTTGAATGAAAAGGAAAATATAAATAATTGCATACGTATAAATATATAAATATCTCTTGAAATGTTTAATTGTAATTTATAATTATACAGGTCGTTACACTAGAGTGCCTGTGCAAGAAGAAATTCCTCCGGCACTTCCCGAGAGAAACATGCAAGAACTCTCGATGTCGCCAAAAAATAACTTAGCTACGCAGAAATTGCATGAAATATTATCGACGCCCAGGAAACCGAGATCAAGATCCGAAGAGAGGACACTGTCGCCGAAGAGACAACAGTCTTTTAATCAAACCAGCACGCCGCAGAGAAGGGCACTCACACCTGGCGAATCTCCGAATGGTTCGAAATTTATTATTGGTCCCTTTAATTGCACGTGCAATAATATAAATAAAATTTCATAAATTAAATATTAATTAATATATATGTGTGTGCACCAAAAAACTAACTTGGATAAATAATAAAGATATTATTTATCATCTTTCTACACATTATGATTATTATTTTTCATCCTCTTTTTCGCTTCTTTCAGGTCGCACCTTCAGTCCAACGCGCACAACTCCTCAAGGTACGCCTCAGAGTCGAGGCTTCTCACTCACAGGACCCCAGACGTCGACGCCCAACAAGGAATCGTCAGCTCGCAGATGCCTTCCTCTGTTGGAGAACTCATCCCGTCAGCAGGATGTTTGTCCAGCCAATAATTGCGGCCGGCTTCGTTACGTGGGTACCGCACCGGTTGATTTAATGAACCTGAGTCACAATGAACCGCCGCCTCGCTACGTTTATGCGGAAAACGGCCTGGAGTCCATGCCGATGATGTCCGGTTCGCCCAGATATCATGTGATGCCCGCCGACCAGAAAAACTATCAAAGCGTTGAGAGCGCGTTTATGGCGCGCACCGCCGTTGTAAGTGATGATGATGCAGATAATGACACAGAAAAATCACTCTAACGTCTAACAAAAACGTAATTTTTCCAGGTACCACCGTTATCTCCGCCAAACAGCGACGTGAATACTACTTTGGCGAGTGGTATGGAGAAAGGCGAGAGAAAAAGCGCGCCGATTCTACTCATACTAGTCGGTTTTCTGACCTGTGGTCTCGCTCTCTACCTATCCTCGTCGCAAGGAAGAAGGTAGGACTTCATTTTTTAAAGGAAGAATTTCTCCAAACAAAAAATTGTAAAATTCTTGCGTCAACGTAAACAAACTCAACTTGCTTGAACAATTCAAAGAATGCATTACTTATGAATATATAAATATTTTCAATAGTATTATAAGTTTCATAAGTTTTATATTTAATAAAATATCACATTCTCTGATTTTAGATACTACTTTGATAGCGCAGTCGGCTGCGGTGCCTGCTGCGCTTTAGCGGGTGCATGCAGGAGTTTACGAAAGACTTGGACAGGACTTGGTCTAGCTGGGCTGGCGGCACTAAGCTGTGCCGGTCTTCTGCTACTAGCAGCTAAATCTCCGAAGGACGGCACACCACTCCACGACATCACAGCCGGCGCTTTATGCGGCGTGTCAGTTTTAGGCGCTGGCCTTGCCCTGTTGGCTCTTTTGAAGCCGAGATGCAGTTTCGGACGTCACAGACGAGTGCATTCTTGGATACCACGATTTTCACCTTAGCTTACCGTCGATGATTTTTATCATAATTTATTCATCTTAGAATTATTGTCCTTTCATTAGAAGGATATTTAAAAATATAATTACGTAAAATAAAAAATCCAAGAAATACTCGTGAAAAATATTTGAGAAGTAATATTCCATGTTATAAATTGTATTATAAATACTAAATTGAACAAAATCGATTTTTGTAAGAAAAAAAAATGATTCTAACAAAGTATTTATATGTAAAATACTCAAAGAGGAATTGCAAAAATTGCTGCGAATATAAAGATGATATTTTCTTATAGATTTTTATCAAAGATAAATTATTGTTTTTTTTTACTCTTTCCTTCTCTGAAAGGTCAAATATCAGTTCTTTAATTGATCGAATATATTGATCTGAACTTATTCAAAATGTAAATTATCATCGCTTATATAAGAGAGCACTATTGCTTATTAAAATAATATGACTTCTGTTTAAATTCTAAGGTTTACATTTAAATAAAACTTACAAATCCTTATTTAATACATATATATATATATGTTTTTTTAATTCTAATATTTTAGCTAATTTTATTAAATATATTTTATTTAATACATAAAAGCTAACGACGCAAGTGTACTCTTCCATCAAACAAGAAGTTAAGAGAGTTGTCATATTTAAAATATAAATATAATTAATAAGCGAAGTGTGACATAGTAGACAGACCACTAGTCTACAAAGCCAAATGCCCTGGATTCGATTCCCGATTGAATTGAAAAATTGTATATGCTCGCTTCTCTCTCGGAAGGCAATGCAAATCGAGAAATCTTGCCAAGGACATCTCTTTAATATACCCGTTCGGCATTAAACTAGGTCCCATATACGTGTAATAATCTGATGCACAGGTATATGAAAGAGAGAGATTACCATGTTCAAAATCGAACAAAAAGAATGAGATAAAAACTGAAAATTGGTGATATGAGGCCTTATTTAACCATATCGTCTAAGACAGAAGTTGACAGCTAACTTGAAATAAACCAGGCCGATTGATCGAATATATAGATCGAAAAGTTGTATACGCTCACTCCTCTTATCACATTTAAATAATTTAGATTAATAAAAAATAATTAATATTTATTTTGCCAAAGCAAATGATTGCAAAAATTAGTATTCTAATTAGCAATAAGCTTATATAAGATGCTTTCACAATAAATATTAATTTTTTTTCTTATCTAAAACAATACAAATTTAGAACATGGATAAACACGATAAAGTGTGAGAATTTCCATGTTTTGTGATGAATTTTTCGCCAAAGCAAATTCCACTCGGTCATTCTCCATATCAAATTCGGTGTAATAACATCCAATAAAGGTCCAATCGATTCCATATTATGTTATGTCCAAAAAATCCACTTATGCATGTAGAATTAACTGGGTCTTATGTAGAATTAAATATACACAATGTACATAAACTTCTCTTATATATATTTAAATAATTTACCTATAGCAGCACTCGAATGACGTAATTTTTACCAATAAGATCGAATGCCTTAGCACCCAAAATAAAACTGATTGTAGGTAACTCAAAAATTCATTATACCTATAGTTCTGCTAATACGTGAAAAAATAATTACAACTAGATGTTTTGATGATCTCGCGATATTTATGTTAACGTTTAAATGTAGATAAAATCAAGAGGAAGAAAAGCGAACGTTGCGAAAAAACAAAGAGCCCTTTTTCAAAAATATTCTTTTTTATCTATTCTTTAACTAATAAATAAAAATATACGTTTTGATTAAGATTGAGGTTTCACGGAAGTATTACGAAATGGATCATATCAATTAGGTTATCGTGGCAGGAGCGGCTTGTTATTTGTATCGAAAGTAATATATTTTATCTTCTACGTTCTAAAATCAATGTCATTCTAATATCTATGTCATTATCACATGTCTATTTCAGTCAGTCCGTTATGATATGTTTATTACTCAGTCCGTTAAAAACATTGATAAATGTAAGTTTCAAATATATAGCTGGTAAATCAAAAATTTTCATGTATAAGTACAGAATTTTTTCACGTCTATTACATTATGATTATTCAACTTTATCAGGAAGAGGCAGAAATCGACTAAACAATCTATATACGTCAAGATAGTCCTGTTGAATATCAATGAATACTCTGAACGAAACCTGTGATATTAAATTCTAAGTAGGAGCTCTCAACTCCTTGTGACAAGCAATCCTTAGAGCAAACAAACACTTCGAAAATGCTCCCATTCACTGTCGAGAAAGAAGTCGAAAAGATGATGAAGAAAATGACATCGTCGTGAAAAATTAAATCTTTCAAAAATTAAATTCTAACTTTTATCAAAAAGAAGTTACTTTTTTTTTTAAACTAACTTTTCTTCCTTGAACTGTCACATACTAGTTCTTCAATTGATCGAATATATGCAATTAGATCTGAGCTTTGAAATGTAAATTATAGTTGATACTATAAGAGAGTTAGGCTGATGGCAGAGAACTAAACGTGAATGCTTACGTCTGTTGTAGTCGTGAACGTAAAGTAAGACAGAGAAAAACGTATGTCGTACAAGGCCATTGTCACAATGTATAATAAAAATGTAATGTAAAAAAAATGTAATGTAAAACATATGCATATACCTTGTGCACATTTTAATTTTCGCGAATAATTAATCTTTAAGAAAAATTTACGCACTACCATCCGCAGTGACTCTTAATCGTTCATTTCTCGTGTATCGTGATATCATTGAAGTTTCAATTCGTAAAAATTTAGACGACGACTTTATTTCGACACCTTGTACGGATACACAGAACTTCCTTTTATTTTATAATCGGATAGATCACAGAAAAATAAAGTGTTGTCGCTCACTGGTTCTTCTTTTATTATTGTATCAATATTCGATAGTTATATATATTGTTACGACCCTGATGTCCGTGTTCATCGGGACGGCGCCAATTTACGAGAAGAAGCGCGTTGTCAAGAGGTTGTTGACAGCAGCGCCTGTCATCTGAGTTCGGTTCCAGCTGTCAAGCTGCGCGGACGCGTTTGTGTATCGAGCCGAGCCGATTGCTGTTATTGTGTTAAAGCGTTCTGTGATTACGTTGTAGTATTCTGTGTTGTGGTGTTTTGCATTAAAGAGTTCCGAGTTCCTTTTAGAAGTGTCTATTCATTTCGCGCGACTCGCGAGTGGCCGATCTCTCCGCGCGCGTCTTCGATATTAATCGAAGTCCTCGCCGCGGGCGTAACAATATATATACATGATCGCGTATGCCTTTACGCTGAATAATGTTTCAACAGCGAGAGAACGTGCGAATATTCGAAGAACCCTGATAGACTTCCACCACTTTAATTTAAATGTATCATATTTTGCATGCTTATATATCCGTTAGTTAAAAACGTTTATTTACATACATTAAGAATTAATAATAAAAAGCAGGTCTTTCATTAAAGAAAGAATACATTGTTCAGCGACGGATTAACACTAGAGGCAAACCTAGGCATTTGCCTAGGGCGGCAAATTTGAGGGGGCGGCAAATTTTCAAAGACAGAAAATTTTCGCCGCCTCTGTCTGGGGTCGTGAAAATATTAAAAAATATATTATGTTTTCACCAGCTAATGCAGGGGTAACAGAAAATTGATACATATTTTGTACTTTTTTTTTTTTTTTTGCTTTCCGGTTCTACATCTGACACTGCGACTATACCTTGGATTAGGGGCGGCAAAATGTACGCTGCCTAGGGGCGCCAAAATGTTTAATCCGTCGCTGACATTGTTTATATCGACTAGTTAGAAAATCATGCAACATTAACTTTATAATAGATAATTTCAAAAGTATTATTTAATTCCTTCGCCTACAATATCGTGTGATACTCGTAGTAAGGAAATCGGGCCAAATATAAGAACCACGGGTGAGAAACGTAGTACGTCGATCAAGCCAAACGTAATCAACACGTGTCAGGCTCGTGATTTGTAGGTCGGATTAAACGTAAACAACACGAATCAGGCTTGTGATTAATTGTCGATGTCTTCTGTCTCAGTTACGTGTTATTCTTGGCCACATTCGCACGTTCAAATATATTTTCTTAAAAATATTAGAAGAAATGTGTGCGATTGGCAACTTCGAGCGCTCGGCCGAATCATTAAATGGCTCGACGCGTGACCGACCTTGCTGTTAATTGTGGCACGCGCTGTCGAAACTTAAATTATAGGGCAAGTGGTTAATTAATCGGCATTATTTTATTTATTTATGTGCGATAAAGGCGCTCATGCCTATCTCTTTAATAAATCTATTAACAGTTTCATTGGGACGGCGTGGTACTTTGCTGCCATATGAAAGGTCCCGGGTTCGTCTGAAGGCAGAAAATTTCTACGATACAGCTACCTCAATCCTCCGTAAGTGTATATTTATTCTACTATCTCATACTTATCTTATTAATTATATTATTTAATTATATTATATACTAATATATACTATGCTTATATTACACTAATGCTTATATTATATAACAATATATACTATATTTGTTTATTTTTCGATAGAAAAAATATTTAATTCACCACAAAACTATAAATTTTTTTAATAATCTATTATATTCTCTTAATTATACTATAGAAATTTAAAAAATTATAGTTTAATAGTGAATTAAATCTTTTTTCTATCAAAAAATAAACAAATATAATATAATAATATAATATATATTATATAAGCATAGTATATATATAATATATATGTATATATATATATATATATATATATAATATATATAATTTATATAATATAAGCATAGTATATATTAGTAGGCAGTGCTAGAAACTGTCCATTGAAACCTGAAGAATCATACGAAATAGTAATAAATCGTCGAGAAACAGAGTTCGTCCAAAGAATCTATCATATTTGCAAAATCGATCCATATTGAGGTTTCGCGGAAGAATCACGAAATGTGATCATACCAATTATATTATTCGTCATTGTAGCAGGGCTTGCTATTTGTATCGAAAGTAATATATATTTTATCTTCTACGTTCTAATGTGAATATCATTGGTTATCACATATTTACTCCACGAAGTGTGTGGATGGAAACGTTGACATGATAATCTTGATGAGGTGATTTCCTTATTTCTCACGATAGAATAGTTAACTAAATTATTTTCACTCGAAAAGGACCAAAACCCATGGTCGAAACGTCGTGATTTTTCACTTTAATAAAATTTGCCAGTATGGTCGTTTTTAATTACGCCTTTTATTAAATATTTTATTAAAAAAAAATATATATATATATATATATATATATATATTATTTTATCTAACATATATAACGATTAATGACACAAATGTTCTTACATTGAATAAGAATTGTTTATGAGAGATATCATGTTTTTAAAATAAATGAAATGTAATCTTATTAACATACTATTATACATATTATTATACTATATTCAAAGCAATTTTTGTACGAATAATGTCTTGAAATCATATAAAAATTTTAAATTGGGAATATGACTACATATTTTATAGAATAAAAATTTATCTACAAAAAATAAAAACTGTACAAAAATATACTACATCATTAGTATATTATCATGTGCTATTAAATCCTTATCTATTTTTATTAGACATTCTTGATTATATTTCATAATATTTTATTAATAATTCTAATATAGAGAATGATATAGATATGCTATATATGTAAAATTATCACTTCCAGACATATTACAGACATATAACAGGTACAAAATTTGTTATCTCAGGTTTATTAGAAAGAAGTCGAGTTTTTTTCTATCAGTTACCGTCTGCAACTACCGCTGTCTAGTTGTCTAAAAAGTGCAAGATAAAAATTTCTTCGACAAAAATTTATTTTTGTTATTATTTTATTGTTTATTTGAGTGAAGTTGTTAACGTACAATCTGCATTCTTTAAATAAAATTCATGATTAGTTTATATAAGCATTTCGCTTAAATATACTCAATATACAAAACTTGATTCGCACGCAATAATTTGGTTGTAAAGCTTTAAAATGGAGATATGAAAAAAAAATTATCGTATTATCATAATATTTCTTTACTACAGTGTCTTATCTAATGATCGTTGCTGTAAAAATGATATATATGTGTTTGTTGACCATGAGAAAAACCATAATAAACGCGTTGATATTTTTTCTCTTCACGAATCAGATGCTACATATTTGTGGAACAATGACTGTATTACGTGGATCAAGATTAACTTCTCAACCATACACCGAAAAATTAATATGCATCTCAGAAGATGATGGCGGAGCTCTAGTATGGAATGACAATTTAAGATGGCAATTTAAATATTACAACCAAACACATCAAAATAAGCGTAAGTTATTAAAATAAAAATATGAATCTTTTTTTGTTTTATATATGTTCTACAAAAAAATTTATTCATTTTGACATGCGTACAGAAATACTTATTATATTTTTAGTTTGAAAAAACTTACTTGCAAACATTTTACTTTTTACTATTTACGACAATGCACTAATTATATTCCCATTTAAGAATTTTCTACTCTAAATGGAGGCATTCCAAATTGCAAGATAAATTGCAAAATGAATGCAGACGAAGACTGTTTAAAATCATGGATTCAACAGGATTGGAGTCTCACGAACTCTGTCAAAACACCCATGGGTCCGGTTTTTGATCAGCGTTGGGAAGGTAAAACTGCAAAACAGTCTGGCAAATACATAATTCTGATATAAAGAATGAAATATGATATTGAGAGTGTAGTTTTAAAATCACTTTAAAAGAGATGCATGTAAAATTTTCAGAATTTCGGGAATTTACAAGCCTTCAAGATAGATATGATTATATAGATCTTGAAAACATTACAGCAGCAAAGCTTTCCATTTCGATTCGTGCATCTAATGACGCGCATATATTGCTTTGCGACAGTAAGAATTATTACTATGATTCCTGCTATTTGATTATAATTGGTTGGTCGAACGCGGTATATTTCATACGAAAATGCGCGACAATAGTACCTGTAAGCGATATACCTGCCACAGATTTAAACTGCAAAACAGTAGAAATGTTTTACAAGGTACAATATGTAATTTCATCACTTCAAGTCATTTTCTCTTTTATTACATAACTAAAATTACTTCTTAAGACACACAAATCGAATAAGAATTAAATATATGATTATTGTCATTACATTTACAATGTATAACTATTTTAAAAAGAACATGAATTTGTGAAGATTTGTACCTCAATCTGAAATTAATTGATAATCAATGCGCAGGATAGACCATTGTCAGGGACTGAGTGGCAATCGTTTATCATTAAATGGAATTCTGTAAGACGGAGTATATCTGTTTATGACATTGATAATCAAATCTACGTAATGACATATGAAGACGAGGAAGAACCTAAACTTCCCAACATCACTTATCACTTGTTCATCAGAAGCAATGAACATATACTGTTTCGACTTCATATATGTAGGTTCAAAGTTTAAAGATTTTTCAATCAGAATTATTTCAAATAGAGTAAGAATTAAGAAAAGGAATTCATCCGCGAATATATGTATTTCAGATAACTTTTTGCACACGACTATAAAAAATGCAATTCTAACGAGTCCCATCATTCAACTCGATAATGAAACGATGTGTGTGCAAATGATGATTGGTTTGTGTACAGAATGCGATGCACATATACTGTTACGTGATTCCACAAGTAACGAAGTACTAGAAACAGTGGTTTTAAAAGGTTCAAAGGCCGCAATTCTTGGCTTGCCCATGTGGCAATTTATTCAAATCCAGAGCAATCTATCAACGATCAATTGTAAAAACGTGATACTTCAAGTGATTCCTAAACTCAGCACGCCTTTTTCTAATCCAGTATGGGCGATAGCGAATGTTCGTCGATGCCCCAGAAATGGTGAACTCTTATAAAATTTGTTAAAAGCTATTAACTAAATATTTTATTTGCACATTTGTAGAACAATTATGAAAATCTTTAAGGATCTTTATTGATTATTTTCTGTATATAATTCGTTAAATTCTCGCATTTAGATTCTTTGAGATGGAGTAATATACATAATTATAAAGACGGAAATCCTAAAACATTTTGGGCGAATATAACATGTCAAAAATTATTTTATGATGATCATACCGTAATAAAACCTAAATTAAACTCTAAGCCGGACACGAAATTTGGTAATTATTTAAAAAAGTTATTATATTCTGTAATTATATTATATTATAATTATATTATATATTATATAAATTATATTATATATTCTGTAATTATATTATATTCTTATATTCTGTAATTGGAATTAATAATATCACATTCTTTTGTTAAATTCTTTAAAATGGCGTATATAGAAAAATTATTTTAAAGAAGAAAATATTCTTTTTAGATCATGAAGATTGTCCTTTAGGAAAAATTGGGCCGCAATGTTTGATCAATTGCGGGCTTGATTTAGAAAGCTATAATAACTGCAAAGAAACTGTAATTTGTTATAAAGATGGCTGCACGTGTCCTTCAGGATTTTTAGGAAGCAAGTGTTCTACGTGTAAGTGTACCTTGTCATATTAACGAAAGAAGCTATTTACTTTTTCTACACTTTTGTTTTACACTTTTTGCAACATTCTTACGCAAATTCATAATAAATTGTATTTTTAGCTTGTGAATCGCACACATATGGTTATGGCTGCAAGAAAGAATGTGGTGCATGTAATGACACAATCAACGCACGAGCTTCATGTCATGCAATAACCGGAATGTGTCTTAATGGATGCAAAAATTTGTACATACCGCCTTTATGTCAACAAAGTAATCATCTTGTTAAGCTATTATTTTATTACATTAATCCAACTAATATAATTATTTAATTGCAAAATAACACAATAATAGTAATTTTATTTCTTCAGAAATAGACAAGCTAAATGCACCTGAGGTTACTTCTACAAGCACTACGAGTATTCAAACTATGATTCCTATAACGTGGAAAAAGGAATATGAAAAAATAACAATTTTATATTCTTGCACTCTTCAAGTAAGTATCATTCAATATTATCCCTCCGATATTCGTTCAAATGTTAGATGTGCTTTTTAATCTATTCTTAGTGAGATAAAATTTATTTCTATTAAAAATATTTTATAAAGTAAAATCTCTTTTATAGAGACAAATGGAACATCACGTTCACAAACCATGGAAACAACCATGGAAGAAGGTATTTCCAAATACGACACATTTAATAGGATATTTTGAAAATTTAGCACCCGGTACTATTTATAAAATTAGTTGCTGTTTAAATGTTGCGGGATCTGTTGTATTCAGTGGTTGGCAAAATGTTGAGACGGATTGCAATCGTAAGTACCATTTAATGTTTCCTTAGATTGTACAAAATTCAACATTTTTTCGTTATTTATACAGAATCCTATGTAATAGAATATTTATTCTATTACATAGGATACGTATATAAATACATATATACTTGTATGTATGTCTATATATATAAATTTTATATATATATTAATACAAAATGACTTATAAAAACATCAAAATATAAATAATTAAATATAAAATAAATGTAAAATTTTATATTACACTGATGCTAAAGAATTAGATTTTTTAGGCCTTTATTATTCACGTATTTATTTAATAAAATTATTATAGTTTTTTGTAAAAATTTATTTGTATTGTATATTATCTATAATATTTCTTTTTATTGGTTACAATTTTTAGCGGTTGAAAATTTTGATATGAAGCCTGGAGAAACCAACATGATAATCGATTGGCAAAGTAACATTAACGTACGTAAATATTTTACTCTACAGAAAATAAATTATTGCCCGTAAATATTGTACAATATTTTGAAAAGAATGTAATCTTTTTATTTTTTTTATGCTAGCTATTATATCCATGTCCAGCTAATTGGTATCACTTGATAGTCCGAAATCTAAACACTGATGAACAAATTGTTAACGAATCAGTTATATATTTTCCCTATAATTTGTCACAACTGACACCGTACACTCTTTTCAATGTAACTATACTTTATAAAACTGACAAGGTATTTTCTCAGGAAACTCGTACACTCGAGAGTGGTGAGTTTGATTCAATTTTAATAACGTGTACAATTAGAAATTCGTATATTCGTATACAAATATACTTCTATATACTAACGAACTATGCGAAATGACACTATAAATTAATATCATTATTTATATAAACAACCTTTATAAAAATATTCACAGTTCCATCTAGTGTGTTAGATCTCAAAGTAATGATTTCATCCAACACACTTAATCTAAATTGGAGATCTCCAGATCAACCTAATGGAGAAATAGTGCGATATGAAATAAAGTTAAAGGTAAAAATTAAATATACATACATACGTACACATATAAATTGACATATAAGATATTTATCTAATTAGACAGGCTATTATTAACTAAAGCAATTTTATACTTTAAAGTAGAGCACATTATGTTTTTTAGAACCACATTAATAAAGTTGAAGTTGTCAAAGTAACATATATGTTTAGTCTCAACTTTCTAACTGTAATATTAAGTTTTTAATATTCGATTATTTAATGTTTCATTTTTGTATTATACTTTCTATTATTCACAGATTAAGGAATATTACGGCTGTAAAGACTTACAATTACCTACGCCAGATAATCACATAATTACTAAAATCACAAAAAACACAACAATTACAATTCCGGATTTACATTCGTACGCATCTTATAGCGTGCAGGTCACAGCTCATAATTCACGATATAACAGCATGGCTGCCGAAAATAGCTTTGACACAAAGAGTTCTGGTACATGAACATTACTACTTTTTATCGCAGTTTTCAAATTAAAGCTAAAATACCATGTGTTAATCTAATCTAATAATTATTTATTATTTTGATCCAATCATTTTTTTCTTTCTCATAAGATTGGTAAACTTTCAATTTAGAAATCTTTAGCGGCAATGACACAACAATTACAAGCTCTTTCTTTTAAATAAATGGAATAAAGTAATAATTAATTATTAGACTGAACTTTCCTAACAGTTCGTCTTTCCAGAACGCAAATTCTTATATTTAATTGTTAAACAAATCATAGAATAAAAAATATGTTTCTCAAATTACTAATTCTAAGAATTATATGTTATCTCTACTAGTATACACATATTATACTCAGTATACACATATTATGTCTTCTATTAATTTCAATATTATGTATTAGATAAATAGTGTACATTTATAAATTAATACGTATAAATTAATAACAATAAATAACAAACTGTCAATTACTTTTTAGAGACACCAACGGAAGTATTTAGCCACCTAGAGGTACAAGACTGGAAACTAATGTGGGGTCCACCTAAAGACTGTACCGCGATTTCAGGACCAATTAAAGCTAGCATAATAGTACGCGGAATTAGCGACTCTGTTAAAGATATGATCTATAAAACCGAGACTTCATATTATTCTTTTGATTTATATCAAATAGAACCAAAATTACACGGTGCTGAACGATATATAGTAAAAATTTATGTAATAAGAGATAATATGAGCAATAAATTCATTTATCAAGAAAATGACTCCCCTCATCAAGAATATGAATTCGAAACTCCACCAATAGGTAAAATATTGCACAATTTATTTATTATTAGATAATTTATCTCTACACAATTACAACATGATCGAAATAACAGCTCCGCCTAGTGTAATTAATCTGGAGGTTATCGAGATTGATACACGCCAAACACCTGCAATGATACATTTAAGATGGCAGAGACCACGTCCTCCTCTCAACGGAAAATTGCATTATTATGGTATTCAATTATGCGACCAATATAACAATAAATATTGTCCTATTACGAAAGTCCAATTGAATAAATTTTGTGACTTGTGGGACGATTACATATGTCAAATGATACAAAAACCTTTTACAAATAATTCAAACATTCAAGTAAGAAATCTTTTGCTTAATAAATTTAGAAAACATAATTTATTCATAGAAACGAAAAGAAAATTAAAAAATGGACATGTAAGAAATGATATACATATACAATAATTTGTATTTTTATAGGTTGTGGCGTACAATATGAATGTTACTGAACCGAGCCCTCCAATTTCCGTAACTAATCAAATGCTTAGTAATACAAGTAAGATTTTAGGAAAAACAAGCATCTGTGCGCATTATAAATTCTTTTGTATTTTAATACTAATTAATTTATATAATTTCTACTATTAAACATTACTAAATTTTTCTTATTATAATTATCATATTTTTGTTATGAATAGCAATTACATTGTTTAGTCGTCGTTAACGAAAATTTAATATTTTCTTTATTGTTCAACTTGTGTTACGTAATGAGTAATAGTTTGACATTTTTCTTAAATTCTAATAAAATATACTGTAAATTAAATTCTAATTTAACAAAAAGGACTATCAATGTACCTTTCAGAGCCAGACGCACCTGAAAATATTACTTTTACAATCAACAATAATAGTGTAATTGAGCTAAAGTGGCATCATCCTTGGAGAACAGGTGGTCATCTGCAAACTTTTTATATTTATATAGAAGAAATTTCCTCCAATCTAAGAAGGCAGAGACTAGCAACACGATCGCTACATAGCAATTTATACGAATATCCAGTGGCACATTATATGCGTAATTATAGTATGCGATTATATTTGTTTCCGTCAACGCAATACCGGATTCACATTAAAGCTGTGACAGTTGCAAATGTGACCAGCAAGGACGAATACATAGAAGTGCATACACCTTCTACAATAAGTTTCGACGGTAATCTGGATGTCATAATCGATAAGTTACATTCCATGATCTCGTTAAATATACCGTCTGTTCGAAATGATACACACGACAGTAAGATGCACATCATAGTAAAGGGTCCCTATGTCTGCGAGCAGCATTCAGAAGTACCTGAGAATTTGCGTTCTCATGTGAACGTAAAGATGTACGATATCGCTTGGCAAGCTGCTGAAATTTCGGTATGTGCACACACTTATAATATTTATTAAGTTTATTAAGTTTATACTTGTGAAAAATTTAAATATAAAAAAAATAATTAAACATAATTAAATAAGGCCAGCTGTTTGAAAACACGAAAATTTTTCATAATTTATTATCGATATTACATTAACCTATATATAAATGTAATATTATTATGTTATAATTTTACATTTCTTTCCAATCGAACATTTTTGATGTGTACTTTCAATTATGATAGACTAGTGATTTCGCTGGTAAGACATTTACACTCGGCGATAATCGGACTTACGGCGCTGCTAGAAACTGTCCATTGAAACTTGAAGAGTCGTACGAAATAGTGATTATCCTAACAGAACAGAATTCGTCCAAAGAATCTATCATGTTTACAAAATCGATCCGTATTGGTGAAGTTCCACCGAAGCATCACGAAACGTGGATCATTCCAATTATATTATTGCTCATCGTAGCAGCTTTTTATTTGTATCAAAGGTAGTATATATTTTATCTTACCTCTTCTAATGGCAACAATACTAGCTGCCATATATTTATTCACGTCCTCAAAAATGCTGATAATATAAGTGTCAAATATATATAATAGTTGACGCCACAAATCAAATTCAATATATATAATAGTTGACACAAATCAAATTTTGATTTATAATAATATAGATTTTCTTTATATTTATTGCCTTATGCAATTTTTAGGAAGAGGCAGAAATCGAATGAACAGTCTATATACGATGAGATAGTTTTGTCGCATTATATCGCAGATGTCGCAGAATATCAAGATAATTTAGAGAATTATGAAAACAAAACCAAATTCGTAATATCAAATTCGAAGGAAGAGCCCTCAACTTCTTCGGATAGGCAATCCTTATCGCAATCAACCACTGCGGAAGTACTACCACGTTTTCGAGAAAGAAGACGAGGAGAGGGAGGAGAACACAATATCGTTGAGGAAAGTGAAATCTTTCTAGGAATAAATTTTAATTTTTATCAAAAATAAATTAACTTTTTTTTAAATCTTTCTTCTTTGAACTATCATATACTAATTCTTCAATTTATCGAATATACGCAACGAGATCTCAGTTTATTTGAAATGTAAATTATCGTTGTTTATGTAAGAGAATTTCTACCGTTTTCACATTACTTCCGTTTAAATTCAAAGATTTACATTTAAATAAAACTTACAAATCCTTATCTCATAAATTTTTACATGTATTACACACACACACACACACACACACACACACACACACACACACACACACACATATATCTTTCTTAAATACATATTCTAATATTACCTCATTTTTAAATATATGTTCCATCTAACGTACATAGAATTAAGGATACAAAGAATTAAGGATACATAAGAATTAAGGATACAAGTGCATATATCCTACATTGAATAAGAATAGTTTAACAGAGCTATCATATTTATATATAAATAAAATGTAATTTTATAAGATTATTATACTATATGTAAAACAATTTTTGAGATGTATGAATAATGTCTTGCAATCATATAAAGATTTTAAATTAACAATATAGCGACACATTTTTATAAAATAAAGATTGTTCTACAAAAAGTTTTGAAAAAATTGTATGGAAGTGTACTACATCATTTTAACAGTATCATACATATGCTATTATGTATGTATTTATCTATTTTATTATCTATTTTATTATGTATGTATTTATCTATTTTTATATACTCTTTTTCACATTTGATAATATTATTTTATTCAATCAAGTACAAAAAATGATAGAGACATTTTATAAAATCGTCACTTATTGATGCATCAGCTGTATTTAATAAATATTTATCTGTGAATTTATCATCGCGGATTCACATTAGAAGGAAATCGAGTTCTATTCCCTTAATTAGTCTAAAATCACCCTTAGTCAAAACTATAGTACTTTTCAAATGGAAGATATTTGTACAATAGGCGAATCAAATAATTTAAAATTTGCACGCTCAGAGATGATATATTGCATAGTGATGAAGGCGCTCATGCCGATCTCTTTAGTAAATCTATTAACAGTTTCATTGGAGCGGCATTTGACTGAGGCGGCAGGGTACTTGTCTGCCATATGAAGGGTCTCTGATTCAAGTTCCACTGAGGCAGAAATTTAGTTCTACGATATAGCCGTCTCAATCTTCCCCTTTCTCCTTCCACTTTCTTTACCCATGACCCCTGATTATTATACATCTATTTGATGAAACTCTGCTGATTGTTAACACTTTATTACCAGTTTATGGCATTATATATAATAATGCTTAGTTATATTATATAACAACACATAATTTTATACTATATTATTATATAGTATAATTCAGAGAATATAATAGATTATTAAAAAAATTACAATAATTAATAATAACATTTGATTTTGATCCAATTATTAGTTGAGAACTTGTATCAACTATAATTTGGCAGCATAAGGATATAATATATCCTCAATTCTTTGTTCGATTTCAAACAAGCATTCTATAATACTAAATGATGGTATCTTGGACCTGGGTTACTTCAAGCTAGCTGTCAATGGAGTAACGTCTGTTTTAGACAAAATGATTAAACAAAATCTAGTACTACCTATTTTCAGTTTTTATCTTATTTTTTTTGTTCGATTTCAAACATGATAATTTCTCTCTTTCATATACCTATGATGTGCAGATTATCACACACACATGGGACCTATAGTTTAATGTCGATTCCGAACGGGTACATTAGAGAAATGTTCTTAGCAAGATTTCCATTGAAACCTGAACGGAAGTATGGATCACGAAGTGTGGATATCAATTATATTATTCGTCATCGTGACAGGAACAGATTGTTATTTGTATCGAAGGTATATATTTATATTTTATAAAAGATATATAGGGTATAGAAGGTATATCTTATACATTCTAATGTCACTGGCTATCGCATGTTTACTCAATCTATCAAAAATTGATAAATGTAAGTTTCAAATATATAGATGACAAATAAAATTTTCATGTGTACGTACAGAATTTTTTTCACGTCTATTACATTATGATTATTCAATTTTATCAAGAAGAGGCAGAAATCAGTTAAACAGCCTAGCATGATGAAATAGTCTTGTCATAGAATATCGAGTACTATGAATAAAACTAATCAAATCTATCAGTTCGTGATAAAAGTTCTAAGCAAGTTCTCTCAATTCTTTCCAACAGACAATCTTTATCGCAAGCAAACATTTCGGAAATGCAACTATTTATTGTCATGAAAAGAAAGACGAAGAAATGGATAAGAAACCGACAACGTTAAGAAAAATGAAATCTTTCGAGAATTAAATTTTAATTTACATCAAAAAGAAACTTTTTTTAATCTTTCCTTCCTTGAATCGTCAAATATTAGCTTATCAATTGATCGAATATTTGCAACGAAATCTGAGGTTATTTAAAATATAAATTATCATTAATTATGTAAGAGATAAAGATAACAAAAAATAAGTGTTTACTGGTGATCAATGAAATATTGATTCTTAATCATTCTTAATAATTTTATTTACGTATTCGTAAATAGAAATTAATATATATGTTTTCGTAATAATTACATATATATATATATATACATATATATATATATATATATATATATATATATATATGTATGTGTGTACATTTATATGTATGTAAGTATACAAATATGTTATTACGTTTATTACGTTTTATTACATTATGATTATACAATTTTATCAGGAAGAGATAGAAATCGATTAAACAGCCTATGCACGATGAGATAGTCTTGTTGCAGAATAACGAAAATTATGAACACAACGCCAAGTCCGTGATTAAATTCGAAGCGGGAACTCTCAACTGCATCCGACAGGCAATCCTTATCGCAAGCAAGTACTGCGGAAATGTCACCACTCATTGTCGAGAAGAAGAGATGGAGAAAGACATGACGAAAGTGAAAACTTTCGAGGATTAAAAATTTTTACCAAAGATAAATTATTTTTTTTAATCTTCTCTTTCTTAAACTATCAAATACTAACGCTTCAATTGATCGAATATACGAGGTTTTAGCTTATTTGAAATATGTATTTTATTTATCGTTGTTTATGTAAAAGAGTTACCACCGTTTTCACATTAATTTTTATGTAAATTTAAATATTTACATTTAAGTAAAATTTACAAACCTTACTAAGTTATTTGCAAAGTTATTTTTGAGCTGTTTTGATATTATTAATACATTGAAATCGTACTAAGATTTTGGATTGATAATATAGCTACATATTTTTATAAAGTAAAAATTGTTTTACAAAAAGTTTTGTAAAATAGTGTGGAAATATACTTTGTATATACATACATGTGCTATTATATTATATATTTATGTGTAAACCTTGCCCATTTTACTAATCGTTTTTTCATATTTTCATATGAAATAATGTTTTATTCAATCTTGTACAGAAAATGATAGAGGCATTCTGTAAAATCGTCACTTCCTGATGCGTCAGTCGTTCCGTATTTAACAGATACGGAATTTGTTATCGCGGATTCATTAGAAGGAAGTCAAGTTCCCTCGATCAGTCACCGTCTGAAACCATTGTTGTTCAGCAGTCTGAACAGTAAAAGATACTAATTGCTTCGAGAGAAATTTATTTTTGTTATTATTTAATTGTTTATTTAAGTCAAATTATTAAAGTTCAATTTGCATCTTTCAAATAAAAAATCATAATTTGTTTATAGGCATTTCGTTCAAATGTACTCAATACGAGAATAATATGCTTCACACACATGCAATAATTTGATTGAAAGGCCTTAAAATGAAGATATGAAAAAAAATGATCGTATTGTCATAATATTTCTCTGTCACAGTGTATCATCTAATGATCATTAGATGTAAAAATGATAATTATGTATTTGTTGACAATGAGAAAAGTGTTAATGGACGCGTTAATGTTCTTTCTCTTCACAAATCAAATATTACACATTTCCGGAACAATGACTGTATTTCGCGGATCGTCGAAAAAAAATTTTCAAACTTATTCATCCCTCAGAAAATTAATATGCATCTCAGAAGATGATGGCAGCGCTCTGGTGTGGAATGGCAATTTAAACTGGGAATATCACAACAATATATATATGCGTAGTAGTAAGTTATTAAATAAGTAATTAAAATAAGTACTTATTTTGAGACAAAGAATGAGTTAAACTAAGATTAAAGTTAAACGCGATTGGTGAAATCGGGGATTACTGTTTCATATTATGCAAAAAAATTATATTTAATTATATTTATTTTAACATCCTTACTGAAATATTTATTTATTATATTTTGTTTATAAAATACTTACTTGCAAATATTTTGCCTTATTCCACTATTTGCACAATGCACTAATTATAATCACACTATTTCAGGATTTTCCAATCTAAATGGAGGGATTCCATATTGTGAGATAAATTGCAAAATGAATGCAGACGAAGACTGTTTAAAATCATGGACTCAACAAGATTGGAGTTTCACGAATTCTGTCAAAACACCTATGGGTCCGGTATTTGATCAGCGATGGGAAGGTAAAAGTGATGTGACAAATCATAATTATGATATCTATAGAATGTATTACAATATTGAATGCAGTTTTAAGATCACTTAAGAAAGATGCATTTAAAATTTTCAGAATTTCAAGAATATGTAAGCCAGGAAGATAGATATGAATTTATAGATTTTGAAGATACTATCGCAACAAAGATTTCTATTTCGATTCGTGGATCTAGTGACGCACATATATTGCTTTGCAACAGTAAGAATTATTATAATGATTTGTGTTACTGGATCATAATAGGTGGTTGGAACAATACGTGGTCCGTCATACGAAAATGCGCGATGGGAGTGCCTCTAATTGGCAACTGGCCCGAAGATCCAAGCTGCAAGAAAACACAAGTTTCCTTCCAGGTGATACATAATTTCAGGAGATACATAATTTCATTGCTTAAAGCCACTTTCTCTCTCATTACATAATTAAAATTATTTCTTAAAATAAACAAATTGAAGAAAGAATTAAATTTATTATTATTATCATCTTATTTACAATATATTACGATTTTAAGAACAATTTGAATTTGCAAAGTTTTGCACTAAAATCTTAATTTGAAACTAATTTATGATCAATGCGTAGCATATGCCGTTGTCGGCAACTGAATGGCGATCGTTTATCATTACATGGAATTCTATAACTAGAAATATATCCGTTTATAACACTGATAATATCATTATGACGTATAAGGACGAGGAAGAACCTAAACTTTCCAATATCACATATCACTTGTTCATCAGAAGCAATGAACGTATACTGTTTCGATTTCATATATGTAGGTACAAAGTTTGAAGATTTTTCAATCAATCATAATCATTTCAAATAGAATAAGAATTGAGAAAAAGAATTTATCCGTGAACATGTGTTTCAGATAACTTTTTGCACACGACTATAGAAAATGCAATTCTAACAAGCCCCATCATCCAACTCGATAATCAAATGATATGTGTGCAAATGTTAATTGGTTTATGTACAGAATGCGATGCACATGTAGTGTTACGGGAGTCCATAAATTACTCCGTGTTAGAAAAAATGGTTATAAAAGGTTCATCAAAGGCGGCAATTCATGGCTTGCCCATGTGGCAATTTGTTCAAATCCAGAAAAATCTTGCAACGATCAATTATAAAAACGTAATATTCGAAGTGATTTCTAAACTCAGCACACCTACTTCTAATCCGTTATGGGCGATAGCGAATGTTCGTCGATGCCCCACAAATGGTGAACTCTTATAAAATTTGTTAAAAGCTATTAACGCTAAATATTTTATTTGCACATTTGTAGAACAATTATGAATATCTTTAAGAATCTTTATTGATTATTTTCTATATATAATTCATTAAATTGTGTTTAGACTCTTTGAGATGGAGTAATATATATAATAAAAACGAAAATCCTGAAACATTTTGGGCGAATATAACATGTCAAAAATTATTTTATGATGATCATATCGTCATAAAACCTATATCAAACGCTAAGCCAGACATAAAATTTGGTAATTTAAAAAAGTTGATTATATATTCTGTAACTTGAATTAATAATATCACATTCTTTTATTAAATTCTCTAAACTGGCATATTTAGAAAAATTACTTTAAGAAAGGAAATATTCTATTTAGATCATGTAGATTGCCCTGAAGGAAAAATTGGACCACAATGTTTAATTAATTGCGGGCTTGATTTAGAAAATTACGATAACTGCAAAGAGACTGCAATTTGTTATAAAGATGGTTGCACATGCCCTCCGGGATTTTTAGGAAGCAGGTGTTCTACGTGTAAGTGTACCTTGCCATATTAACGAAAGAAGCTATTTATTTTTTCTACACTTTTGTTTTACACTTTTTGTAACATTTTTGCACAAATTCGTAATAAATTATATTTTTTAGCTTGTGAATCGCACACATATGGTTATGGCTGCAAGAAAGAATGTGGCGCATGTAATGAAATCAACGCACGAGCTTCTTGTAATGCAATAACTGGAAAGTGTCTTAATGGATGCAAAAATTTGTACATACCTCCTTTATGTCAACAAAGTAATCATCTTGTTAAGCTATTGTTTTATTACATTAATCCAACTAATATCATTATTTAATTGCAAAATAACAATAATAGTAATTTTATTTCTTCAGAAATAGACAAGCTAAATGCACCTGAGGTTACTTCTACAAGCACTACGAGTATTCAAACTATGATTCCTATAACGTGGAAAAAGGAGTATGAAAAAATAGCAATTTTATATTCTTGCACTCTTCAAGTAAGTATCATTCAATATTATTCCGCCGATATTCGTTGAAATGTTAGATGCGCTTTTTAGTTTGTTCTTAGTGAAATAAAATTTATTTCTGTTAAAAATTTTTTAAAATGTAAAATCTCTTTTATAGGGACAAATGAAACATTACGTTTTCATACCATGGGAGAATGTATTTCCGAATACGACACATTTAATAGGATATTTTGAAAATTTAGTACCCGGTACTATTTATAAAATTAATTGCTGTTTAAATGTTGCGGGATCTGTTGTATACAGTGATTGGCAAAATGTTGAGACAAATTGCAATCGTAAGTATTATATGATTTGATGTTTTTATTTAGATTGTATATTCAATCTATTTTCATATTATACACACACGCATATATATATATATATATATATATATATATATATATATATACATACTTATTTATTTATATTTACATTTATATTTAAAACTTATTAATAACAAAATTATTATATTTCTTATATTGTTATCTAATTTAAGCTCTTTCAATATTTGTTTTATTATTCATAGAATATTTTATTTTGTTATATACAGTATAATTTAAATTTGCTACCATCAAAGTTATTATTTTTATAGATATTATATTAATATTATTCTACTGAATTTGAGCTAGATAAATTTTATATATATTGATATAAAGAAACAATTTATGAGAAACGTCAAAATGTTTATAAGTATATGTTTTTTGAATATTTATACATGCTAAAGGGTTAATTTTTCTTATGTTTTTATTTAATAAAAATATTATTTTACTTTTTTATAAATTTTTACTCATCTTGTATATCTTCTATAATATTTTGTTTTACATTGGTTTAGCGGTTAAAAGCTTTGATGTGAAACCCGGAGAAACCAGCATAATAATTGATTGGCAAATTAATGCTGACGTATGTAAATATTTTACAATTGAAAATTGCTACAACTTATACTGTATATTTTGAAAAGAATATAATTTTTCTATTTTTTCATGTCAGCAATTATATCCCTGTCCGGCTAATTGGTATCATTTGATAGTCCGAAATATAGATACTGATGAACAAATTCTTAATGAATCATTTAAGTATTCTTCTTATAACTTAACACAATTGACATCGTACACTCTTTTCAATGTAACTATACTTCATAAAAATAACGAGCTATTTTCCAAACAAATTCGCACACTTGAAGGGGGTGAGTATAAGTTTGATTTTTAAGAATGTACTGTTAGAAATTTTTTGTATGTTTGTATATAAATATATTTCTACAATATTTATATTTGCGTTTTATGCAAAATAGCATTTAAATAAATAAATTAATATCATTATTTACATAAATAACTTTTAAAAATATTGACAGTTCCATCTAGTGTGTTAGATCTGAAAATAATGATTTCATCCAACACACTTAATCTGATTTGGAGACCTCCAGATCAACCTAATGGAAAAATAGTGCAATATGAAGTAACTTTAAAGGTAAAATTTAAGTATATATATATATATATATATATATATATATAAGTTTATTTATAAGATATTTGTATAAAATAGTAAAGCGCGAATATTAACTAAAATAATTTTATACTTCATTAAAGCATAATATTTTTTTTTAAACCTCATAAAATTAATATAATTAATAAAATTGAAATAATCAAAGTAATATATATATATATATATATATATATACATATTTAATCTCAATTTTTTAACTGTAATATTAGACTTTTAACAATTTTTGATTATTTATCTTCCATTTTTGTATTATTTATTTTTATATTATACTTTCTATTGTTCACAGATTAAGGAATATTATGGCTGTAAGGACTTACAATTACCTACACCAGATAATCACATAATTACTAAAATCACAAAAAACACAACAATTATAATTTCGAATTTACATTCGTACGCATCTTATAGCGTACAGGTCACAGCTCATAATTCACGATATAACAGCATGGCTGCCGAAAAAAGCTTTGACACAAAGATTTCTGGTGTATATGAACATTACTATTCTTTATCGCAGTTTTAAAATTAAAGATAGAATACTATGAGATAATTAATCAATTACTTATTATTCCAATAATGTTTCTCTTTCTCATAAGATTGGTAAATTTCCAATTTAGAAATATTTAGCGACAATGGCACAACAATTACAAATTTTTTCCCTTAAATAAATTAAATAAATAATAATTAATTGTTAGATTGAACTTTTCAAGTTCATTTTTTCGCACATTCTTATTTTTAAATATTAAACAGATATTATAGAATAGAAAGCATGTTTTTCAGATTTAGTAAGAATTCTATGTACTACTTCTCTTCTAATTTCAATATTATATATGTCTTTTATTAATTTCAATTTTACGTATTAGATGAATAGTATATACGTACGTATAAGGTGATAACAAATAATAAACTGTCAAACACTTTACAGAGATACCAACGGAAGTGTTTAGTCAGCTAAATGTGGAAGACTGGATACTATCGTGGCGTCCACCTGAAGATTGCACCATGATTTCTGGACCAATTAAGGCTAGAATAAAAATACACGGAATTAGCGACGCTGTTAAAGATATGATCTATACACCTAAGAATACTTTATATTATAAGTTCTATTTAGATAATATAAAACCAAAATTACACGGTGCTGAACGATATCTTGCACAAATTTACGTAATAAGAGATTATGCGGGCCAGGAAAATGCTTCCGCTTACCAAGAATATGAATTCGAAACTCCACCAACAGGTAAAATTTTATATTACACAATTTACTCACTATTAGATAATGTATCTCTACACAATTACAACATGATCGAAATAACAGCTCCGCCTAGTGTAATTAATCTGGAGGTTATCGAGATTGATACACGCCAAACACCTGCAATGATACATTTAAGATGGCAGAGACCACGTCCTCCTCTCAACGGAAAATTGCATTATTATGGCATTCAATCATGCGACCAATATAACAATAAATATTGTCCTATTACGAAAGTCCAATTGAATCAATTTTGTGACTTGTGGGACGATTACATATGTCAAATGATACCAAAACCTTTTACAAATAATCCAAGTAGGACACTAATTCAAGTAGGAAATCTTTCGCTTAATAAATTTAGAAAACATAATTTATTCATAGAAACGAAAAAAAAATAAAAAAGTGGACATAAGAGATAATATATGTAATAATTTTTATTTTTATAGGTTCTGGCGTACAATATGAATGTTACTGATCCCAGTCCTCCAGTTTCCGTAACTAATAAAATGCTCAATAATGCAAGTAAGATTTTAGGAAAAACAAGCATCTGTGCGCATTATAAATTCTTTTGTATTTTAATACTAATTAATTTATATAATTTCTACTATTAAACATTACTAAATTTTTCTTATTATAATTATCATATTTTTGTTATGAATGACAATTAAATTGTTTAGTCATCGTACAGCGTTAATAAAAAATTAATATTTTCTTTATTGTTCAACTTGTGTTACGTAATGAGTAACAGTTTGACATTTTTTTAAAACTCTATTAGAATATACTGTAAATTAAATTCTAATTTAACAAGAAGGATTACTATCTAATATATTTTTCAGTACCAGACGCACCTGAAAATTTTACTTTTACAATCAACAATAATAGTGTAATTGAGCTAAAGTGGCATCATCCTTGGAGAACAGGTGGTCATCTGCAAACTTTTTATATTTATATAGAAGAAATTTTCTCCAATCTAAGAAGGGAGAGACTAGCAACACGATCGCTACATAGCAATTTATACGAATATCCAGTGGCACATTATATGCGTAATTATAGTATGCGATTATATTTGTTTCCGTCAACGCAATACCGGATTCACATTAAAGCTGTGACAGTTGCAAATGTGACCAGCAAGGACAAATACAAAGAAGTGCATACACCTTCTACAATAAGTTTCGACGGTAATCTGGATGTCATAATCGATAAGTTACATTCCATGATCTCGTTAAACATACCGCCTGTTCGAAATGATACACACGATAGTAAGATGCACATCATAGTAAAGGGTCCCTATGTCTGCGAGCAGCATTCAGAAGTACCTGAGAATTTGCGTTCTCGAGCGAACATAAAAATGTATGATATCGCTTGGCAAGCTGCTGAGGTTTCTGTATGTATACACATTCATAATATTTATTAAGTTTATACCCATGAAAAGTTTAAGTATACAAAAATTATGTAATAATAATTAAATGATAATTGAATGATCTAATCCAGCTATTAAGAACAATTTTTTATAATTTTTTATCATATATCATAATTATAATATTAGAATGTTATTGTTTTACGTTTCTTTGGAGTCGAATCAATATCTTTGATGTTTGTTTTCAATTGTGCTAGACTAGTGATTTCGCTGGAAAACTATTCACGGTCGGTGACAATCGGATTTACGGGGGAGCTAGAAACTGTCCATTGAAATCTGAAGAATCATACGAAATAGTGATTATTGTAATAGAAAAGAATTCGTCTAAAGAGCCTATCATGCTTGCGAAATCGATCCGTATTGGTGAGATTCCATCGAAGCATCACGAAGCGTGGATCATTCCAATTATATTATTGCTTGTCATAGTAGGCGCGGCTTTTTATTTATATCAAAGGTAGTATATATTTTATCTTACATTATAATAACAATAATATTAATTGCCACGTATTTATTTATGTCTATCAAAAACTTTGATAAATATAAGTTTCGAATATATATGTAGCTGACATTCACATGTCAAATTTCGATTTGTAATTGATTTTCTTCATGTCTATTACATTTTAATTACGTAATTTTGTTAGGAAGAAGCAGAAATTGACTAAACGTCCTATACAAGACGAAATGATCTTGTCGCAGAATGTCGAAAACTATGAACACGAAACCAAGTCCGTGATATCAAATTCAAAGCAAGAGCTCTCAACTCCTTCCAGCAGGCAATCCTTATCACAACCAAGCACTCCGGAAATACCACTAATTGTCGAGAAGAAAGACGAGGAGATGAAAAAGGAAACGACATCATTGACGAAGGTGAAAGATTTCGAGGATTACGTTAGAGAGGCGATACAGTCAGGATTGCTGGACAAACAATACGAGGTGAGCTTTCACTCTTATTTTTAATTTAATATAAAAATAATATGGACATTCTTTGAGAATTTGACATTTGGATATTAAATCTGTATTATTCGGTACAAATTATTTATAATGCAAAAAATTTTACGGAATAGAAATTTATATTTCGCATAACTACGTTGAATTCGTATATACTTAGTATTTATTTATATATACGTAATATGTAATTTTTGTACTTTTTTTTCAAGACATTTCCAAGAGGGCAAACTCGACCGTGGGATTACGGAAAATTGCCGCAAAATAAATCTAAAAATCGATATGGTAATCTTATAGCATGTAAGTAAAAAATTGCAACTTTTTGTACGCATTGCTTTTGTGTGATAACAAGTTAAACGTTGCGCTGGCTTCACAGATGACGAAACGCGGGTGATATTGAAGAAACTTCCAGATGATGATTACTCTGATTACATCAATGCTAATTACATCACTGTAAGTCGTATAATCGTAAATATTTAACTTGGAGATATAGATTGTGAGATTAGATTTGTATGTGTATTTTTAATATTAATTTATTATTAAATAGAATATAATATTAATATTAATTATTAACATTAAGAAAAATTTTATTAATTATAATTATTCTATTCCCTTCAAAAAATAGGGCTACAAGCAGAAGAAACATTATATAGCAACGCAAGGACCCAAACCCAGTACAGTTATTGATTTTTGGCGCATGATTTGGCAAGAAAATGTTCTTATTATTTGCATGTTGGCAAACGTGATCGAAAATGGAAAGGTAAGCCCTTTTTATTCATTCTGTAAGTTGTTATAAATTATCATACAATTTGAACAACACGAAAACTTTAAAAATAAAATTTACGAGACTTATAAATATCGTGAATATGCTATTGAGAAAAACTGAAAACTAGCAAAAATTAATATTTAATTTTACCTAGTTTTTTTAAATTAAACAATCTATCTTTCATGAATTTTCCAGAAAAAATGCGAGCAATATTGGCCAGACATTGGCAAGAAAAAGAAATATGGAGACGTTATTGTGTTGAACGCAAAGCACAATGTCTTTGCTGATTATTGCTTCAGAACTTTTCAAGTCACCTGTGGAGAAGAAACTCGGAAGGTATCCTCTTATTTCTAATTTTTATTAACTTCTACTAAATACATAAGTATATTAACAACAGATAGAACACCTACATTATACGGCCTGGCCGGATCACGGTGTGCCATTGTACACACATTCTATAGTTACGTATCTGAAGAAATTATTGGCGACACCACCCGGAAATGGATCCGTGGTGGTCCATTGCAGCGCCGGCGTTGGAAGAACCGGTACCATCATTCTATGCGACATTTGTCTCCATCGAGCAGCGGCCGAAGGGGTAAAGATAATATAAAGATAATATTCTCGAAATTTTAATTCGATAATTGTTTGCATCGATAAAATCCGAGTTTAAAGTTCCTTTAAATACGCGAACTATACGAAAGATCGTAATTCGATGAAAACGAAATTGTCCAGCTGGTCGACGTATTTGCTGAAACGGCATCCATCAGAAGTGAAAGAGCTAATATGGTGGATAATAAGCAGCAATATCTGTTAGCACATTTGGCATTAGTGGAATGTTTGCTTTCCATTCCGACCACGTTACCATGTAACGATCTGTTACCGGCACGAATCAAGGAGTTGAAGAAACAACTAATAGTTCAACAGCAGAGGTACATTTCTTAATGATTCGACTTTAATATTGGGATTGTTTGATTAATAATGTATTATTAAAACTTGAAATTCGATCATTTTCAGGTTGCAGAACATTGCGTGGCAGGACGAAGCTCTGCGACAATTTACTTCTCCACCATCCTTATCAGAGAAAAACCGTGCGAAAAACAGATTTCCAGAACTTATTTCAGGTTCGTTTGCATATCCAATAGAGTATGCGAAGAATTATTTTTACGCGAATCTCTTTTGAAATTTAAATAAGTAAATTCAGTTTAAAATACTTCGTGGAAACACAATATGAGATTTTGTCTAATTATAACTAAATAAATTAACACTATTTATAACTATAAATGCCAACATTGTGAAGAAAATATTTATTTTGCAGACAAAGTCAGCAGAATATATTTGAAAAGATATCCGGCATCAGACGAAGATAGCGATTATCTATCTGCTGTTTACGTAGACGGAGTAAAACTTCAGAATCAGTATCTAGCCACACAGCTTCCGATGCCATCGACGGTTAATGATTTCTGGCGAATGATTGCGGAGTTTAAAGTGGAACTCATTCTCATGTTACAACCACCTGATCTTCAGGATCCTGTACGAATTATATTACTCCTCTTTATGCATTAAATGGACATACATTTGCAAAATATAAACTGTACATCTATCTTATAAGATGTCCTAACAACGTTTATTATTTATTTTTTTTATTTTAATCTCGTTATATTATTTAATTACATAGAAATCTCAATTAACTGAGACAGTCTATCTGAAATATAATCATATGAAGATAATATCATAATAATTAATAAATTAATAAATGACTACATAAATATAATTAAAATAAATTAATATAATTATCTATTTTTGCATTTTCAGACATGCTGTGTGATCGCTCCTGCGAGTGGCGAGTTTAAACCAACGCCATACTTGAACATTACAGCGAAAGAAGTCATAGAATTTGAGTATTATACGTCACAGAAATTACTACTCGTTGACAATTCGGAGGTAACTCAATTTGACGAGCTTACTTAGCGCTTTTCATTGGCCATTATCTATTTACTGTGATGACAATTTGTAATAGAAACCCTCGAGAGAACAATATGTGACTATATTATGTTTAACGGAATGGAAATCTGGGAGGGATCAACCACCACCACCAGTAATGACGATGGTGACACTTTGGCAAGCTGCGGAAAGAATCGCTAGAGGCGATGGACCGACTGTCACGCTTTGCCAGTAAAGATTAAAATATTATTATTAATAATTTGAAAAAATCATCATTAATTATCAACAAAGAGTTTCATGTTTTCTTTAAAAAATGAAAAATATCTTTTCTTATTCATATATTATTTTCTTTTATATTTTCGAAAAATAAATTGTTTCAATAATAACTGATAAGTTGTAAAAAATTTTTCTAAATGATATATAAAATTTATTTGTTTCAATATTTCAGAAAACGTCTATTAAATAAAATAATAATCTTTCAGTGACGGAGTAACTGGATGCGGTCTTTATTTAGCGTTAAGTTTTCTTCTGGAACGAATGGCCGTTGAAAGGGAATGCGACGTTTGTTTGGCGGTACGAGCGGTTAGACGATCGAGACCAGACTTTGTTCGATCTTTGGTAATGTATTAATTTCTTAACAAATGGAAAATATTAACGACTTATTCGATACAGTATTATTAGTCACCTTCATCATATATATATTTAATATATAAATTTTAGCAAATTTTAAAATATAGGTACATATAACAAATCGGCAATTCTAATCTAATTTTTAGGAACAACTGGAATTTCTATACGATGCCGCAGTGACATATTTAGAATATTTCGAAACTTACGCGAATTTTTCATAAAACAGAAATAAATCATCAATGTGAAATAATGAAATAGTATTAAATTATAATATATAATAATATAACATTATAATGTAAAACATACAAATGTAGAAAATAATTAATTCACTTTTGTAATTAAAAATATTTATAAAATACTATTGTAAAAAGGGATGGTTAGTAACTGTATAAAGAAAATAATAAAAAAATATTATAAAAAAATAGATTTATAATACACGTAAAGTTTCTATCTGCGCATGCGTTATTTATAATCACGTATATATCCTTTTATTATTAATGAAAACTATTACATACAAGTGCAAATAAAAATATCTCATAAGCTATGTCATACGTAAATTCTCATTAGTTTTTGTTTGTCTACTTCTGTTATATATTAATTTTATACTGTAAAATGCATTAGCATTGCTCATTGTTCATTGCAATGTAAAAATTAATATAGACAGAAACACTTATTTCTTCAAATTTTAATCGCAATTTAGCAAATGCTATAAAATCTATCACTGAATTAAACAGAATTATAATCTATAAACTATTGTTTGAAGCATTGATCCATAATCTAGGTAATATTTAACAATATATAGACAATATTTAATAAAATAAATCTAATAAAATTTCAATATAGTTATCATTATGTAGTCTACAGACACATATGCGTGCGCACGTGTTTGTGTGTGTGTCTGTGCATTTATATACTTAACAAAGAAAAGAAACTCCCACTCTAATTTTGAAAAAACTTCAGATATATTGTAACTTAAGACAAAGAGGCACATGTTTTTTTTCTAAATGCTTCTATGCAAGTATAAAACTTTCATGAATAAGACGGATTTTTATTTTCCTGAGCTAATTTTATTAAAACAATGATAGATTTAAAAAATTCTTTTAAACAAATATTTATAATATGAAACATATACTTTATCATAATATATTTAGATTTCAATGAAAATATTAATTGTTTTTAAAGAAGCCTTTCTTTTTCGTAATATCAAAAACCTCAATATAATGCACGTTTTAAATCACTAGAAATCTTTTGTCCTTTTAGAGAAAGATCCTTCTGATTCCTCTCAGATAAATTCTAACAAAAAAGATTGCCTTGTGGGTTGCCTCTTTCAAAAAGTATAAAGGCAAAATATAAACGTATAAAAGCTGTCTTCTTCAAAGAAAAATATTCGAATTCGTTCAAAGGTGCTCTGTTCAGATCTAATTCATACGTAGGACTGTTTGTATCACGCAGTATCTTGGAGCAAAAAACCGTATTATTAAGATCATATAAAATAAGTTGTATATATATATATATATATATATATATATATATATATATATATATTCTGTTAAATTATTTTGTCTACTTCATTTTTAATGATCATTGGAATTACAAATAGTGCTTACACATTTACTAATTATTGAAGAAAGCAATGCTGAGCATATTGTTTTTGCTCGTGAATCAAGTGTTACAAGTTTGTAGACATGTATTTACATTGATTGGACCAGTAAATTCGACTGGGTATAGAAAATTTATTTGTCTTTCAGAGAATGATGGTAGCACTTTGATATGGATCCACAAGTTAGAACATCATCAAACGCATTCAAAAGTCCCACTATACACAGAAAATAGTAGAAGTAAGTTATAATAAAGATAGAAACAAAAATATTTTAAATTCATAGTAGAGCAAGGTATATTTATAAATTTAAGAAAAAATTTATTTATTTTAACATGTATATTAAAATTTTTCTATTAAGCTTTGTCCTCTAAACATTCTTTCACGAAATAATCAATTTTATCATTATAAGTAAATCTTATTATTATAGTAAAAATTTTTAATTATCATTTAATTATTTCAGAATTTTACAATTTGAATAATAATAACAAAATATGGCACCGCTATCATAAAAAAATTGTCATATTTATTAGAATAAAAAATTTGTGCAAAATCCTCCAAATTCGCAAAAATTTATCATACATATATAGATAATAGAATATTAGCTATATATATGTATCATTATAATAGATATAAAATTACAATTTAAACAAAATTTAATTATCAAATCAAAAGTTTTGTCACCTATTATTAACATCTATGAATATTATTATTCAAGTGTATTAAAAAATTAATAATAATAATCTAACTACAGTTGACAGCAGTCGGGAGTAAAAAAGAAATTAAAAACTAGTACTATCTCTTTCTGCAAAGATATCCCGTTAAAATTCGTATATTCATATCGATTAAGGTTCTCCTTCGAATTTTTTTTATTTAATGACCATGACCGACTCACAATCAGTTCGGATTCCCTCGTTCGCGCGCAAACGCTTATAGACGAAAATTTACAAACCCGACAATGAGATCGGGTATCCCTGCCTCTCGCAAAGTCTTTCATCTTGCCGGCAGAAGGCGCCGCCATCGTGGACCTCGCTGATAAACAGCTCAGGCTACATACCACAAAGAGACGCGAGCCGCCGACGACGCAAACAGATTACTCCGGTGCGCATTTCTCACGTGCATTCGCGCATTACGTTACTGCTGTCAACGAGAAGCCGACGCGTTCGAAGAATTCGATTTCCGATACATCTCGTAACGAGCGCTCGACAATCGGGGCCGAGGAAAAATAGGAAGAAAATAGAACGGATTTCGTGTCGCAGCCGCGGGAGCAGCAACAGCAGGTAAGAATTTCATGAATAAAGTGCATGCGCGCGCATGGCGAACACGTGGCGTCGCGACGGCGTGTCACGGACGCGATGGACGGACGTTTCCCATCGTTCGACGGCATCGTCGACTTTGACAGCCAGCTGACAATAAAATCAAGTTACGAGCGACACGTCGCGACTCAAGGTCGCGGAGGACATGTTGTAACGCTCGATCCCTCGAAGTCGCTGCGCGCGATTTCCCGCTCGCGTTCGAACCAGCTTCGACTGATCGACGATTTCACGCGGGAAAGGGACAAAAATATGAGAGATCGTCGGAATGACGCGCAAATGATCGACGCGTCCGATGACGCGACCGAGACATCGAGTATGCTTTCCTCGTCGTTCGCTTGTGTTACTCGCTCTCCGTGTTATATAAGAAGCACGCTCCGTGAATGTGCAATTGGGCGCCATCTTGACTGACGTGATGCGCGGTGAGACAAATTTGAACGTGCTGTATCTGCAAAAATTTTGCGAATCGACGCGACGCCGTTTCAATTCAAATATTATGAGAAAAAAAATGTCGAAAATACGAAATCTAACATTCTAATAATCTAATAATCTCTTTTTTAACTTAATCAAATACTCGTGCCCGTTAATTTTGTTTCATTTTACTGTAATTGTGGAGAAATTATGAAACTTTTGCGATTCGATTATCGCGTTTTAATTATCACGGAAAAAAAACAATAATTGTTTCCGCATGCCTCTTTCGTGTGTGCGTCAGCATTTTATTTTGTAAAATGACTTAAACATACTAATCGTTATGTCAAATTAATTGAATATACATTATATGACGGTAAGAAAACACACCGTATAATCGAGAAATGCTTGTAGACATTGAATAGATTAGATTATAAACCGGCGACGAGACGATTGTATGTATTGCGCGCGTTGTGTCGTGTAAAGATTTATTAAAACAGATTCCAGTATTCTTCATATGCAAAAACAAAAAACATTTTAAAAATACACGTTGTTGATAAACATCACATTCTTTTCTTACATTGATGAATATAAACATTGCGACATTCCTTTTTATCCCTTCACATAATATATAAATATTGATTTATCAAATAACAGATTAATTCAATTAAAATTTTAACAAAAGTAAAAAATGCGCATCCTAACACGTTTAACGACACTAAATACGTTCCTTTCCGTGCAACTTTTTGCCGGATTTCAGCGGTGGAAAATTTTACAATTTCCTAACTTGTATACATACATATATCATTATGATCGTGATATCAGCTATCAGACGGCTAATATATCGCGCAAAGTAGGTCTTTCAGCAACGTACATATTATTTACGCGTATACATTTTTCCTGGAAAATTGAGATTTTGCGTAAGAATTTGTCATATATTATTTATGATCGCGTGACACGACGCATTCAACCGGCTTTCAACTGCAATCTATGAACTGCACACGGGAATAGGGAGTTATTATACAATCGAAAGACATTTACGTAATAATTTCTCTATGGTATGTCATAATAAGCTTATTAATTTAAATGATTTATTTCTGTCGATAATAATTTCTAATTTTATAATTATATTAATAATATCGAGATTCACTGCAAACACTGCAGATTCTCGATATTTATTCGGAAATATTTGCATCTCTTTTAATTGTATTTATCATATTTCGTACATTTTTATAGAATATATATTTGCTAGAATTCGAGATGTGCATTTTTGTCAGGATTAAAAAAATTTTATTGACGAAAATGCATTCCATGTATCAATAAATAACAATAAATAACAACGCTGAAATTATAAATTCCATGCTTGTATTTTTTCTTTGCGCATCGAAACGAAAGGAAGCTTTGGTTCGAACTTCGAACTTCTTAACGTGTTGTCCTCGCATATGAACGACGATATCATACAATTGCGCCTAACTCCGACAATCGATCCGACCGTGGCCCAAGTTGACAGCAATTTAAAATCGCTTTTACTCCTCGTAGAAGATGCGTCTCGGAGTATGGTTTCGATTACGATTAAGATTTATCCGACGAGAGGATCATCTTTCCTTTTTCTTTGCTAAAATCTCACCAACATTTACGACCGTGACATGAGAAAGTGTCCTTAAAACGCTCTCGCAATCGTTCGACGTTTCGAAGCATTTCAATGCCCATCATCGACCTTGTTCTTGTCATGATTTGTAATGAAATCTGTTTCTTTCCATTAGAAATACTATGAGAGAATTTTATAGCTATGTAGCAATTCTAATTATTATGAATTGTAGATGCTCAAGAGATGTTTGTGTCCACTCTGCCATTATTCTACTCAGACAGGAAATCCATTATACTTGAATATAAAATATGACTTTAAATAAAATGACTATACATTGATAATCTCACATAAAGTTATATTCCCGTGAAATAAATTTTATTTTGTAATATAATCGATTTTGCCAAAATGTAATAATAATCCAAATGTAAAAATAATAATATAAATAAGACTAATTTATATTTAGGTAAAAGAATCAGTGCGACACCTAAATTAGAAATTATTTGCTAAGCTTGAATAATGAACTTACAAACAATTAGACAAAAAGAATATTGGGAGAAAATTTCTTCAAAATAAATATTAATTAAATAATAATAAGTGAAATAAAATAATGTCGCAAACATTATCGTTGAGGAATCTTCTAAAGATAAGTGAAGACAGCATCTTTTCAGGAAGAATGGCATCGTTGAAGAGTGTCAAGACGAGCAAGATGGAAACCACGACTAGAAGCTGGACAGCGAAACCGATTCTAGGCTCGGATTTTACGGAAGTGCTTCCTTTGCATGAGGTCTACGTGGGTATCTTGAAGCAGCGGAAGGACACATCCGCCGCAATCCAGAGTATATCCGCCGTCTTGCCAGGATTCGCTCATCTGAAGCGCTGTTCGAACGGCAAGTTGCTTTTAGCCCCGCTTCGCTCGAACGAATTATCGCGAGCGAACGGCGAAGAGGACATTACTCTCGGTGAAGATGAGCTCAAGAACCAGCTCAAGGAACGAGGATTCGATCTCTCTCTCTTCGAGGACAAGTTCCAGGTGACGAAGGTGCCTGCCAAGGCACCGAGAACGAAATTGCAAGCTGGCGAGGCCTCGAAAATCTGGCCGGTGAATTTCCATCCCGACCAGACTATCGAGAGGCTGATTGACGGCTCAATCTTCGACGACGATTGCCTGCACGCGATCGAACGGATCATGTCACTGGTAATAGAGGCCGCTAGGCTGGAGGCGGTCGGCGACGTGCGTTGCACCGGCGCCGCGGCGGTCGTCGATCCCGAAGACGGGAGAATCCTGGCGATATCCGCCGCGAGGGTCGATCAGCATCCCATGTGGCATGCCGCCATGTTGGCGGTGGATCTCGTTGCCAGACTTCACGATGGCGGTGCGTGGCGTTTGAACGATGAGGATCTCACGAAGAGGCGAATGGACGAAGGAACACTCGACGAGAGGGTAGACTCGGACGTCGAGACTGAAAATTTGAATTTTAAAGATCGCTTAAGAAAGATCAAGAGAAAGTACGAGGAAGAAACGCCACTTTGTTACCCGACATCTCTATCCTCGCTCACGTTCCCGGTTCAAATGCCACTCGAAACGCAAGTCGGACGAAAGGGAAGGAGGAGCGACGGTGACAGAGTCGAGGATCCGCAGCAAGAAGAATATGGAAGAAACGTAGAGAAGTGCGGGCCGTATCTCTGCACGGGTTATTGGGTATTCCTGCTGATGGAACCGTGCCCCATGTGCGCCATGGCTTTGCTGCATTCCAGAGTCGCGATGATCTTCTACGGTGCTGTCAATCAGAACCTCGGCGTCTTGGGCTCAAGAGCGGTTTTGCATACGGTGCCGGGTCTGAATCATCGATACCGAGTCTGGAGCGGAATCCTGGAACGAGAATGCCGGCAAATGGTGGAAGAAATCAATGCTCGCAAAAGTCTTAAATGACAGATGACGACTTAGATGTAAATCTATTGTGGAAGACAATAATGTACTAAGTGTAGTCGCACGGACAATTGGTCACGGCAGTGTCTCCGGAAATAACTGAAAGATACTGATGCCGCAAGGCCGAACAAAAATGAAAACAAATAGAAGCGAAGCATGCAAGCATATTCCTTGTTCTTGTTAACGATTTGTCGCACGAATTATTGTTTACCATTGCATTTAAATGACATTATAATGACTTTTATTATGCGTTATCCCTTGCGTAACACATTATGCGTATATATTCATAGTCATAAAAAAATTAATTCAATTTCAATCAGAGTAAGCGCAATTGTCACCTATCGATTTGACTGATTCAATACTCTGTCAATATATTCCCATAATTATTCCAAAAAGATAGTTGTGTTTGTTATTTAATCATCTCTTGATGTTTTTGATCAAACATTTCCTAGACAAACAGATTATCTCAGAGATTCATCTGCATAAGATTATCTATTCGATTCATCGGTCGCGCGATTGTGGTTTAGAGACCCATGCACGTTGCAACCGGTTTTATAATTTCAATCGAAAGCAGGACGACGCAAAAGACTTAACACGTGGTATACGGACGTGCATTCGACCATAACGATTCAAGACGTATACGTGACCTTGACGTCTTAACGTTGCACGTATGCATCCGCATCTGCTGCCGCTTCTTGATGTGCACGGCGAATTAACACTTGTATTTTGTTAGCATACAATGTGACGTGCCATCATTCTCCAAAGATTGTTAAAATCATTTCTATATATTTCTTTGTTTCTCTTTCCTGCAATAGCGGAGTCTATTATCTTGCCGTGCAAAAACGGATGCTCCGTTTTCAAAGTGAGCTTGAGTTGAGCCCTATGATCGAGGTTTTCTTATTTCATTTTATTCTATATCGGCAAAGCTCTCTAAAGAAAGTTTATAATGCGAAAGAAAATATTTGATATTATAATTTTAAATCCAATCAATTAATTGAGCTAATTTAGGCTAAAATATCAGCACACTGATTTGCATAAGGATTGTCCTTTCGTAGAAAATTTAATTTTATTTTCCGCAAAAAATTTGCACATTGCAAAACGAATCCGAAAATGTTACATGTCGGACTCATTATTCGATAAAGCATAATTGATTCCACGTGTATCATAAATCATCAATATGATTTTTATACAATTTAATTCACACTTTGCGTTCTTTAATTTAATGGCAAATAATCGTGTCCTTTTGCGACAATAATATATAATTTGATTTACCGATTATTTTTTTTCTGCCACGAATTTTTTAGACACGCTCGTTGCAATTATTTCTCATCGAAATGCTGGTATCCAGAAGATCGACGATGATATTGTCAAAACGCTTGACACATATAATATCTATCGTATTACAAGAGATATTTAATATAATGCTTTAATATAAAATGTATACACTTTATGCTGAGATAAAATTCGGCGATTATCTTAGGAATATTGCGCGATTTAATACGTACCGATAATATGGTTTAATGACATCTGAGAGCACACGGCATTTGTGAAAGGTTTCTAAAAAAAGTGACAATAATTAATTAAGAAAGCATTTGTTTGACCTTATTACGTCAGCATTACAGAATGCATTGTATGCGCATTCTTGCAAATAGATAGTATTATGCGTTTCAAATTATCGACGCGTTTGTAAAAATAGTTCGTATAGATTATGCTAATTTTATATATTTGCTGTTTGCATAAATCAACATGAATACTAGTTAATTTCCAACATCTAAAGTTTTATCAATCAAATTTATATCTATTGATACACTTTTATGTAAAAACGCAAATTAATTTTTAAAATTATTTAGTAAAAATAGTAAATAATTTTCTTTATACTACTAGTAATAAAAAATTACAATGATCAATATACTACGATAATGTGATAAAATATTACAATAATAAATTATACTAAATATTCCACCGGGGAATAACAGATTGTAGCTGTTTTTGCTGGATATAATTTCATGCTAATTTTTCAATTTCTTGTAGTTTTTAAAGTTACACACAACTCAAATCCATCAACTTAAATAAATTATTTCCAGGGATTTTTGCATGTTAATAACTAAGCTTTGCATATGTAACCTTGTTTATTACAATTATGAAATCATCGTTTTCCTCGGGACACATCCGGGTGAACAAAACGATAATCGAGATCATTGATTTCGAAGAAGTCCATAAGTAAATGTAAAATGCAAAGCTTAAAGAAATGCTGCAGTGACTCAATTTATAACAATGCTCAAATATGACATCAATTTGGGAAATAAAAATACATTATTGTATTTTTATATAAAGTTATAGAAATAAGACAAATATTTATGACAATATTTTGTGAAAAATACGTGAGAACGATATAATTCGCCTGATGAAGGAATTCATCATTTCCCATAAAAACACTCATAAGATCAAGGTTTTTTTTTGTCAATATGGAAGTACATTCGCGTTCTAGGAATCACTCGATTCGCTACGAAGCGAATAGCAAGTACGCAACAGTGACCCTGCGGATTGACATCGATCAGCGACACTACAGTTGATCCATCCTGCAGAAGAGTTGCTCTATTGTTCATGAAAAGAGACGAGGATAGAGTGAGATAGGTGGAGAAATCGCGAACCGTAAATTGCGAGACGAGGAAGACGATAATTCGTTGATCCAATAGTTGATGAAGAAGATTCATTCGTTGAAACGATAAACCATAATCTTACAACGAAAACTTTAAACAATGAAGTCTTGAATTATGACACAAATATATTTATAGTTTGATGTACACAAAACTTAATAAATAATACTTTTATTCAATCTTTATTATTTTCAATAGTGTGATCATTGAATATCGCTGTCGTTTTTGTTTGTTTCAGACTTTCTTCCAAGGTGCAGAAAAGAATTTGCTAATCGAAAATACTCGCGAATCAAAAAAAAATCAAGAGAGAATGCGCGCAGCAAACAACGCCTAATTTCTTCGATAAACAGGTCGCGTCCAAACAGAAGCTCTAATTGAGAAATAACGTCCCCGAAAGGCATTTTTGAAAAGTCGGCACGTGGCTTCGGTGACGATAGACACATCAGCATCGCATCGCTGACGTTTATTAGCAGAAACACGTTTACAAAAGAAACGAAATCCTCTTTCTTATATACGAGCGCGTGGAAGGAGGAGCTCTCGAGGTCACGGTGCGCGAAAAGCCATACGATATCAAAGATAATAAAGTTTCGAAACTAATTAATCCGCGCGACAAACAGACTCGTCGCTCTCGCGATAGTGTCGGGAGAACGCAGGCAGTCATCATCGTCGGTTGTCAGCCGCGAACTACGTCAATTTGCAAATTATTGCAGCTGACGTTGCACCGCGTCGTTTAATAGTTTCGTTCTAAAGTAGATTCTGATCTCCATAGGTGGCTAGACGACTTATTTACATCCTCCGCAGCGAGGTACGCGATTCGTACAATACTCATCAGTCGTAGTAACGTTAAGACAAGCATGCATCTTTGATTATCAACGTGACGTCGTAACTGATAACCATCACAAATAAGATACTTGAATTTGCTCCTCTCAAATTTGCAAGGTCTTCGACCAGAAGATAAGAGATTAGAGACAGAGAATATCTTTGTGAGATAAATTGGGAGGCTATTACAACTAGCGCAAAAGTGCAGTTAATAAAGTCAGACATTTAATTGTTTCGTGATTCAACGAGAAGGATCTTTAGTACATTAAGATCCTCAGGTGACGATTACAGATTCTCGCAAAACAACAACACAAAAGCTCGAGGATAAAAGAATCGCGTTGATCAGCACTGAGTGGTTTCAATTGAGTGTCGACCCTAGAGAACGGAGCCCATTGGTCAAGCTGTTAATTTCTTGATGCACGATTGGATTGGATCACCCGCCGACATTACAACATTCACGTCTGAACCATCAAGTAATCCGCCGACTACTGTCTTGTCAACCAGACTTTCTTCTCTTCCTGAAAATACTCTTACTTTTTGCTAAGATCATTGACGAAAGCTTCAGAATACGAAGAATTACTTGCCAATAGATTTTCAGTGAATACTCATCAGAGAATAATCAATCGATTTATTCGGAAAACGTATCTTGAAAAGAAATATCTGATGCCGAAGCAGTAAAATCAACAAATTATCTTCGCAATAGTGCAAAGTTACAACGAAATTAACATACATTAACGTAAGAAGATTACAGTGCTTTCCCGTTATCAGTATCACTTTGAAGATTGCGCAAGAAATATTTTGATAACATCCAACACTCTCGACGACTGAATGGCTCGTTTTTATTGGCTATTGCTCTTCGAAAGACTCTAGTGTCTTTTCGTATAGTAACGGCGGAGGCACGATTCAAAAGAGAGAAAGAGAAGAACGCAAGTATCGTGGAAAGGATTAAATACTCTTTTGCCCCGCCAATAGAGCCTTCGCCTTGCGAAAGGAACCAAATTTCTTTTCACCGCTCTGAAGATTTTGTAAAACGTAGCAGACGAATTCGAGACTCCATTGACGTCATCCGAGAGGCCTCATTTACCTCTTCTTGGATCAGGTTCTTTTTTTAGACGGCACCATGGAGCGAAGGATTCTGAAAATGTGGTGATAACGGTCAGGCGAAGGCCTTTGCTACCCAAGACACTATCCAGTGTGTGAGCCATAGTCGTTAGAAAGAGATATACGTGACGCCAAATCGAACCAGGCATTTCGGAGACCCTGATTGGAATCTTTCGACATCTCTCCTTCGGAAGAATTATTATTCTCATCTGCAAGTCTCCGTTTTGCAGTGAATAAAACTTTGAAATTAATTGCAGTCTAGTAGTCTTGCAGTTCTTAACTAGGCTTCAAGATTGGAAAAAGTGCAAATTTCGAAACACCAAGTTTCGACAATTTCTTTCCTTCTTCCACAATTGCATCTTAAAGATAATCGAGACATCGTCTGTATTCCGAGGAGTGTTTCTGGACCTGTGGAATTAACATTCTTTTTTTCCATCCTTCGCAACGACGAAGACGGTACCTCTCTCGAGCTTACCTTTCTTAGTTCTTATGTGAGAAGACACCAGGGAGAAAGCATCGATCGGCAAAACGTGGAAGAAGGTTAGTATAATATAATATAAATATTTATATATAATATATAGAATTCTTGGAAGAGAGTTCGCGAAATTCACAATCAATGCGATTATTAATATCGACTGGTTAATAAATTTAAGCTATTTAAGTAATTTACATTAACTTTTAAGAACGCGAAATGAATAATAAAGCAAAATTGTACAAAAATATTTGATTATCACGGAGACTTATACTTTCCTTTCGGTTATAATTATTAATGATTCAATTGATGTCAATATGTAAGATATTATTTAGAATTAAAATATTCTTGGAAACATTTACACAAACAGTTTTTTATGAAAACCTCAAGCGATATTAAGCATAGAATATAAAAATTATGTCCAACAAGAGTAAACATCTAATGACTAATGCATAGATTATAATATGCAATGAATTAAATGCACAAGATAGTGATTTTAAGAAATGAATTTTACACGTCTGTTTAGATATTTGCAATCTTTTATGTAAAATTTTTTTAATGATTGACAGTATTTTTTATTATTATATTTAATTTTTGTTAGATGATTAAATACATTTTTAATATAATTGCATATATTCATAATAATTGTACATGTTTTAATGTACTTTACAATTTTTATATAATTAAATTTGATTCGTATACAGCAGTTGATGCATTAAATAATCCCTATTAAAATTTCATCAGAACGCAATACGAGAATCACTATCTTAGCGTATCACTTGAAACGCGAAAAAGGGGCAAAGATAATCAGAGCATCGATTAACTATCACTTTTATCTCGAAATTGAGTATTTGATATTCGCAGGAGGCAGTTCTCCGGCGGAACGGCAGTAGGACACAACTAAGGACAAGATGCGTTGCAGCCAAGGTGTGGCGATGATATTCGAGGACGCGTTCGTCGTCTTTTCGCGTTTTTTGTCACTGAGATCGCGAGGCTGCGCACTCTTGGAAACGCACCGGCAGCGCGAGACCACCGGCATCAAGAAATTGTACAACAGCTTCTTCGTCATGTTCTAAGAGAGGGTGATCTAAGCCCTGAGCACCACCGTCAGTCGGCGGATGCATCGTGTTTTTCCAAGCTAGATCGAAGATCTAGGCCGAGGGAGGGTGCTGACAAGGTGGACGATCTACAACGAAGGGCAAATCGCGGTGGAATGAATACTTCTCGCGGCCAGAGAAACGATCTGATCCCGGGACGAAGCCCGTCGATCTGAGATCTGAGATCGACGTGGACTCGTTTCGCCTCTTATGGACTCGTCGCCGAGAAACACACATAATCGTAAAATTTTTTTTCGCATATAAAGCGTATAAAGTAATAAGTTTTAGTGTAAGTTAAGAAGTGACGTTCCTTCATTTATCGAGAGAGAAATTTTGTTCGCTAAAGAATTGCTTCTCGCCGACGGAGTCTCTTTAAGGGCGTTCGAAGATACTCTTCGTAGGTCTGAGATCTAAGATTAATGTAGATATTCGTCTCGCCCGGGAATCTCATCGCAAGCGAGCCCTTTATTAGTGCCGCAGTAATATAGGCTAGGTAATACTTCGATTCGTCAATCGGCGAATAATCTAACTATAATTACACGTGTGCTCTGAGAACAAGAGCTGTTGAATGGAGCTGCAACTTATGATGGACGGTGGTGCGGAAACTCTGAACGGAGCGATGTGGTTCGCCAACGCATCGTCTCCGTCGTACGACCAACTGTCGCCGGTACGTCCAAACAGGTGCGATGTCGTAGCCTCTCAACAGGTGCGTGGCTCGTCATTGTAAACAAATATGAATCAATTATATTCCAATAAATTAGAAATTTTTTCTTTTCACATATATACCATATATATTTGAAATTATATCTCAAACATTTATTTTGTTTTACATACTTTTTAATTTTATATCAAAGTTCTTTTATTTTTTTAATCTTTTTAATTATTTTCCCGAAAAATAAAATTTCAGTTTCTGTAAAAATAAATTTTTTTCATCAGCTTTAGATTTACTTTGCATGATTTCAAAAATATAATTGTGAACCAATGATGTGTTACAGACTATAATGGGGTATCATAGTCCGGAAAATTCTCTATGGCAAGATAAACATAACTCGCCGAAAAATTCACCGACTGGCAATGATCAGATACATTTGAATGATGGTTCGCCGCAACAACTCTCGTCTACCGGATCATCTCCGAATTGTGAACAGAACAATCTGAAACGTTGTTCCACGGAACCCTTGCAACGTATTGTGGAACTCGAGAAGAAACATATCAGAAGAGATGGTTGGTATTTCTCACGTTACTAAACTGAGAAAAAATCTGATTGCATTAATTAGAAATCTGGTAGATTCAACCAGTATGTTGGAAAATGGACGAATCAGAATTCCTTTAGGATGAATATAATTATTTTCTTCCTGTTAAATTTATCAAATTTTCTGGGTAATAATACTAAATTTACAAAAAAATGGCATCACTGTGTCCATGTTTAGTTAATATAACAAAAAGTTTTATAAATCCAATTAGAAAATACTAACCAAATCTTTGTAGTAAATTCTATTAAACGTTTTAGTTATAAAAAATCGAGTCTTATCATGATAACTAGAAATTCTGCTTGGTTTAACCAAAATGTCTTCTATCAGATACATCTTGTTAGTACAATCAAACGACTTTTCTCGATGTATTTTTTCAAATATTATTGTAGTAAAAAAATGGATCATGCAGTATAATTCACGTGTAATTAATTATTTCATCTTAAATTAATAATTCTTATCGATACGATGTAAATTTAAGGCAACTGTGCACATTTGCCGATGTAATGTTTGCGCATATATATACTTTGTTTCCATTATAAAATAAAAACTGCTCGTGGGAACTAACGGGACTTGATAATTATAACATGTCAACAAGAAAAAATAAATAAGAGAGCTTGAAAAATGCAGTCTCTAAATATCTTGTTTTTAAAAAGTGAAAATATCTCAAAAAAAAGCAAATCTACAAAAGATTGTTTTACGTAAATCGGTAACTATGATAAATCACTAATTACAAATTCAATTATTATAAATTTTTTCAATCGATAATTAATTCAATGAAATTCATATAATTTTATACAATTTTTTTAGATTAGAAATTTTTTTTTAAATCTTACATTTATTTTACATCTATTATATAAAATTAAATAAATTTATTATAAAAATTTTTCAAATTAATATAATGATAGCAAAAAGTATAAAACTATATTTTTTTTAATATTTAACAAAAATAGATTTGGAGATATTAGATTTAATCTTAAATCTCACTTCCCAAAAAATATTTTCCATTGAAATATATTGTAAAAATATGTTGCTTGTAAATGTGCAATGGCGCAAAATCATCATTATTGTGTAGCTATTAACGTAGATATATCTTTTTAAAGGTCGTGACCAAACGACCTCTTATACACTGTCGTAGCCACGAGTAGTTTCATTTTATTGTCTAATGCGTTATAAATTTTATCTCTCATAAAAAACGTGTATATCATCTACACATATATTTCCAGTCAGTTTCAATTTTTTTAAGGGATTAAATTATTTTTAAGATAAATCCATTACCTGGCATAAATTATAAATATAAGCATAATATTAATTGATCTATACAATTCATGCGATAACGGTTTTCAAGTATTTGTGACTTATAATAATAACTTATAATAATAACCATTTTATTAGCGCAAAATTTTGATTATTTAGGAAAATTCGCATTTTAAGAATACAGGACGCTGTAAACCGGCTAAAACAATATTCGCAAAGTTTGATATCATTGTACTTGCCTTGATTAACGCTCAAGATCAACGATGGTGCGACGTGCAATTTCGAGTGACGTCGCTCTGAAGATCTCCTCAAGACTGATCGGCAAACTTCTACGCTCTATCTTCTTACATCCGACGCCTTTTCACCCACGTGGCTGATAACTCGAATACGCACATACACACACATATATGTATATACATATAATATACACGTAATGTATCATGCAGATTAGCTTGCTCTAAAAAAAAGGGAGAAAGAGAGAGAGAAGCCTGATACCAGTTCGTCATACTCGCGATACTTCGTGAAGGAGCATACACAAAGAGTTTTCGGTGGTGTAATCCTGCACGAGTGTGATCCTCACGACGGCTGAAATAGGATGAAGTGGTGTGATGTCGATAGATCCATGGTGTCGCTGTTGCAAAGTCGACGTTATCCCCTTGTCTCTACCAAGAATCGGCGTCGTCACATCGCTCAAGAAACGAAAGATATAAGACCGATCACGATGCATCATCAGCTTCATATCGGTTACAACGGTATTCAAGGCGGTACGATGTCTCGCGAAAAGAGTCTCACGTTATTTACGCTGATAGCCACGTATAGTTGCTTGAAAAAAAGCGATACGATGAGGAAAAAATAGATCATTAATCCTCTGTACGCTCTGAGACAACACACGATTTAAAACTTCTTTCTTATCTATCGATCTAAAACTTTGTGTATATTTTATTTTGCTAATTGTATATATTTTATTCTCTTTTGCAAATTTTTTTTCTTAAATATAAGCCGATATTATATACATAAAAATGCCTATTGATATTATAATACTTGTACAAGTCACAAAGGGAAATAAGAAGTAACAATTGTAATACATGTAATATCTAAAATTTTTCCATAACAGTTTATTATTTTTCATACGACACTAAAATAAAGGAAACAAGAAACTTGAAAACATTTTGAAAAAAATAAACTTATTGCGTTCACTCGATTTTCAGGATCTATCGGAAGCAATAGTTCTGGTCAAGGTTGGTCTACGCAAGTGGAGGAACTCGCGGAGCATCTCGCCGCTGATTTCGATGGATCCTTATCCGCTCTCGCAGCTTCTGATCTCGCAACAGCCGTCGCTTATACTAATGTGAGGTAAGATGTTTAAAATTTCCGGAAAAATACATGTCATCGACTTTTATATAAAAATGATCAAAATTACAATTGATTTTGATCAAAATTGCAATCTTGCACGAGAAAAAAGTCATAATTATTCGAAGAATGCATCATAGGTAAATGTAAAAAAAATAGTAGAAATCTATAGCAAGATGCTAGGTGACCTGTCTTATGGTGCCTCGGCGGCATAATCAACTTAATTCTCCGCCGATAGCGCACGTTTGTTGAGCTTGTGGTCGGTAGCGTAGGCTTCTGTCACGAGCGAGATTAAAATGTATGCGGAACAGCAACGTGAGTCGATTTAGAAATCCGGTTAAAACTGGCCACAGTTGTTGGCATTACGTCTCACCGGCGACACGCACGAGAAAATCAAACCGGTCTACCCCGACCACGAGTATCGCTGTATACGCACGTGCGCAAGTATACGCGAAGCACTTTAACGTGAACGAAAAAGGAGCGCAGTCGGTGAATTTCGTAAATTTTTCGTACTCTTTCATTTTTTTCTAAATAATTTTGATAAATATTATTTATAATTTTTGCAAATATTTCAGTAAATATTTATAATATAAATATTAAATAAGAAATAATTTTTAGATGCATATACACACGTATACACATAAATCCAACGTATAAATTATAAATTAACTTTTGATTAAATAATTATATTTATTTATTTTTACTTTAAAATAGCAAAATTGCGATTATAATCAATATCATATTTATACAAATAATTTTAGAACGATTAGACACGCGATCAAAAATGAGCATGCATGCGTATACCTTATCACAGTAATATATATGCGTATGATAAATTCATATTACGAAGAATGTCAAAAGTCCATCTGCTTACGTGTTCTTTTTAAAGATAAATAAGAAAATTAAAATTAAAATTTTCTAACACGAGATAAAGTCGCCTTTAACACGATGCAAATAATCAAGAACTTATTAATATTTTGCATCAATAATTCTGCAGCTTATGCAGTTAAATATCTTTATTATTTATGCGATATACAAAATTTTGCGATTCATAACGATTACAATTCTTGATCAGATAACTGACTCGTCGAGTCGCGTGCATTAGCTGATCGTATCTATAATACAATGACAAAAGTTTATAATACGACATGCGAAAAAAGAGAGGCGTGCACATCCGTCTATGAATGAAGATGCATATTTCGCGTTGTTCGATCCGGTAAGAAACCAGCACCAGGTGACGCATCAATTCATATGTGTACACAAAACCGGTTTATTCTGGGCGATACGTCGGTTTTTCCTAAGAATTTTAGCCGCATTACCTACAATCGTCGCAGAATTCGCCGTATTGTTCATTAAGTTGTCAGTAACAGTATCAATCATCTTATTATTTGGAACTAGGCGTTAAATATCATACGAATCGATATACGAATGGAATTGTCGGAAATAATACTCAAAGGTTCAAAGGAAATATAATATGTAATTATTTAACTAGTGTAGTTCTCTCTCTCTCTTTCAAATTATAATTGGAAATTTTTAATGCATATCATTTTTAGTATCATTTCAACAGAGAATCATAAAAATAGCGATAAACTCTTGTACATACATCACTATCATATATTTAAGGAAGTGAAGAAATATCAGTGATTAAATTTGGATGTACATATATATACTTTATCTTCCCTTTATCTTCCCATATATATACTTTATCTTCCCTTGTAAACAAAGTGATCTTTTAATCATAGATAAAGGAATGCACCAATATGTAAAATGTGGGTAAGTAATGCATTTACAGAAATTCCATTATTTTTAATTTATTCTTTCTCTTTGGTTAAATAAAAAACAAAATTTAATTCGTTCACACGATAAGAAAAATTAATAAGCAAAGAGTTGATCAAAAGTACTTACTTGCGTTGCGAACTTTTGCGAAATTTATGCGATCAGCTGCTCCAGTCACGTGAATATCAGTGAATTGTAAATAAATTTTGATGGTATTCTTGACATCACATTATCGCATTTTTTTCACACCGATTAAATTCGTTGCATATCAAACTAGTTCATTCCAGTTTCTGCTGACCTTATTGACTCACAGCCGTGTAGTGGTTCTCAAATTATTTTTTCCGTATCTCCTTATCCATTTTATTCGACGTATTGCGACTTAAGCTGATATTAATTGCTAATCTTTATATTATTACCAAAAGATAAATAAAAACTAATAAATAATATGTTTTTATTTTATATGCTATTTTTTAACAGAATTATACGCAAAAGAATCATATATTATAAATTTAATAAATTTTAAAAGAAAAGAAAAAATAAATAAAATCTCTTTAAATTTTTTGAAATTTTCTTAAGATACTTGAAATTCTAAATAATCATGAAAAGTACCATTTTAAGATTATTTTCAAATTTCGCTTATGAACGACTTAACGATCGTTATAACTTGTACAATAGATGTATGAAATTATTCCTGACGAATAATTTTTAAACAACGGCATATAATTCATACCTACTATGTCGAATAAGATTAAAGGAAAATTAATACAATCGAAAAATTATTATCTTCTTTCAGCGATGCCTTCCTCAATTTACCATCGCTGACAGTCTTTAAGCAGGAGGCGCCATCGCCTGAAAATCAACAAAATAATACCAAGTAAGTCAGAAATTTAGATTATTAAAATCATTCTTTTAGAGCTTTATTGATACTGTGCAGAAATTAATTATAATTATTCAAAATTTGGAATGTCCGATATTATCGCAATTCAATATAATTACAATTTTTTTTCGCTTTATTAATTTCCTAATTTTCACGCATTTTTACATCTCGCGCACACCGCTTGTTTTGTAATAATTGGTGCGAATAGCGTCCGCGAATGCGATTATTTTGATGACAGTAACTCAACGATATTGCTAGAATAATATAGACTACAATATGAAGATAATAATGTTTATATCTCTCGGGGTGACTCAGGGGTAACGGGGATAAAAAATATTCCGAACGGAATTTGCCAACGGCTCCCCTGCAAAGACATTGCTACAAAGATAAAGCTATATAGTTGCGCCCCCGCTTATCGAGAGAATAAGTCGCCTTCGCGCACTTGGGTAAAACTTCTTACTTTATTACGAGTATTTATCACGCGGCGCGCGTACTTACTCCGTAAAGTAGCAACCGATCAGCGTGCGTGATATGTCAATCGAAAATGTGAATCAAGAATTGATAGCCTGTTCTATGTGTGCGACATCTCCCTTCCAGGATTAACTGGGATTCACTATAAAGCATAAAAAAAATTAAACGGCGGAATAATGTGATACAGTTCCACAAGTGAAAAGAAGAAAAAAAAATTAGTTCTACGTGTGTATCAATTTTTAAACTTTAAATTTTTATCCCGGAATAGTATCCAGTTGAAATCAATGGATTTTCACACATTAAGTTTGTACGAAATATTTTTTTTCTTTTCTAAAAAGAAAAAGAAAACTATTTCTCATAAATCTGAATCATTATTCTGTTCGATGATTCATGTGGGATATTATTGTCCAAATTAAAATCACTATCTAACAGGAAGATCGATTCGAATAAACGAAAAAGCGGGGAGACTCGCCGAATCAGCGTTGTATAAATCGCGTGCAATTTATCGATGTAGAACGATGAAATCGAAAGGTCGATCCAGTGATCTCGTTATTCTTCGGATATAAATAAATTAAAAAATATATCTGGAGGCTCTCTGGAAATGTACAATCGAAAATAGCTGATTATAGATGAACTCATAGACACGCGTCATGGTGATTCTTTATTTATCGCGCTCCTGCGAGTGCAACGTTGAGATCGTGGCAAAGCGATTTACGTAACATGCGCGGGATATATAAGTGATAAGTGAAAACTGCTCGCGTAGACTCCTATTTGGGATTCAAACGAAAATTTCATCAGAATACGAGCGAGAATATCAGAATGAGAACGCCCGCGGATTTGAATGTCTCACCGTCACTTTTCTTTAACTTGTAGTGAGTGGTTTTAGTATTGACCATGGAACATTCCATATTCCTTTCTAGTACAGGAGACGATCGATCTCAATACGATATCAATATAGTTTTGATTCAAAATATTTACATACTTTATAATTTTATTACAGTTTAAATCACGTATCGCAAAGAACGATCACTACAGCGCCGCCCAACAATGGAAACGTCGGTTCTGTCGAAGCTGACAGCAACAACAATGGCCAAACCAGTCTTCATCAACTCTTATACTCTTCCAACGAGGAGTACCCGCCAACCTCAACCACCAATCACGTTTCTTCTTCCCAGCAGGGAAATGAATTGAATGAGGATTGCCGGTGAGCTTTTAAACGTTAATTTATTAGATAAGCAACAATATGTAGCAAAACTCTAACTCATCAATAATATTAATATAATTAATATAATATAATATACTATAATTATAATATTATATAATATAATTAATAATAATATTATATAATATAATTATATAAGTAATTATGTATAATTTTTACTATATATGTAGCTTTTAATCCTTGACAGAGGCAGCTAGTAGAGCTTTTGAGGCTTCCACTTAAATTCAGTTTAAGAAAAAAATCTGTCTGTGATATTATTTTAATATATAGTCATATTATTAATTTCTCCACATGCAATACAGCAAGAGAAAATATACCACTGTTCGATTTTTATATAATGAATTATATTGAAATGGAGTTGTATATCGCAAAGTTTTCCTTCAGTTTCCAGTACGTCTTAGCAGCCGCTACCAGCATCGCCACTAAAGTTAATGAAGAAACGCTGACGTATCTGAACCAAGGACAATCGTATGAGATCAAACTGAAAAAATTGGGTGATTTGTCTGCTTATCGCGGAAAGATTTTGAAGGTATTTGGTCACGTATTTAAAATACGGAACGCTCATTCGGACGCTTCTAATGTTTGGGTAGCGGCATCTTAAAAAACGCTTTGGTACTCCTCCACCCATGAGGTAAACGAGTGAGCTCATGCTGATGTCGATCCGGTGAATTTCATTGATTCCTTCGAAAAAAGATGACGAAATAATATTCATACATCTCAATTGGTGATCGAATTATAAAATTAGTCATTAAAAATATATTAATTTAGAATAATTATATAATATTTTTTTGGAAGCTATTATATAACTTTTTACAAGCATTGATATAATTACCGCTTGACTCTCGTTGACATCGAAACGCTGATAAATCATACAACATAGTAACCAGATGAATCCAATTACGACCAGTTAATGCTTGATTCTGCTGATAATTATGCAAATAAAAAAAGTTCTAACTCTTTCCTGGGAGAATGAAGTAAAAAACTGACCCGCACAATTATGGTAATTAAAATGTTGTATAATCTGACACGATCGGCATGAGATCACGGCGTATCCTCGACGTTCGAAAGATGTGAGTCGCCCAAACGGTGCTACAACGTCTCTGTAGGGATATCCGACCTTTCTGTTCCAGTCGACGATACGGATCTGCTTCCACGAGCGTCGACTGCAATATACAGAACGGGAACAGATGCTGGCCTGGCAACGCGCTAGACCGGGGGAAAGATTGCTAGAAGTGGATGTTCCTCTTAGCTACGGGATGGTGGACGTCTGTCAACCGTCGCCGTCTAACAACAGCGTAGAATTTATGTGGGATCCCACGAAAGAAGTTGGCGTTTATATTAAAGTACACTGATCTAATTAGACCTTTTTTAATTCTTAATAATTCGCATCAACACGCGTAATTGATTTTTCTTGTTTTACAACAATTATATGTATCTTATATAATTCAATGAAAGAAATTCTAAAAAAAAATTATAATGAAATTCTAAATTTAATTCAATAAATTTATTTCATGAATTCGTCTCCAGAATGTATGATGATAATTTAAAGAAGATTATTCGCGCATAGGTTAATTGTATAAGCACTGAATTTACACCGAAGAAGCACGGTGGGGAAAAAGGCGTTCCCTTTCGGATTCAAGTGGAGACCAGGTTGCCAAGGGGACCGCGTCTACATGCCGCCTCGTGCCAGGTAAAGGTCTTTAAATTGAAAGGAGCGGATCGCAAACACAAGCAGGATCGGGACAAGATATTGAGACGTCCTCTTCACGAACAGGACAAATATCAGCCCAGCTACGACTGCACCGTCCTCTCCGATGTAAGTTTTATCGAAGAACGTGTTTTTCAGAACAAATAGAAAAATACCGAAACACTGTAGAAATATATCTTAGAACTCTCTCTCTCTTTCTCTTTGTTTTTTTATAGAAAGATTTTAACTTTTACAAATTAAGACAAGAATAAAAGGCATTTACGAGCAATCACGAGATGTTAGGTGTGTTAATGTAAATTTAATATTTATTTATGTGAACGTTTCGGTTCTTTCTTTGAACACCATCTTCAACACAATATAAAATTTAAAAATTCTAACTAATACATCTATTATCGGTCGGTCATTACAGAATTATAAGAACAGTCAAAAAACTTAGTAAAAGCAATAAGTCCATTGCATGGCAATTTTTGAAATATTACAAAAACCTAATGCGTGTATATAACTTCAAAGCTCGAGTTTCAAACTAATTACGGTCTTGGTTTGTTGCTTCATCTTCAAACTTGTCCCTCGTTATTTAGCAAGGAAAGTTAATGATGTCCAGATCCTTGATAGTAATTGTTAAATAGAGCACTACATTCGATCAATCGAGCACAGATACAGTAAAATAATAAAAAATAAAAAATAAAATATATAATTTTAACGTACCAAAAACGCAAACACTGACACATTTATTACAACAAAGTTCTTAAGTATCGAGGCTGACAAACATTAATTTCGCATAGGTCGAGCTATTGTCTTATATACACAGAAACGTATGTTATTTATTATTGTGTTTTTTTGATAACTTGTCTATAGCTGTAACGTATATTTCGTTTAAATTCTCAGCATCCGTCTGCAAATTGTAGTATCTTGTTTTTTAATATGTAACATTTCTGAAACAATGCCATGCAATGGACTTATTGCTTTTACTGAGTTTTTTGACTGTTTTTATAATTCTGTAATGACCGACCGATAATAGATGCATTAGTTAGAATTTTTAAATTTTATATTGTGTTGAAGATGGTTCAAAGAAAGAACCGAAACGTTCACATAAATAAATATTAAATTTACATTAACACACCTAACATCTCGTGATTGCTCGTATGCCTTTTATTTTTGTCTTAATTTGTTGAAGTTTTCGACGAGCTGAGAAAAAAACTTGTAATTTTAACTTTTTCTTTTTTATTACAGATCCCTCTGGAGTCTTTATCATCCTCTAGCTTGCCGGCGCAAAACGATGGAAGTCCATACGCCTCCACAGATGCAATGTAAGTCGATTATTACAGTCATTCTTTTGCTAATACTTTTTTTTTAATCGTCGTTGCATTCCGAAGATAAAAGATAAAAAGATCGATGCCACATGTCACATGGTATGAAAAATTGTGACACTCGGAAAAAAACCGCATACGTAAAAGTAGTTTTAAATTTTAAATGATGCGGTGCCTATAAATTACTTAATATTATGATTGAACAGAGATGCAATATTAAAATAACATCTTGCGCAATAATATTCGTTTCCATCGTATTATGTTCGATTTTAACAAATTTATTGATTCATGCAAATTAATTTTACTTTATTTGGATATAAACGCAATAATCGTGCTTCATTTTTTTAAAAGTAGATATTTTTAATGAATGAATAAAAGATTCACAGTTTGACGTGTAGCAGATGTAAATGCTGAATGCATAAAATACATGATAAAATACACAATTCGTGGAATGTCTAGAGTTAAATATGGGCATTGTTGAAAAGGTATGATAATTAGAAAATCGTACTGCTGTTATAATTAGTTTTTTTAGTTTAACACAAAATTACATTTTTTACGTCAACAGCTTTTACGTCACTCTTTAATTCTTTTGTTTTTTACATTACTATTCCACAGCCCCTGTCTCCTGTATTGGGTTTGCAAAACATTGATATCTATTTTTAGCTTGTTATTTTTTTCTCCATTATTGCTAATATCAGGAACTTACAATTGAGAGATATAATACGATAACGTATTAACCCGAGATTTTCCGTATAAGATAAAGACAGTATTGCTTCATAAAAATATTTAACGTATGATAAAACGGTGTTTGTAAAAAGAAAAGATTAATCACCGCGAAATTCGTGCGTCATAAAACTTACAAAATTCACAATCGTTTACCCAACAATTAAGAATGTTTATAAAAGATTGCTGTATCGCCAGTTTCATTGCTATGGTTTAATACTTCGCTTCCGTACGTGACGCGGAACCAAACAAATAATAAAAAATAAACAAATAATAAAACCAAAAATAAATAATAACAAAAAATAAAAAATTTTTTCGCGAACAATTAATGTTCGAAAAAAAATTTACGCATTGCCATCCGCGTTTTTTAGGCTCTTATTGCTCGTTTCTTAATTATCATGTTGTTAAATACATACAGAGCCGTATTATTTATCAATTTATTTCAAACAAATAATAATTAGACAAAATTTAAATTAGAGGAAATTTAATCTTGTTCGTAATAATTTACAATATTGGATACAGGAAGTTCTAGATGCCTATTCAATATGTATGAATCCATTCGTTTTTGTGAACAACTCGTGGTCACTCGATTGACAGACTCCAAAAATAACGACGTGCAAAACAAATTGTAACTGACCGTATGATTACAAAATTAAACGGGAGCAATTGACTTTTTTCGTTTTTACTCCGGTGATAACTCATTTCACGATGTTGCCAATAGTTCAATCCATGTAACTTTTTTAATTTTTATCTCGATTTCGATTTTCGATTCGCGCCATAATAAGCAATCGTACAAGTCCTTGCGTCATGGTATTCGAATACCTGTTGCAGGACATAAATAGCAAAACACATTTCCGACATACTTGATTCGTCGGTATCTTCTGATAAATGTTTTTGCCTTTGCGAACTATTTATGTGCACGCTTGTTGCAACCGAGCGATCTACCAAGCAATCGCCACGACCTTGGATTATTGCGACGCACTTGGATGTAAATGCAGGTCCCGTGAAGTTGCTTGAATCAAAGAGAAATCGATTCTTCTTCTACTTATTGCCTTCGAGATGAATAAAAATAAATTTGTATTACGAATTTTTTTATTATTTTTTTATTTGTCTGGTAATATATGTTTGAAAAATATCAAATGAAAAAATATTAGTTAAACAAATAAGGAGAGTGAATAATTGTCGATCGAGAGAAATATATCTACCCCTTTTCTTATTTCGATTCTTTATCTCGTTACAAGACCGAAAATTGAAAGAGCAAAAACATATTGAAAAGCTATGATAGCGAAGTTTCTTTTTGTTTCCTGCGTTTTTACTCGTAATTATAAAAAATGAAGATCTACAATAATAAACTTATCTGTTTTTCTATTATTATTTATTATCTTTCGTTTCATTAAAGCAAGAAATATCTAAAAGAGAAACTCTAAAAAAAGGAAAAGGGAAAAGAAGGACATGTACTCTTAGTACAGGTGTACCAGAAACTGCGATGTTGTCAGACACTCTGCATGATACTGGTGGGGTTCATTCTAGTGAAGGATGATGGAAGTGGTAGTTAGACTTCGGTAAGAGTTTACTCGTCGGTGGTGGCAAAGGAGAAGCGAGGGGTGCGGAGGTAGATGCCGGGCATCGCCGCCGACAAACTGGCTCGAACTGGCGCGAGCCGGCGTCCCCGATGATCAACCTCTCGATGGAGGGGAAGTTGGGTGAACTAACATGAAGTGAGAAGGAGAAAGAAAATATTAGAGAGAGAGAGACATGGTGAAAGAGCGGCATGGTACATGCGAATAAATTCAGAACGTCGTACATTGCGTGTAGCCGCGTTGCTCCCGTCTCGATTCATTATCCCGGTGAATCTATTGGGACACACCCACGTCCTGAGATATCCAATATAAGTGTGTCGCATTGTTGAACGTCTTCTCGAATGACAACCGCTGCTAACGCGATCCACCGTTGAACACGTACGCGTGTGTTTTATGAGTAAACCGGTGACCGGCATTCTATTCGCGTAATCCGTTTGCGACATTTATCGATTGGCGTTGAAAATTTGTTACACGCAATTAATCGAAATCCGATCGATATTTCGGTGAAAGCGTGCAATCTTGAAGCGAACAAGCCAAGCATCATTCAGGAAGAAAGAGCTGAAGCTTACAGTTGCAAGGGGGGCAAGAAAACCGATATATCCGATATATTATTTCGAACCGGTAATCTTCAACTTCTCGAAACATTTCGGAGCAAGATGCAAAGCTATCAAAGAAACTATTGATCGGTTTCTTCAGTCATCTTGTTCTACTCGCGAATTATTTTTACTGCTCTGTCTGCGATATTTTCAAAGTGCTCCAATCTACAGAAGCAACTACTTATCTTAGATAAGACATTCGTGACGATTAATTAAAGCTGAAAAAAATGAATAGAACTCGCTCCTAGTGGAAAAATCTAGATTTTCATATATCGTGACTCTTGCATTCGTATCTTGAAACACAATTTGCGTAACGTGCACTCAGCTGAGAGGAAGAGAGTACGCCAGAGTTATTATTCAAGATAACTGAATTAATCTTAGTCCGGTATATTCCGGTACGCGACGAGTACATTCCGGTGCGAGGTGAGTTTCGACAGGAAACGGATCAATCGGGGGAACAGCGCGTCGGCTTGATTCTTGAGTCTGAGTCAGTTATATCTCGCGCTGTTGATGTATCCGACTCCGAATTACATCGAGGGCGACCTGATATTGCGCTGCCTCTTAAACAAATAACTACTTCCTACTGAGAGAAAAATTTAAAAACGCAATCAATTCATTAATCATGCAATAAAACCGTTGACGGAGTCATTTATAACAGATAGCTTATGACAGTTCGCGGTCGCGACTTTAACAAGAACCACGTGTGATGCACGAAGCGAACTTCTTCGAACGATAGTGCTCTTCGCGAAGACTCTTAAACAACGTGATCAATATATCGTGAGCAAGCACCGAACACCAGGAATGCCCTCGTCCGTCGTAGCAGCCAGTCTACTTTTGACAGAGTGTATTCAAGTGTCACACGCACTTTCAATTGCATTGATTGATCTATGCGCCGTGATAACGCGTGATATCCTGGCCATTTACGTGCTCCTATCGCGGCAGGATCATTTTCTCAGATGACGAGCAGCCCTGCCGCCGAAAAGCTGACAGGGCGGTTAAATTGAGTCTCGTAATCAGGACATGTCCTGCTCTCCCCGACTACTGGAAGGTATTGAAACAACTTCAATATGTTATTTTGAGAAAGAAAGTACAAGGGAAGTTCAGAAGAGATTTAGATAGAATAGAGATTTTCTTGGAGAAAAAGTATAAGTTGAGCTTCGTGCTTGAAGTTTAATTAGATTCGTGAAGTCCACGAATTAACCTTGAGAAGAAAAATTACAGCTGATTGTAACAATCACTTATTGCACGAAGAAGGCCAATGAAACTAATTGTGCAAGTCTGGCACTGGAGTAAATAAATTGATTCTAGGACTGGATTCATTTTACACTCGAAACATTCTACGCGCGTCTTCACGTTGTAACGATGGATGGAAGAGATTTATAATTTCGAAGAAGAGAATTTCCTGGAAATAGAGAAATATAGTGGATATATCTTACGCATCAGCAAGAACGAGGCGACAGAAGAGTGCACGTTTATGATACACATGTGGCATTGCAATTAGATCCGACGCGTCTCAAGAGGATAAACATCGTAGACTCGTCGATACAAAGTTCACTCCTTTATAGAGGTGCATCGAACAAGCAAGCGAAAGACGCAATTTCCAACAGCGAAGAAAGAAGTGCAAATGATTAATCAGTTTTTTGGACTTTGAATACACGCAAGACGATATTTCATTCTCCTGATCGCGAGATTGGGTCGCGAGTGATTATCGAGCGTTTGTTCGATCGCACTTGATTTCGATTTTGAAGAGGAAAGAAAGAAAAGTTGCGACATAACGATCACTTCTTGAGATTTCAATTCTGAAGAAGGAAAGACTTATCGCTTGCAAAGGTCATAATTTCGAGAATGCTCGCCGACAGACGAATGTCGCAGGCAACTAGCCGTATCCGGTTCGCAGCAGACCGATGCAATCCGACTGACTCGAACTGATCCTATCTGCCGGTCGAACCAGAGCTACTCTCTATTACCTAAAATCATCGAGCGTGGCGTTCAGTTATTGAATGGCGAACACCGCATGCATTACCGAAGATACGATAATCTGACTTCGCACAATTTCGAATACATGCGCGATGAAGACAGATGGTTATCGAGACGATTAGTTCACATAGATCGAACCGATCAAACGGATTCGGGAAGAGCATCTCGATAACATTGAGCACGAATGGATGGAAAGACGCTTGGGGAACAATCGGAGGTTCGAGCGTGCAGGTGTACGTTTATGAATGAGCGCGTGAAGAGTCGGAAGAAGGTCAAATCTTTTCAAGGAGAAAACGAACTCGCTATAGAGGATTCCTTTCGATCGTAACAAGCGAACTCATTCGACATGTCGAGGAATTATTGGGATCTGAGAAGTTGCTGGTCCATCAGACGACCGTGCTATCCACTCGATCAATTCGTCATGTGGTTTCTGGAGCACGAAGTGATCATTAGTGGTGGTCCGCCTCACGTCCAGGTCGTGGCCAAGTTCGTCCATGCTCTGTTGAATGCGCGGATGAAGAGAGGATATATTATGCGAGGAGGATTAGTCAGTCTGCAGATAAGGAAACGTCGCGACGTGAAGAGGATCAACGACTGCGGGAAAGTTAAGCTCGTAGTTCGTTTGAAGGGGCATTCTGTGTAAGAACACTTTGTAATGATTTCTTTCAAAAGGATATTAATAATTTCTCTTAGTTGCGATCGAAAGAGTAGAAATTTTGATTGATGGATTTAAATTTTGTAAATGCTAGAAAGATATTGATTTTTAAAAGGATATTACACGTGAAATATTAATTGAATTTTATTTCAAATTTCACGAATTTCTCAATATTTACCATTTTGTATCTTTATCTCATAAGTTGATAAAATTCCACTTAAATTACGTTTATATGATTGCTGCAATTTTTAAATTATATAGAATTTGTGCTTTCTAATATGAAGTTTATAGAATTACGCGTCATAATTATCAAAGTTATTCGAGTTCGATAATATCAAATATTTGCAATATTTAACATGTGCATAGATATAAAAATTTGATCGCGAGATTGTAAATTTCTTCGTTTTAAATGATCATCAGGAATCATTCTTGTTTTAAAATGTAATAAGTATAAATGCAATAAGTATACATTATATTGGACACGTTGTGTTCATTGATTATCCATCCACACATTGTTTCCATCAACTTAAGACTTAATGTGTCGAATATTTATTCTTTTTCGAGCATTTTTTTGTATTTTATTTTTCAGATCAATTTCGAATTCATTATAAGTGAAATTGAATGTGTTGCGGGACACGCGTCTGATGCGACTCGTACTGCGTATTTTTTTCATAAAAATATTCAGCTAAACGTATAACTGTCAGCCGTCGACGATTTATGTCTCGTCTTTACGATTAATAAGGCAGATAATCAGCTAACAACTCGCCAACATTTTGCAACACACCATAGTAAACGAATTCACGCGCGACAGAGTCTAATGTATTTTTATGTGTGCGGGAAAAATTGTCATTTGCCAAGAATCAACGTGAAAAAAAATAATTACAATTATACAATTATTAATCAGCGCAAATAACGAACGCGACGAATTTATGTCTACATTTGTATAACAAAATTTTTATATTTTCAGATTTTTAAGACATTTATTAATAGATAATAATTAATAGATTAATTATATATATATTTATATATTATATAAATTAATAGATCATAGATAATAATGTATATGTTAATATATATTAATGTACGTTGTTTCTTTTTTCAAGTTCGCCGCAAACACGTTCGACCATCACCAATTCCTCCCCGGTAGTGGCACCATTGGCACTTTCAGTTTCTAATTCCGGTATCGTACCGTTGGTTCCCGCTTCGGATGCCGTGAAGGAAAACGTGGGAACGGCGCCAGCCTTGCCATCGCCTGCGGCCATATTGCCGGATCAAACTTGTATTGAAGCCGATGTTAATTTGACTGCACACAAAGCTACTTCTCCGCAACAATTAATCGAGTCTATGAGAACAGTAAAGATCTTTATTATAAAATATTGTTCTAAAATAAGCTGATCCTTCTGCAAAATATGCTGAAAATCCATGTGTTTTATTTCTTAAGTTTTCATGCCGCGATTTAAGAAAAATCAAAGAAACGGAAAATATTTTATGAGAAATCAATGCAAAAAGGGGAGGCTTGTTTGGAACCAAGAAAATTTGGTAAAACACGCAATATCATCTGCAATTTTCTTGATCCCAAATAAGCCATTTCTTTTTGTATTGATTTATCATACAATTACACGTAGATTTATTTATTTTATTATTTTATTTGATGTATAATTGTTTAATATTTTATGAGATTTTTTTTATTTATTTCATTTTGTCCAATTGAATTTTCCCATAATCTGAAGCTGAAAAAACAATCGAATAAAATTATTCACGTCACTTTAACTTTATATATTATGTAATCATTTTATCTTAAATCTTACAGAGCACCCCGTGTTTTACCGAGTTACCACCGGATGCCAACGCCACGCAGACAACTGCTTGGCTTCGTGCGAGTCGATTCAATGCGTTCGAGTCGACATTCGCAAGCTTTTCCGCATCTGACATTCTGCGTCTGTCCCGGGAAGATCTCATCCAGATCTGCGGAGTAGCAGATGGTATTCGATTGTTCAACACGCTGCACTCCAAAGCGCCAGCTCCGAAGCTCACCCTCTATTTCTCGTTGGAGGGCAATGGCTCGCTCTGGAGAGTCACCTATCTCGACAATCTCACGAGCGTCGCGTTAACGAATAAACTGCTCAACACTCTAAACTTATCGCACGATCGACTACACTCGATATTGTTCCTAGGACCACAGGGTATACATGTGATGGTCACCGACGAGTTGGTAGCGAATATGAAGGATGAGAGTATGTATCTCGTCGAAATGATCAAAGGTAACTGCTCACTTTATATTTACGATTTTGACAATTGAAATTAATATATTTTTTGAATTAATACAATATATGCTTCTTTTAGATCCGGCCAGCGAGCGTTATAAATTACTGATAAAGTCGAAAACTATTTGAACAATTTTTGAAATTTTATAAAGATATAAGTAAAAACTTTTTAATAAGATAAATATATTATTTGACAAACATATGCAAAAAAATAAATATAACTTGTAAAAAGATAAAAATCTAATATATTTGAATATAATAGATTTGGAAGTTTTAAAATTCTAATATAATATAAAATAAATTCTGTAATGTACATATTGTATATTTATAATACAAATAATCGAAAAAGAATATAAACTAAAATATTACAAAAAAGGATGTAACTTATATATTTGGAAAATTGTATTTTGAAATTATTTGTATTTTAAAGTGTGTACAAATTTTATCAATGATTATGATATTATATGTATTTTATCTCGATTTTATTAATTATTTTGATGTCTATTTGAATATCAAGCTATATTTATAACATAATTGAGACATATATGAAAATTTATTCTAATCCCTCTTTTTAAGTAAACATGTATTAATAATGATTACTGCTATTGTAATATTGCTGTTATATATTTAAAATGCAGTGTACTCGATCTTTCGGGTGTTCGATCACGATGATTATACATGAATCGTGCTGAATTCAAATATATTCGATAATTTTGGGTAACTCTTAATTTCAAATTTTTAAATAAAAAAGAAAATTATAAGATATCGTACTTTATACTTTCTTTAAGAAATTATGAATTTTTTTCTTTAAAGAATGATGTATTATTTCATTTATTATATAATTACATATCTTAGACGCGTATTACTTCAACGATAGCGAGAGGTAGACATAAGTATGAAGACTTTGTGCAATCGTAGGTTGTACTGAATATTCTGAGATTATAATTATTATGAGTACATAAATTATATCTTTCGGACGAATGCAAAGACGTCGAGCATTGATTTCGATTTCTAGGCCACATAGGATTGACGGTCAAGTTGAAAAAAGTATTTAATGCACATACTTATATGCATATATCTACCAGAATTGAGTAAGAAACGAAAGGACAAAGAAAGATTAAAAATACGAAAGATTGTGTGTATCATTATTCTTAATACAATTTATGAAAATATTCGATATACTAAAAATAAATGTAAAATCTTAATATTGTATATAGTTATTATACTACGATTATATATTCATTGATTTAATAATTTGTTTTTAAGTATAGATATTTGTAGTAATTTTGTTGTTTCTATAAATTGTTCTAAGATTGTTATTAACATAGAAGAAAATAATGTTATATATTATTATAAAAAATTAATAATAACCATCAAAGAAAAATGATTTATATTATAAAATATGCTTAAGAGAAACAATTTTCCAGTGCCTTAATTAATGTGCCGATAAACACGTATTTATTCAATAAGTGTTTACAATAACAAATAGATATAGAGAATTATAGTGAAAGAAAAATATTTTCTCATATTTTCTTATATAATGCGAATATTACAGTAAGGGAAAAGATGATTCTTTTATATTAATATTTGTGAGATTATATGACATTTTTGAAAATTTTATAAAATATATGATGTTTAAAGTAATTACTATATTTTGCAATAATTAATTTTATATGCAAATATCAATGCAATTTATTATAGAATTGTTGTTGCCTGTTAAATAATGCATTAAGAATGTATTGGGAAAGGTAATTATATATTTTCATATAGAAAATGGAATAATAACATAATTTACATGTATTTACACAAGTATGAAAAATACTTGATGAAAAGTAGATTAAATAATTATTAAAGTTATCTAACAAGTAATATAATTTTTACTGCTAAGAATTGCACTTGTAATCGTTAGGAATGCTCACTACAAATCTAATCGTTTAATATGTTAGGTTAAGTTAATATGTATGTCAATTATGAAAAATTTAATTATATTGTACCATAAATATAATTAAGAATAAAAAGTTATCTGTATTATTTGATTACATATGTTTATTTTTTCTATTATAGTTTGTAATATTTACGTGTTGATATTCTGAGAAACAGAAATATATCTTTTTCTCTCTCTCCAATATGTTAATTGTTGTATACTTCATAAGTCAACGAGAAATGATGTGATAAATTAAATATATAAAAAATGGGTTTAAACATGGGGGATACTACGAATGTTGTTGTTGATACGCAATTGTTTATTATATATAAGTAAATATTTAATTACTTATAATGCCATTTTTTATATATTAAATTTAAAATTTCGAATCTGTTATCATTAATGTTTTGATGTAATAAATGTTTTTTGATGGCAATCCTTAATATTTTTTGCACTATGTTCCATGTTACTTTAATTACGATTAATTTACTATCATATCAAAAAATTTACGATACATAATTAAGAATTAAAATAAGCTATAAAAAAAGTATTTGGATCTCTTTATCAATCAGTACTATTATAAAATAAAATTATGGAATGTGTATAATGGAATGATGTATAATGGATATATATCATATATAAATCGTACATTTTATAATATATATATAATTTTTATATATATACATTGCAATATATATCTTATTTTTATGTATTATTATATGCTGAAATATGAACATTTAATGATATACTATAATATTTAATAAAAAAAAAAATATATATATATATATAGAATATTACAACACATATATTAAATATGTGTATGATGAACATTATATGCATCTTGAATTCATTAAGAACCTGCTTCAATTTCGTCAACAAATTTCTTCTCCAAAATATAAGATTAATTGTATCTTATATTGTCTACTCCTCCTTTTTCTTCGCACTTTGTAATTTCGCTTCCGCTTTTTGTTGTTTGAGTTTTTTCTTCTGTATATAACGCTGTTTTTGTTTCCATATACAGCGATACACTCCGCGGACACCCATAACTATGAAACAGGAAATAATTACAATTAAATTATAATTACATTACAATTAAATCATTGCAAGAAAAATAAGCATTTGAAAAAAAAATAAATAATGTCTAATAAAATTTCTATTATGGAAAAATTTTTCCGAAGAGTCAGTAGAAGATGGGACAATAATCCGAAAAGATATTGAATATAATATAATTATGTATATATAATATAATTATGCAGTCGATAGTGTGATAGATTTTATTTTATATTCTCGGTATGTTATATTACTAGAAAAAAGTTATATGTATATCTATTATTAATATAACGTCATAAATATCGCATTATTATTAAATATTTATAAAGTCATTTCCAGAAGATATCGTACCGAGCAGAAATGTCACGCACGATGTCGCCAAAATGAATGGAAAGTAAGCTTGACATAACACGAGCCATGAGGGAGAAATCGCTTTCTGAGGTATTGTTTCAGGTACTTTTTGCAGCGTCTTCGTCAACGTGTCAACGGCCTGCTTTTGGAACTTCTCCTTATCCTCGTCGTTCAGCTCTTTGTACTTGTTGATTAAGTTCAATAACTTCTTTTGCACGTTCTCCCGTATGGTGTCATCCTTGAACTGTATATGTACTTCTTCCATACCGGCTTCTTCCATATCTTCCATATTGGATGCAACGAAACGAGAAAATTCCAATACTAAAGAATAAAGCCCGTACAAGTGCAAAGTTAGACTGATGGAATAAGGATCAGATTCAACGGTCGAGTGGACTCGATTAGATAACGTATCTATGGCGAGGTATGATGCGAGTTCTATTGATGGAGCGATCTCGCTTAGCGAATCATCGTTTGTGCCCACTCGACAGAAAAAAAATATTATTGCCTTTCAAATTTACAAAACGATATTGTACTTTTTGTATCATCAGCGTCGTCAGATTGATTAACATTGAATGCCGATCTGTATAAAAGTGAGCTATCAAGGACATGGTAATTGTTATTAATTCAATATTTACCGAACAGGAGTGCAAATGTAAATCGGCAAAAATAATACCATCTTTTCGACAGGCAATTACGCTTGGCGAATCGAAAGAGCAATCTCCTCCTGGCGCCGCGATTGTATTGGAGAAACTGAACAAACAGTATGCTCTTGGTTAAATGAGTGGTTAAATATAACTTTACCAAATTTAATACCATTTCTTGCGAATTTATTTAATTATATGATCAACATGTCAAAATGTATCAAAATTTTACTTGTCGCGCGATATAATAACAAGCAATTTCATAATATTTAAATTAATATTTTAAAGAATTTTGATATTTATTGAAAGAATTTTTAAAACAGTATAAAAAATACAGAAATAATAAAAAAAGAGAAAGAGAATAAGTTCGCTCCAGCTAAATAAATTATAAATTTTGTAAGTTTATCAATATATACTTATTAATGTTTTAATTTAAATATTTTCGCAACAGTCAGAAAAAAAGTTTTTATGTAGAATAAAGTATTTAAAATAATACAAATATAACAAATAATTTATTGTAATGCTAAATATTAATTTTATAATAAATTATAATTTTAGATAAGAATTTTGTTTTAATTAGTACTTTTCGTGTGCTAAAAAGTGATTAAATATGTAACAAATATATTTTATATAAAATATCTTTTTCTTTTACAATATATTTTTAAAATATTAATTCAATCAATATTTTAAAATGCATTAATATTTTTAAATCGTTCATTTTCATCATTTTCATAAAGATTAATTTCTTACCTATGTGAAGATAATGTAATATATAATTAGCAAAAATAAACTTTCATTTTAAAAATAAAAATATTAGAAATTTTCTGTATATATACACACATTAGCGAAGTGGTCCTCAAAAAAGATTTTATAGAATATTTTAGAAGATTTTGAGATTTGAAAGATAACTAGAAGATAATTAGAATATATATGTATGTTAATATTGCAAGGAAATTAAAATCAATACAATTTTATGATGTTGACTGTGTGCTTAAAAGAAAAATGTATTAAACCAAAATCAAAGGATAATATAACTTCTTTATACTTATACTTCTTTCGCAGTCATATAATTTGTTGTTTACATATTTTGTATCGTAAATTATATTCATTTAAATACAGAATCAAAAGGATTTTGTGTGATCATCTTAAATAATATTGCTCAATTAATATTAATATTACATGTAGAAATATATACAAAAATAATTAATTACAATAAATAATAATTAGTAATATATCACATAGTAATTATGTAATAATATATTTTTTATAAACTGGTACGAAGAAGTGAATTATTACATGTCAAAGTATATAATTAAATGTATCTTTATATTATGAATATATTGGCATATCAACAAAATTTGATTGCATCTGACATGCATAAAAATATGCATGGAAAAAAGTTTTATTAGATTTATCAAATAAATCTTTAACATAATTGGGAAATACTAATAATGTTTAATTATAGATTTATACAAAAAAAATTTAAATATACATTCTAAATAAATACCAAATATATAAATGTAGCGAGGCTACATGTAAACGATGCGTTTGCGTGTTTTATTTCATTATATATATGAAAATATTCTCACTATGTTTACGAATAACAAGATACAGAAGACAATTTTTCAAAAACTATCTCTAACATTGTCGAGTTTGCGTTTCTGACAAAATTCAGAAAAGGACATTCGTTTACCATCTCGACCGCCAGTTTCGAATTCGACATCCATCTCATCATCTACGTCGTAGACGGTTGTTGTTTCATTTAGTGTATTCATAGATTTCAACGTTACTGTTCTTTTTTTCTGTTTTTTCTTATTTCTCTTGCGAGTCTTCGTTTGACGTACTTTAGTTTCTTCTTTCGGATAATATGTTACATTTGTTATCCATTTTTTTGTTTCTCTGGTCGAGTATCCTCGAATGCAAACCGATCCTGGTAAATGTGGAGGGCTTTCAAACTTTGGAGGAATATCAGGATGTTTGTGCAGAAAATCCGACTGTTTGTATATTACTTGTGCGGAGCACGATGCTAAATATTCAGGCATTTCTTTGTGATTTTTGTTGACAAACTCCTGCCAAAGCAAATCACTCATTGAGAAGCAAGGTGGAGAATATGTAGCATTCCAATAAATTCCTAATAAATTTTGCGATTGTTTTTCCTTAGGACTTTTATATGTTTTCGCGTTGTTCAGACGATCTAAAATTGTAATATATCTCAATGAATAAATTTGCAAAAAATGTTATCACAAAAGAAAGATATAATTACATTTAACCTAATTATTAATTGATTATAAGTAAAATACGTTCGTAAAACATATCACATAAAAGTAAAACAAATAATCTGAGCAACGAAAAAATTAAAATAAGAATATTGAATAAGAGGCGTTATCGAGAAAACATCAAATTAAAATTTGAGAAAAAATACTTATTGAATATGATTATTAAAAAATCTCAGTTATTATATTCAATTATATTCTATTCAATTATATTCAATTATATTCTAAGAAATCTTATACTTTATTCAAAATATATACTGAGTTTTATTTCATTTTTGTTCATTTCCTCTGGATCCTCTGGTATTTTGGATGATATATTTGCCGGTAGCAATTTATCATGTTGTTCGATGTCATAGAGAAATCTTCTACTCGAACGTAAAATCGATGAGTAGCGCAAAGGAGATTGACACATGATTGGTGCATCCCGAATTTTCTCCGGCGTACACGGATCATCAAATAAATTTATACAAGCATCGTCCTCTTCCTCCAGGATGTCTTCTCTTGAAACTTCCTCTTCCGATTGAGTACTCCATTCGGTAGTCGTTATTTGTTCAGTGTCATTTAATTGAATAGGCCTTCTTTTGTTTGGTATTCCCTTATTTTTCTTTCTTTTTTTTATTCTTTTCCCTGTCACATTAAAATTAAGTTAGTTATGCGACTTATAAATATTTCCTAATATAATTTTTACTTTAATATGATTCGCGAATTTTATATTTTTATGAACTAACTTTATATATTACATTTTTATTTTTTTCATTTTTATTTATATTACATTATTATTTTAATTATATATTACATTTTTTCTAATTTCAACAAAGATATAAATCATATTTCTGACTATATAATTTGTCATTATAACAGTAATATTAAAAAGTTCAATCAATTAAAGATTTCGTTAATTTTTTATGGAAAAATAGAATTTGTTCATAATGAGAAGAATTTATAAAAATATAATTACGCCTACGTAATAAATCCTTACTTGCTCTCTGCGACTGTAATCCGTCTTCGATCCTGTCTCCGCTTAAGGAAGAAGCCGTGCCGATTTGAGATAAAGATATAGTATAATTTCTTGCGGGTACATCATCGATTGGCGTACTTGCGAATATACCATCTCTGGTAACAGTATGATATTCTCGATCAGATGAACTAGACATATTGTTATTCGCTCTCGTCGTTTGAAATTTATATTTTTCACACTTAATACTATCTCCAATAAGTGCGTAGAATTGGAGATCCAGTCGGTGTTTAAGCGTAAACATGAATGAGTAACCTTTCGGAAATCTTTCCCTCAGTCTTTCCCTCACTTTTCACACTTGTATGTATACAAAGTCTACTATAATGTCTTCTCCAAATTCGCGGCAAATGCGCAACTTGCAAAAAAAAGTGTATAACAACGATATGAATCAACGATATATGTGTGTATATTCAAGATAAAACATAATATATATTTTAAAAAATAAAATCTAAGATCATACTTTAAATATATTGATATTTAAGAAATGTCTTTACTTTACTAATATTTATTCGTTAAATATTTATATATCTAAATATTATATATATAAATATTAATCGAACGAATGCATTTCGATTCATCTTTTCGTTTGGTATATATAAATATTTAATTCACTATTCGATTGATTTCGTTCCGACTCGCTTTTTTATTCGATATATATAAATATTACACTTAACTGTGAGTCCAAAAAGTAGATTTCGGATATTCACTATAAGTCAGCCGCTCCTCGGGCGATCGGGACGAAATTTAAACGGTAGAGCCGCGAAATGGTGTTGAATTTTATGCAAAAAGAACGAAGTCGCTATTGCGTCCGGAAGTCGAGATATAAATTGGCCGTTTTTCGTCTGCGCGCGGACAGTCGAAATCGTGCACGACGCCACGCATGTTGCCTGCCTCTCTCGCGCGATATTCACTGTAACGCGGCGAGTAAAATGGCAAGCCGAATGCAATCGTTCGATTAATTCGTCAAATATTTATATATACTGAACGAAAAAATGAACCAGAATGTAATCGTTCGATTAATTGATTAAATACTTATATATATCGAACGAAAAGATGAATCGGAATGCAATCGTTCGATTAATTAATTAAATATTTATATATATCGAATAAAATGCGAGTCGAAATGGAATCAGTCGAATAGTGAATTAAATATTTATATATACCAAACGAAAAGATAAATCGGAATGCATTCGTTCGATTAATTCGTCAAATATTTATATATATAAACACATGTCCGCTCAGCTGTAATTGCGTGCTGCTGACGTATGCAGTCTGGTAACAGCGTGTGAGAGCTAATATGTTTTAATAAAAATCTTGTGTTTGCGTAGTAAATTAACAGAGAAAATGAAGTGTACTTTGCAGGAATATACAAATATGATTGTGGCATACGAACTAGCGGGAGAAAATACATATCGTGCGGCCGCAATTTACATGAAATTATTTCTCGGGCGTGCACGAAAACCAAGTGGCCGTACAATTTTACGTGTTGTGCAATAATTATGTGAAACTGGGTATCGTGCATAATATCGGGATAACCGATCCAGCAGTGCGCCTTCGTGTACGAGATGAAGAAAGGATTCTTGAAGCATTTTATCATCTTATCATTATCAACGTGTGCAATACATTTTATCGAGGGATTTTCAATCACGGATCAATTTTTGTAAAGGTACTGTCACCATTAATTTTTTACATTTACGATATATTCAGCGTATAGTAATGGCATTTTGAATAATTTTCAAATTGAGAGTGGAATAGACCTATGGGGGAAACCACTATAAAAAATGCGCACCATGCTATCTACCGCAAGGTGGTGTGGAAATGATAGCGCATCATTTTCTCGCCACTAAAAGGACGGGTCATTTTTCGGCGCGGTATTGCGATATATCGCAAACCACCATCCGCGCGCTACTTACGCAGATTGGCCGATCTTCTTTATTATTTCGTTAATTATTGCGACAATCCCAAAACAATACAGGTCATTCCTTCTTAATTTGAGCCAGTCTACTTCTTTATTTTGTTAAGGTCGAAAATTGACGAATACCCTGTATACATTATGATTCCATCCACCGATGGAATGTTCCATATATACAATCTACGTTTATCTACGTTTGCGATATACTGAGTACATACTCAGGATCTATCTGTGCTGTATGAGTTATAAAATATACATTAACATGAAATATTAAGTAATGGAAGTATTTTAATTTATTGATTAAAATTGATTATTTATTAAACAATTTATCACGGAGCTAATTATTTGAATTTATTCGATTCTTTTACCGCGCCTTTCCGAAGTCAAATTCTATAATATTTAGTTTTGCATTTTAAAAGATTGACTTATAGCGAGCTAAATAAATAAATAAATAAATGATGTTGAAAAGAAAAAGAAGATAAATAAATAAATAAATAATAGTGTGAAAAGAGAGAACATACTAATGTCTTTTTATAATAAATTATTATTAATTAAATTATTTATATTTTTATTTATATTATTTATATTATCAGAGAGACATATATGTTACCCTCTGAGAACATTCGTAGACTTGGCTTTGTAGTTCATGTTCATGTTTTTAATGTCCACAGAGGGAGCATTGCTTCCAGGGATCAGCTGAAAACGAGCCATGACATCTCTCAGTCTTCTCTCTGCTTTCATCATTTTTCATTCTTCTCTCTGAGGGAAAGAACGTTTGCCAAAGTCACGGAAAGTAATTATCAAGCGCATTGATCTAATCTTTACTTCTGTAAACATTAAGCTGATAGAACGCATTAGTTAATGCATCAGATATGAGTTTTCACAGTCTTGCAACGTGACATATTATGACGGTGCGAGAAAAGTCTAACCTAAAAGAGGACGTTCTTGACATAACGTAATCGGTATTATTGTCTCCGATTGCCCACAAATCTCGTTAAACGATGAGCGATGCGTATCAAAGGCCTGCTACTGTTGCTGATCTGCATAGCAGGAAGCAGCATCGTTTTCATTGCTTTCAGCAATCAACGACCTTCCATTCAGACTCTAGTGACGGAGACTCACAAACAATTGCGGAACTTCCAGGTAAATATATTGTTTGACAGAGAAACCATTTATCTATTTTCATCGTATTAATTACAAGATATCATTTTTAAGGAAAATTTGAAAGACGTTGAAGAAAAACGTCTGGTGACAGATTCCAAGTATCTTGCGTTGCTTGGTCTGGATGGTCAGACAAGCACTACACCAATCAGTCTCAAGCCTCAGAATGTGACTGTTGTGTCACTCGTAAGGCCTGGAAACGAGCAATATATTCATGGCTTTGTTAGAAACATCAGCCATTTTTTGCCAAATAATAGTATTGTGATTTATAGTGTTGGTTTGAATGAAGAATCCTTACAAAGTATTAGACTTGCTTGTAACTCTACGAGATGTAATGTGATTCACTTTGATCTAAGCCCATTTCCTGCTCATGTCGAAGATGACACACTGCATGTTTATAGACCTTTAGTTATTCAAGTGAGTAATAACCTCTATAACACCCTTATAGTTTATCAAAAAAGTCATATTGATTAAATCATGTTTTTGTATCACAGACAGCTTTAAATACGCTAGGTAGTATAATCTATATGGACTCAAATGTGCGTCTGAATTCTTCAGACATTTCAAAATATCTTTGTCCAAAATCTGGAATCTTAACTTGGCCTACAAGGCATGCCATTAGTTCCCTAACGCATCCAAAGATGTATGAATACTTTCATGCTTCTGCTGAGAGTTTTTTCTTTCTCCCATTGATTAGAGCATCATACTTAGTAATTAGTAATTTTAAAGACATTAGGGAAAGTGTAATGCTGCCTTGGGTCCAGTGTGCATTGACGAGAGATTGTATTTCCCCTATTGGTAAATATTTTTTATTTATGCATTTATAATAATTCTATAATTTCTATATTTCTCAGATTATCAATTTTTTAATTGATTCTCTGAATGTTAAATTTCTTAACTGAATTTTTGTAGGTGCACAATCGGCGGGTTGTAGATTCAATAAAAAGCCGCAGTATCGATACTCTGGCTGTCACGCGTACGACACTTCTGCATTAAATATAGCGTTGGGATTGCATTTTAACTTTGATGATACGTATTATGTATACAAGGATCGGGAGACGTATTTTAATAAGATTCAACCCGAAGAAATCACCGAGGAGTACCTTATGATCACGCGGCAAAATAATGCCACTGAGACCAACGCTAGGAATTTCATATCGGAACGTTAAATTTTTTTTTGATCTCAATTTATCTTAGGTATGTCGAACAAGCACAATTTAATTTAAGATTATTAAGCATTGAATTAAACTATAATAAATAGCAGAATGGCCAACAATCCTGGATTTTCCTTTCAAAAGCATTAGATATTGTTTTTAAATTCTGAATTTGTAAAATTTCCACTAAGGTTATTATTTATTTATATTTTTTTCTACGATGTACATGTCAATACATTATATTCTGCTGTAATTCAATGAAATAATGATGTTACATACATTGCAGTCTCATTACATTTATTTATAAGGCACTAAACTGTCTCAACATTTGACATAATTTATGATTCGATATACTTTCAATGATACAATATAACATGCGAAAATACAAACTTTTCTCAGAGCCGATAAGAGTTAATTGAATGACAAAATATTTTCGTAAAATATTTCTCTTGTCTAGTATACTATATACAAAAATAAAACATTAAATATCTATCCTAAAAGAACATAAAGAGCTTTAAGATTCTTTGACACATTTGTATACTTATTTTATAATCCATCAAAAACAATCGACATAATAATATTGTTATAGATAAAAATATACGCAACATAAAGAGAGATTTCGGATTTTTTTGCGAATTTGTCTCTCATCGGCTCTAGTTTCTCAACATTCAATATTCACAATGGAATGCGTGAATGTATTAAAGTGTAATCGTATAATTGCGAAATCTGTGCAGGTATTCAGCATCGTACGATTTACATGATCATAGATTTTTCTTCTTCTTGAAGTCGTTCGATATCAGATTTATTCATGAAGTAATACGAAGGTTGTCGAGATTTCTAAAAGTTAAAAAAAATTAGCTCTGTATCTTTTGTGTATGTGTGTGGAAAGCATGTTCGGTAAAAATGACTTACCAAATCTTTGACGGTGCGTTTCGCGCCAGCCGTAATTAATATATTACTCAAGACTTCCACGGATGGTACTCCCATTGCGTAATGAAGAGCTGTTCTTTCCAACTGAAAAAAAAAAGATATTTTTTTATGCGTTACTAAAGTGCAGTGGATTTTTTCTTTTTTTTAATCTTAAAGTATTTCGTTAATCACTTTTAAATAATCTATATCTTATGATTAAATGATTCATTTTCTTAACTTTTTTTTTATCATAACTCACGGAATTAAACTAATTTTATTTTATCATCCTAATTCATATACATCCTTTTAAACGATTCATACATTATCGCCAATACGTAATGTTTCCGGATACGTTCTTGCGATAAATTTAACGATCTCTTCATTTTCCCAAAGTACAGCGATATGGAGTGCACATCGACCGAACGAATTCTTTCCGACAGCCAACAATTTTCCACCTCCGTTATTTTTGTTCAAAAGCTCTTTCACACGATCCACATCGTTGGCTCGAATTGCAGCATGTACCTCCTCACGTTGGTTCTGTCAAACACATGAGATATTACAGTTAAGCCGTAATTAAAAAAAAAGCAAATAATAGTTCATCTTATAGATTTATTCGCGCTAACTTACCACGTAATTAGGAATCGATTGTAAAAACTGCACCGTAGCTTCGTGTTCTCTTTGTGCAGCAACGTCGATAATGTTTACTTCTTCATCCTCTGCATCCAAAATATGATCGTAGCCCTCCAGTAAAAGTTCAACCAATTTTTCAGTTTCACCTGCGTATCAAATATAGTTTGTGATTCTCCTATTATTTTCTACTTGAAGATAGCTTATCGTTAGTACATTTTGAATTTTTTTTACCTCTCGCCGCTAGATAAACAACGTAGTGATCAATCTCTTCAACGTTCTCTCGAATGTTTGCCTGTTCAGCAATATCTCTAGCTGTCCGATATAGTTCGTCTCTAAAACCAATGTTAACTTGCGTTTCCAGTAGTAGGTGATATAGACCGTCCTTTGAATAGGAACGAATCGCTGCGAAATGAATCATGCTTTGTCCATGTTCATCCTGAAAAATATTGTTTTCACTTTTATTTCTTATGCGAAGTAATTGTACTTGTTGCAAGAACTCAGCAAAAATTAAATCGTAAGTTTTTGTCTAAGAAATATTCATGTTAAAATGTATATTTTTATTCACGTACTCTGTTAGGATTGCTGAACGTGGACTCGGGTATGTCTGAAGCTGGACTTCGGGGATAACCGGCGTCTTCATCAAAATTTTCATTCTCAATATTTTCCAAATTTTCTTCTTCACGATCAGGTATAATGAGAACATCGGATTCCTAAAGTCAGAATAATAAAAAATAATAAATAAAACTCTTCTCTAGAGCTATATTTTAGTATTTTAGTATTCAATTTGTCTATTGTTTCAATCAGACATATACCTGTTCGTTGGTTTTGTTCTTGCTAGCAAAGTTGTACAAGTAAGTCGCAAGATATGTGACCGGGTCTTTTGGGCGCGCGTTAGCAACTTCCGTTAATCCTTTAATTAATGGATCACCCAATGCTGGAGAATAATTGATTTCGTTACAACGAATTCTATAATAATATGATAAATACAACACAATTTGCCATACTTACATGATGCTAGATAACGTCCTTCTTCTGTCCGAAATATCGGAATTTCGGCTTCATTATCATCTGCAAAATAAATCCTTTAAATTATTGTGGATTAATAATGAAAGCATTATTGCGCATAATTTTATCTTAAGAATTAAACATTTCAGTTAATAATAAAAATGTTCACAAAATAATTTTATTATGTAAATTTATAGCATGCACATTATTTTCAATGTTAACAACCGCAAACTATTAACTGAAAATAATTATTGCTACTTTGTGTAGACAACACGAGATTTTTGTAAATTTTAATCAAATTTTACTTTATTTTATTTTATTTAAATTTTAATTTTTTTGAAAATTTCAATTAAATTTTAATAAAATTTTAAGTAAAGTTTCTTACATACATACATATATATATATGTATATGTATGTATTCTTTTCTATTTTAAACATCTTCTATGATCTAAGAATTATTTGTGTGCAATAATGCTTTTCAGTCTTGCAAAAAGTGTCTCAAGAAACGCTTGTGCATAATCACTCAACAACACGTGACAGAACACGCAATTTAGCTTTGCTTATTATACAAGTTCAAAATTTAAAATAAACAAGCAGAGACAGACATAATTGAACAACAAACACGATTGATTGTCTGAAAAAAGTGCATTATTTATGTGATTATCTATGTAACATGATAAATAATTACGATTGTCACGCAACAGACGTTTAAATGTCAATTCTTATGAATGTAAATCGTTAAAAATCTTTTTTTACCGTTGAATTAAGTTTTTGTATTTTATAAATATTTTATAAATATTTATAAATATTCTTTTATTAATATTATATTATAATATTATACAGTAGAGAATATATTATTTACAAAAATATATAGCTTTATTTACATATATATATATATAAAATATAATGACACTTAGACGCCTCTTGATTCATTTTTTGAATTAACAAGTTCACATTGAGAACCTACAATAAAATGCAATAAGTAAGGGATAAAAGACGGATAAACGAGTTTTATTTTAAAACGAATAGTAACATTGGAAAGACATGTGCTTCATCATTTTTGTTTTGTGTAAACATCGACTCGTGCATTACATATAAGAAAAGCTTTTGAAAAAACTTCAATATTTTTGAAGCTTGTTGTGCCATCAGTATCGCATCGAAAAATTCCAATGTTTTCGATTTTACATGAAAATAGCACGTACATGCTTAGAATACATAAATATATTTATATAATAAAAAACATATTTATAAATATAAAAAATAAAATAAAATATAGTTTCTAATTCTTAATAAATTCTGATAACTCTTAATAATTGTAAAATATGCTTACGATTTCTTAAAATATATGGGAATCCTTTGTATGTGTATATGTATATGTATATGTGTGTTCATAGATAACATTTTTTATTTGTATGTTGTATTTTATTTTGTTATATTTTACCTCGAAAAAAATTCATGTAAAATCGTTATTTATAAAAATATAGATATCATATTACAAATATAATTTTAAATAATTTGCCGAATTTTTAAACAAAAACAATGCACAATTGTGAGATTTTGTGCGACAATGATGTCGTGTATATACCAATAATGCTGATTGTCTACTAACCTAATCAGCAATCCTGTATTCTCGTCGCCAGTTAATCCGATTAATAGAGCGACTACGAATATGATTTAGCGTAATTCATAAGAGAGACGCTGAGTTTGCACGAGAGAAAACAAAATAATGTTCACATATCTTTCCAATGCATTTCTCTCTTTCTCTTTCTCTCTCTCCCTCTCGCTCATTATAGCCTAAATTATTTAAAAATTTCAGTCTATGAAGAGTAATTGACTGTCAAATGTTGGCTAATTATCACAGGAAATTTCCATGAATAAGCGTAAATGCTATTTATAAAAAGACTTAAGAGAAAAGAAAGGACAGTTTCTTGAAGACAATCGACAAGAGAAATTACTGTTTAAATATAAGAATCAGGTTGTGCGCGTAAAATAAAAATCTTCGATAAATGATGATTGGTTATTTTGCTTGTTTTAAATATCTGCAAATATGCAAACAGAGTTCTTCCCAGGATATAAAATTTCCCAGGATAGATTGATGATTTTTTAATCTGAATCATTTAAAATACATTCCGCATTTTACATACACATAGAAAATGCGTAATTGTCATTGCTGATAATTCTCATTTTATTTTCTTTTTTTTTTCAGTTTGTCTTCGTTTGCGAAATATGGAAAAAAGAATAATGTAATTCCGGATCGTCTTCAAGAATTTAAAATCTAATGTTTTATTGTCTCTCGTAATCGTTATTGATTTCTCTATTGTCGATTTGTTTTGACATTCCTCGACGCGTTTGCTCGCTTGCGGAATATGCCAGTGATGAGATTGGCGATCTTCATCGAGTTGTTCATCGACAATTCTTTTTCCAACGTGATGATATTATGCACCGCTCTGGAGAAGTCTTGAAGGGTCTGCAGCTCAGTGATCGCCAGCGACTGTTGATTGCTCATCCTCACCATATCTCTCTTTATGGTGTCGCGTACACATAGACCGCGCACCACGCATAAGTGCCGCAGATTGTCGGACGTCTTCGAGAGTTCTGGGAGCCGGACGATCAGGCAGAACCTAAGAGTATTGCCGAGAGCGTGCGGACGCGCAGTCAGGAAACCAAGCTTCTGATCTCGCTTGAAGTTTAGTCTCTGGTCGAATATCATCATCAGCTTAGCCACTCTGACATAAGCGCGGCCTACCAGGCCTGGTCGGTTCTCACTGGTGCGACAGACGATCCTCAGATGATCCTGAACATTCACCCACGCGGCGAGATCGCCAGCTGTGGTGACATACACGCCACGTCCGTAGGGCCAATGCTTGCCATGAAGACGCCGGTCGTCGTTCAGCTCGTACTCCGTAATTGGTAACAGCAAACCAGCTGCCGCCAACTGTGTTCGTATTCGACTAGGCTGATCAAGAATCTCGTTGAGTGTGAAATATGTGCCGGCCTCGTCCTCGCTGCTGCCTTCCGCCATCAGATCGGTGATCTCCGGGCTCATCAGCTGATTAGTGATCTCCCTCTCAACCTCTTCCAGTTGATTGACTGTTAATGTCAATGGCAAACTGTAGTCGGCCAGATTTCGGGTGCACTCTAAAATACCGGCTTGGATGAATTTACAAGTTGGATCTAGATCGTACTGTGTAATAGCAGTGACGATCGATTCATCTGGCAGGATCTCCACGCTTCCCTCGTCCTCGGTGTTGAAGAAACGCGGTGACGGATGATCGAGTAGATCGCCGCTCGCGGTGACGCAGTGCAACTCCCGGATGAAGGGATCGAAGAACTCCGTGAAGACGACGTAACTCTCGAAGTCGGGTGCCACAACACCGTAACCTGCATCCTCATCCGCAGCATTGCTGAGATTGGAGCGGGCGCTGTTGGTCTTACTGTCATTGCCCGTGACGGTACCGTACCTTTTCAGGGCGGGCCAGATCACGTCAAAGAGATTGTGGTCCATGCGAGTCACACGGTGCTTGATCAAATCGAATACGGGCCGTTTCAAGCAACGAGCGACTAGTGTACCGGCGTTCGATGGTGTCGACGACGTCTTCGGTATCGACGATCGCCGGTTGCCCGCCAACAATCGGAAACATCGCTCTAGGGTAGTCAGGATCTCGGGCTCGCTCACGTCACGTCGGGCTGAGTAGATATCACCTCCGGGAACTGTAGATCTCGACCGAATCGGCAGCAGTGGTAATTGAAAGAACAGCCGGATCGCGACGTTGAGGATGTGGATTGACGCGAAAGAGCGAGTAAGCAAATTTCACGGTTCAATGATTAATGATGATTATCGAAAAGTCGAATTTTAGATGAAATATTCCGCTTAAAGACGGGTATAAAACTGACTCAGAGCTATAAAACTGCTTTGCTGTTTTAGGATGGCCCAAAAAATAAGGGAAGTTCCCTGCTTTTATTGTGATTTTTATTTATAACTTATGCATAAATTGGACTTATTGTGTTAAAATAGAAGCTAATAACTATTTTTCAATGTAATTTTCGAGAATATTAATGCACTTGCTTCACCTTGATACAAGTTTTTTTCCTTTCGATAAAAAAATCCGGCACTTTCGAAAATTATATTAAAAAGTAATCATTAGCTTTTGTTTTAACACAATAAGTTCAATTTGTGCATGAGTGATAAATAAAAGATGTAATATCCTTTATTTCTTGATCTATCCTATTATATATCTTATAAATAATGTAGTAATCCTTTGCGTGTATCTACTGAAAAATATTTAGTTTTGTGAAGAATAAATATTTTTTAATCTCGAGAACTTTATGAGATTAATATGCGATGCAATTTAAAACTGACTTATAATCGATGTTTTATCATAAAAAATCATAAAACTTTTTACCAATAAATACATTAATTATATGTATATATAGAACTTAAATATAAAAAATATTAATCAATAAAAAAATAATGGATAATTAATGAATGATAGTATTAGCTCGATTAATGAATTGATAGTATTAGCTCGATCAACTCGCTGAAATGTTAAGTGTCGAATTGATTACGTGCGATTATAAAAATAATCGAAGCAAATAAAATCATTCCACAAAATCAGAAAGTCAGTAAAAGAAGAAACACTTGTGCGCTCAAGTATTTCGATTTGATTCTTACGCGATATTTGAGAGACGTTTTGATTGCGCTTATCTAAAAAAAAGTATAAGTATATCTATCATGAACGAAACTGGACATTATTAAGATAATCGAGAATTAAAGTTTCGTGTGCGGAGGAGAGACAATCAATGGATACTTCACGAAATCGCGACACATAACGTACTCTTGTGCTAACAATAAGTGCGACGTTGTCAGAGATTTTTACAAAGATTCCGACTTAAATCGGAACGATTCTCAATCACAATACACGAAGGATGACGTCGCGAGGAGAAGTGCCCGGATAGTTTGCCGCGCGCGACTATTTTTACAACTGTTACCAATTAGTACTCACTATTAAAATACCTCGATTAAACAAATACCTTTATCCGTCAACATTTCGTCGGCGAGCCTTTCGCTGGCCCCGAAATCGCGAAGAAGTTGTTTGTGCGATAGGTCGCTTTGATTTTGCTTGTAATAATCCGCTTTATGTCCGAACTACACGATAAAAAAATAATGTTTTATTTCGCTTGCAATAATAGATTTGTGAGTATTTATTAAAATCTAATAATTCACTATTATTTATTAAAATATAATATGTATTTATAATTCTCTTTAATATTAAAATTATTATTAAATAATTTTAACATAATTTTTTTAATATTAAAATTATTATTAAATAATTTTAGTATAATTCCTCATTAGGATAAAAATAACTATTTTTTCGTTAAAATTAGAAATTTTTTCTCACAGAAAAATTAATTTGCTATCTTAACTATAAGATTCGAAATTTTTCTCTTGTTGAAAAATTTACTTACTTAACGAAAATCATGCGAAATAATAATGAAAATCGTCTAATAAGAACTAATAATAAGAACTCACGTTGTCTTCTATTAAAGGATTGGCGCCCAGATGAAGCAAGAGATTGTAGTAATGGCCGTTATCCGCAAGCGTCGCGGCGTAATGCAACGGAGTACGTCCGTCGAGATCGATTGCATTGGCGGTTTCTGGAAACCTTCCCGCCAGGTATCTGAATCAGGTATAAAATATTCAATCTAATGTGACGTGGATTGAGAGACTGCAAGGTTTATAGCTTATCATTCATAATAAGAAACTATCATGGCATGAGTCGGGATGAATAGTGAACTGACATTGACGATTGGCGATTGGTTGGTAATAATTAAATGGTCGGTATATTATATATAAGGACTTAAATTCTCGCTTTGTTTTATTGAACTGATGAAATTAATTCTTCAAAGTGTCGTAAGAAAACGAGAGAATGGAGAAACGTGGCGTGAATAGAAAAAATATGTTAAATATATGAATTAAATATATTGTATATAAAAATATGTCAGGTACCTGATGACAGCAGTATTGCCAAATACAACTGCAGCGTGCAATGGCGTTGCACCGTGAGGTGACGATTCGTTTCGCGCCACCGCGAATTTGCGCCGATCCAGCGCGCTTTGCAAATCACGAAGATTTCCCTCTCGCGCTGCCATGTGTACGGCATGAATTTTTCCCTAATATTAAGGAATGACATATGTTATACATTATACATATTTTTTCTTAATCTATAAGGATAACGTACCATGTAAGCTGGCACGTTGTCAATGAATGCCTGGAGTTCCGGATTTCCGGACTGCCGTCCAACCAATCGTCGGCCTTCGCCGTTAAGAACCAAAGCCGCCAATTGTTCCATGTTACCGTCCCCCATCAGGTTGTCCACTTCCAAATCGTGGGCCATGCTACCCTCATTTAGCTCTACCTCGGCAGCCTCCTCGTGTTCACCAACAATGACCTGCTGTCATATTTAGGTACACAATCATGCGCGCGACTAAGTTCGTAGGCTGGTGGATCAATAGGAGATATTAATCGCATGTGGGAATTTTACATGCAAATCGATTGTCTGTCTCGTGCCGCGCCTACGCGTACGTTATGTATGCATATCGAATATCCATAAAGAAGAAAAAAAAGGTCTGTTTGATAACGAGCCGAATTGATTTCTATCTAAAGAACTGTTAAATATGTTTTTCCCAGTTTATTAAGAAGTATATTTTTTTTTAATTTAAAGGATATGTATATTATTATTATGTGCAGTTCAAAAAATGTATTACTTGTATACAGAGTTAATACATAACAATTTCAAGCGGACATAGATGGAGAAATCCCGGCTTCTTCTTTGTATTATACAAGGAACAGTGCGGTGATTATGACAAAACGATTAAGACAATACCTGCTCTTCATCGACGCCGGAATCGCCGGTGCTGGGTTCGTTTCTATCTTCATGCTCAACCATGGTTTCTTCGCTGACGGCGATTTCTTCGATCTTCGGGGATTCCTCGTCGATCCCGTCCTCATTAACGGCGGCCTCAGGCCCGTCCTCCTCGTTTTTTGATTCCGCGACAGGTCCGATTACTACGTCATCGTCCGAAGATGCCTTCTCTTCGTCTTTTGTTTCCTCTTCCGTATTCTGTTGCTCTTCTTCGTTCGCTTCTTCCTCATCCTCATTCGCGGCTTCCTCATCCTCATTCGCGGCTTCCTCATCCTCATTCGCGGCTTCCTCATCCTCATTCGCGGCTTCCTCATCCTCATTCGCAGCTTCCTCTTCTTCATTCGCCTCATTTTCATTCTGCGCTTCTTCCTCGTCTCCATTCGGAGTCTCGGCCTCGACCTCCTCCTCCTGCTGCTCGTCATCGGCTCTCTTAATCTGTTCCACCAAATCTCCCATATAATCCTTCATATCGTAGATCTGAAATTGCGAATTGGGACTCCCCCCTTCTAACCAAGAAAAAAAATCTCTACCATTCTACTCATTCCGGATGCAATGCTACATTTTGACCGGGATTTCTATGTCCGGCTACGCGAGTGCACTAAGTAATTACTAATCAATAGAAACATATATCATACAAAAAATCGATATTGTCAGCAAGCTTAAACAAGCAGAATATTGTGCGATTAAAAAAAATTGTGTAATTAAAAAAAATTAATAGCAAATATACCTCCTCACTCGAGCCATCCTTCGTTGTGGATTCAGCGCTACCGAAAGCACTGTCAACGTCATTACTGCTAACTACCTTTTTCATTCCCCGCATAGCGGCCCGTCCTAACTCCAGGATTTTCCAATCCCAACTTTTCGGATAAGTAGCAGAGACTCGAGGTGCATCTGGTATCACCGATAAATTTGACAAGTCTACGTCTGAAGGGCGATTTTTGTAGAATGCAGGCGCCTTTTGTCTCTGATTTATAACAAAATGGATAAAATATAATTATATCAAGATTTGATTTTGTTGACGATTATTTTTTTTTTATTTGTAGATAATCACTCACGTTATCTAATTTACTCTCGTCAGCTCCATGTTCGGTCAGAAGATCGTACATGGCGCCATCGTCTTTAAGTGCAGCTGCATAATGCAATGCTGTTTTTCCCTCGTTATCCTGAGCGGCTACCGTTTCACGATTTCTCTCGAGAATTTCACGCGCAATATCCGTGTATCCCAAACCAGCGGCCTTTCGAAAAAAAAACAAGAACGATTTGAATCACTTTTGCTTTTTAATAAGTTAAAAAAAGATTTATCGAGCAGTTGTCTTCAGATTTATACCTTATGTAGGACATTTAAACCGTTGCTATCCTTGCCGCACAAAACAATAGGTGAAACAGGTTCTTCCAATTTTTGCTTAAAACCTTCCAAATCATTGTTAACGACTGTTGTATGGATATCTTTTATTGTGCCCTATAAGGAAGTTGCAGAAATTTTATTCGATAATTCTTGAATCAGATAACAGGTATATATTGATATCTTTATAGTTTTATAAATAACTAAGTATACAAGCGAGAAATAATTTTTTGTCATACTAATTCTGATAATATACCATGATAAAGGGTGTGGCCTCTAGAAATTTTCTTATCCGAGGATTGTTGCTGGTTTCGCATCGAAGTTTGGATCCATGTCCCTCCCATAGCATTTGCTGCAATTTTCCGATGTCTCTATTGTGTATCCATATCCTGATATTGGAAGGCTTGAAATCCAGACCTGGAGCACGAAAAACGTTATACGTCGAACGAATATTCAAACAATATTTTAAAACATAATTTTTTTCGTGTTAAAAAATTTATACGTGACAAAATTTATTTTTGTTATGTTAATAAAACTGATACTATTAAAAATATCTTTCGAAAGAGAGATAATGAAATAATTAAATATTATAAAATAATAAAATATTAGACAATTGCATATAATTGATTTATTGCTCTTTTTTGACAATTTTTGGGAATAATTTCACAAATAAATCGTAAATTGGTTTTTGTTTATCGTATAATTGTTGCAAAACATAATAGTATATAGAATGTGATTCAATCGTTTTTTTACGATTATCATTTAAACATTGACACACTCACTAAGTATGTACTTATAAGCACGAATCCTTGAATCGCTGTTATTAAAGATATTAAATATTTAAAATACTCGACATGAGAAGTCTATAGTTCAATAAATGTTAGCACAATTTTGTTAGAGAGCGCTATATATATTTTTATAACAAAGAAATTCCGTCAAAATATATAGGAATATAAAAATCTTTTTAAAGACTCAACATTCTCAACAGATTTATTTATTATAAATATAACATGAAAATCTCAAAATATTTATGATATCTATGACTTCATATAAGAATTTTATTGTACCAAGAAAAATCAGAGAATTTTTATGGAAATTTATTAGGATTATTTAGAAAATATCTTAAAAAATTCTCTCTTTGATAATTTTGCTCTTAAATTGTAAGCAATCGACAATCAACTGATAAATCAATGTGAATTATTACATTATATGTATTTAAAATATATTGAATATATGAAATATGTATATATATATATATATATATATATATATATATATATTCTTTATTATAATTTTTAGTGGTAAAAAGATAAAAATGTTATGCAAGTAAAAAATATTTAGTTTACGAAAGTTATTCAGTTTTTATTCAGTTTGCAAATCCAGAAACTTTAAATTAAATAGCTTTACATTTGTATGAATAAAAAGCATTAAAAAATGCATATAATAAAAAATCTCATTTTAGAAAATTCATCAAATCTTTAAAATATTTTTTTATCTAAAATTATAAATAAAACTACTTGAATTAAGAAATTTTCAGAGAATTTTTTAACAAAATCTGAATATAGATATCTCTCTTATACATATTAAAAATATTTTACATAATTTATAAGTGCGAAAAAATTTATTAAATACTGCATTGTAAATGTAGAATCTGAACAGCTGTGTCAAGGATTCTCATCGTTAAAAATAAATTTCACCGCATTCAATTCATATGTTCGATGTGTACGTCTTCAATAATAGTGTCACATGCACATGTTTTACTTAATATTTTATATCGTCTAGAATACACGCACGGATAGCGTGCGCAATCCAAATTGATAAATTTTCTAAAAGACAAAGCGAAGGAGTGAGGTCTATGTGTCATATTACTGATATCGAGTTGCGAATTGTCTACAAGGTATATAGATATTGGCATATAGACATTGTGTTACTTGGTAAAGAAAACCTGTGATACGCGGCCAATATTGTTTACAACTCTTTACCTGCCACGTAGCAGCGATGTTTCCAATAAATTATGGCCACGATCGCGTTCGCATAGATGCTACGATCACGCGAGATTTTGTCAAAGATTTAACGAGCAACTGTACAAAAATACAATAAAAATTCATTTTTCGGATTAATTCTTCGGAAAAATTCATTATTCAGGTATCATTATTTAATGCAAGTAATTTTAATACGATGTTTATTCTAAAACAAACAAAAAGAAGGATAATATAATGTTTATTAAATTATATATTATATACGAGTAAAACATTAACTGATGATTAAATAATCTATTCAATAGCGCGAACAATTTAGTAAATTTCTTCTTTCTGTAATCGAATAAAATATACGAGGAATAGACTATTGGAATGTTTATTGGAAATTGATTTTGCTACAAGCTTTAAGCTAGCATGTCGAAGAATGAGGACGAGTTCTTATCATTTTTTAAAATCGGCCTTTCTTACTCATTGACGATGAGTCGATTCTCGACCTATTTACGTGCGCGAAGAAGAAAAAGTTCTCATTTCTTTTCACGTAACTATCTCTTCTTTTTGCAATTTATTATAATTTATTTTATTTCTTAGAACAAGTGTCCCAATTATTAATATTTAAAAGAGCCATTACGAACGAGTATATAAAATATTTCGCATATTTTTGTTTGCGACATGATACACTTTCCTCTTTCACGTTTAAGTGCGCTATGTAATTTACTGGATGGACGCGCACGCGGTAATCCCCGTTTCGATCGTGTCGTCGTATCGAACGTCGCAGTTAGCCTTGCCTTACGAATTTATATACTATCGATTTTTCGCGGTCATTAGAAATGAATACGTGAGGTATCTAAGGCGAAGAATATACTCGTGAATATAGGAAACAGACGAAATCGCTACATGTATAGTACTTCGTCTTAAGATTATCTGATATTTTCTCGAAATTGTTTTAATGACTCACTTGCAAGTCAGAGCAAGATATGTAATATTTAGACATTTTTTAATACTAATTATATCTACACAATGTTTAATATAAAAAACATAAATGGATGTGCAATATAAAAACCAAACAATACAAGCTACTTTGAAAAAAGTACACTCCGTTTCTTTTTCAGAAAAGAGAAAAGATGATGCATATCATACAGATCACGGAAAAAAATATAATTATTAATAAATTTTTTTTACAAATAATGTGCTGACAGGTTTCTCATATTATTATCTTTTAAAAAGCGGATATTTATACTCACAATCCCTTCCGCTACTTTTTCTTCGTCGTGACATTACTTCCACTTCGGGCAATTCAATCTCCGTGGGATGTTTCAAGTAATAAGCGGCTGGGTTTCCTTTCTTGTCGCAAATGCTAGCGTCGCATCCACCTTCTATAAGAAGATCCCAGATCGAATCGGGATCTTTACACGCGCAGCAATAGTGTAAAGCTGTTTTTCCTTCCTAGTATATAGTAAAAAATATGCATAGGATATGACTGTTTAATTATAATTGAATTTAAATTATGCAATATTTATGTGATGAGTACAAAGAGCAAAAGTATTGGGGTTAATATGCAGGCTTAGAATCGCGCTTTTTGTCCCGGGTATATTTTCCAGCATAAGACTGAGGATTGCGAGGGAAGAACAGGTGGTTTACACTTCGTTATTACCCGTGTCACGCGATGCGGGGTCATAATAAACGCTAAAAGCAAACTAGAAGGAAACTAGTCGATTATTCAGGGGCTTTCTTTTCGAGAAAATCGACAAACGTTTACTTTGTGGCACAATTCCGTCGCGAAAATGGGCCTCGCGAGGTGTCGTGAATTATAAAGGATAGTCGATCGAAACTCATGCTCATTAAGATCTATGTAAAAAAAATAATTAGAAAGACATTATTTTTTAAATAAAGAGCAAACTGAGAAAGGTCAACTAATCGTATCGCTACGTAAAATAGTTTTCCATCATTTAATACCTCGAAGTAAATGTCGAAGGTACTTCGACATCAACTTCGCAATTGTTCGTCCCTAGGGTGTGACGATTAAATTTCTCGCAATATGTATATTCTTCAACAAATAGCGATTTTAAAAGAAAGAGACGTACTCTATCTCTCTGCTGCGGCGTAATAGGATAATTTTCTACGAGCCAGGCAACGATGTCGGGTTGATCGTGATAGACTGCTTTGTGTATCAAGGGCGTGCCGCAAGAATCCTTGGCAATCGCCAGTTTCTTCTTTGGCTCTTCGGATATGATCTTCTGCGTTTCAGCTAACGAGCCGCGTGCGACGGTATCGTGTATTTGATAGATCTTCGTCTAGAATAAATCGAAACATAAATGTTAAGCATTAATTTTTATCGGTGATATTCGTTAAAAGAGGAGGTTCGGTTAAAAGAAAACCTTGTCAAATTGAAAATGATTTCTTAGACAGGCAGAATTTTTTATAGCCTCTGTAATTTGCTTACCAAATAGTTCGGGAGTCCCTTCAGGAAGACACGAGTTTTAAGATCCGGTGAATGTTCACCTAATAAACGCGTGCCTCGACCCTCCAATACGATATTTTCCACTTTTTCAAGTTCGCCCCGCTGCAACCAATTTTTTATGGCCGAAGAATTCATTTGAGCCTCTGCAATGAAAACGATATCAAAATTTTTAAACCGAATATATGTTAATCGTAATGTGTAATCACAATTTGTAAAAATATAAGCAATTTTTCTTCGAGACAATTTATTCTGTTTACGGAACGCGTGATTGCATTCGCTATTGATAATGAAAATTACATAAGAATTTCTTCAATATGCATCCATAGGTAGATTTTACAGACAATTACCGGTTCCTCTTTGTTATTGATTCGCATGTTCTGACGGCATTTTCAAATGGTATTTTCGATCGCATATCCATAATGTTACGGATGATTGTCGGCTCAGAATGTAATAACGATATTCATGACACGCGAAACTTAATATTTGTCGGAAGCTCACATAGAGAGATATTCCGATATTGCGGTTAGAAGATATTAATATATGTAGTTTCAAAAAATTTTCAATCAGGTTTCTCGATTATTGAAATTTAATTATGCGAATTACATTTCACGATAAACATATTAGCCACATTATGATGTGGTTTCAAGAATTATGTTGCAGTAGTGATAAAAAGACGCCACAGTCTATTACAGGACTTTATATATTAAATGACCATTTAATCATTTGTGCTGACTAATGACGATTATGTAGATTTTAATTGGTATTACATCTCTATCTCATTAATGTTTTGCTATTTACTTAAACGATGCGAATGTAAGTAATGGAACACTCTGATTTTTCCTCTTACGATCGGTGAATTCCCTGCTTCTCTATTACGTGTGTGGAATTCAAGAGAATGCAAATATATGTAATAACATGATTTATGTGATTTATGCACAGACGCGTACATTTATTATCTATTATTGAATATCCTTTAATTAAATACTTTACTTTAATAATTATCTTAATATATATCTTTATAAAAAATTGTTACTCCATAAAGATGAATACGTATTCTGATAAATACATTATAAGTAAAAATTTTCATTTCTCTTAACATTTTCTGTATTATTCTAGTTGCATCATACACACACATACATATTAATACATTATGCATATTTATATTTTTATTATATTATCGAAAACGTATTACAATTACAAATTTTATATTAATAAAATATATAGATAAATAATGTGTTTCACACTTTGTAGATTTCATACGTAACTTTCAACGATATGAATGTCAGATATTTACATAAGAAAATAATTTTACATATGACAAGATTGCCTCCTTGAACTATCTGCATTTACTTTTTAAATTTAAACGGATACATAAGTAGAGAAAAGTTGTCAATATGTCATTATTCAGATTTAAATTGCAAACGTTACGAAAGCAGTCTTAATGCGAGATTTTACAATTATATATATGTATGTACAATTATATATATGTATGTACAATTATATATATATATATATATATATATATATATATATATATATAATTTTATACAAAATCTACTATCACTATTTTAAGCGAGCAATAAAAAAAGCCAGCTTTCTCCAACCAAAAAATCGTTATGTTTGATTGAAACAGAATGTGAGCAATTGAGACAAAAGAGAAGTTCGACGTATTAGATTCTCAACAATGTTGAAACTTTCTGACATTTACATGTAAAAAATGGAGACACATCTCTCATTCCTGAGCGAATGAAGATTAAAAAGTGGAGCGGAAAAGTGTGCGTATAAATCTTGAAGGATGAAAGAATAGTACCTGATTGGCTCTGACTCGCTCTGCCTCTACCATCATTTTGTATATCGATTAATCAGTCCGTGAATCAAGCAATACACACCTACGAATATGGCACACACACACACACGCACACAGAAAGGGGCTTCGCGACGCACGTGCGACACGAGAAAGCGTCGCGCGTCGAATGAAGCCGACGTTTGGCGTCGCGACGCCACAAACACCGGCCGGTTCCCCGGGACGATTCCCGCGAAAGAAAATTCCTTATGTGGGAGTTACGTCTAGAATAAATAAGAAATTAGGATCGATCAAGAATTCATGTTTGCAGCTCAGAGTAATTTCTTCCGACAGAATTTCATTCTTTTATGCGGATATAGCGTTGCGTTCGATCGACTTATAAAGTAGAATAAACAATGCACGCTGCGTGTTTCTCTCCTTGGCTGTGTCAATAACCGTGTGTCATAGTTGTTATGGTAAATTAGACCCGAGATAGGTGTAACTAGAAAGTTATTAGTTATTTATCTGACGAAATGAAGCCTTTCAATGACCTCTCTTTTTTTTTTGTTTTTCGAAAATCAATTTATTATTGCATTTTTTCTAAATTAATTAAATGTAAAAATTATATTGTCTAAAAAATTCATATAAAAATAAATAAATAGTTACTGCTATTAGAAAAGAATGGTTGATACATTATAGGCGCACACCTTACGCGATAAACTCATCAAGTAAAGCGATTTCATTATATAAATGACATACGCTGGCATTATTAAAGTGAACAACAAGGTCAAGAGTAAATGAAAATTGAAATATTTTTTTCGTGGAAATGCGTGTCAATATGTAATTATGTACAGCTAAATAATTTATATTATAAAAACGTTGTTTATTTATATATATTGTTCATATTTAGATATTGTGTGTTACATATTGTTTATTATTTATTAATTCAGTAATTAATTGTATTTGATAACAAGGGAATGAATTTATCGAATTAAAATACATGCTTTTTATTAATCGAATAAATCATTCAGTTAAAATAATCTCGAATATTCTGCCGAAGGGAAACTTTTCAATGGATAATTCTTATCTCTCTTTAATCAGCGCTAACCTCGATATAAGAACGTGACTAAGAAACTGATTATCGATTATCATACATTTATTTTATCCCTTTAATTTGCAATGTTTCCTAGTCTTCTCATTTTTTTTTCTTTGTTTCTCTTATTTATTTACTCGCATCATAATGCTTTAAATCGATGTTAGTGGGTACAGTGCAATGACATATCGACCATGCAATTTATGAGTATTTGTATATTATCTTGAAATATGCTCTTCAACCAAGATTTTTGTAGCAAAACAAGATAAAGTTTATTTATTAAAATGAATTAGTGAACTATATATACAGTTTCTAAATTTATATTGAATAAATTTTAAAATAAAAAATCTGTGAATAATTAATTTAATTTTTAAAGTTGCGAAAATAAAGCAAATATTACTTGTATATCTATGTGCAACTTAAAACTATGATAATCACCTTTTTGAGCGTAGCTCCACGGGTTTAATGAAGAATTTTTATAAGATATTATTAAAATCGTTTTTATCGTGTAGGTAAATATGTCAACTCATTTAATAAAAATTCCCATGTTGATTCTTTCGATTTGTTGACAATCAATGATACTTTATCTGATTCGCTACTGCATCGGAAGTGTTGTCCTGATTCATCGTATTAAACCGTTTTTCTATTTGGAATAGGAACGAACGTTTGAAAGGTATGAACAACTTCGTAAGACTGACGATGTATAGTTTTCCACGTGTCCTATTCACCCAAGTTCTATATTATTTATGAGAGATATAGTTGGAAAGTGTGCAGCTTTAGCGCCATAATGCCGCCATGTGGAAATGATAATCAAAAACTTGTTAATGATTGATTTTTGGAGATATAATTGAATAATTATTGTTCCGGATATTTTCGCGAATAAACAGAAACATCGATCTGTATAATTATAATTTTATGAAACATTTAAAAAATTCATAAAAGATTCAATAAAATAATAGGTATTATAGGTTGAATAATTTTACGATTTCGAATGTAATGGTAATCTATATGTAGCGCAAATATTATCGTTAAATAATCGATTTCGCTGAAATTTAGGACAGATCTATGTCCATATTACATAATGCTTTGCGTAAAGAAACTTTATAATGATAGCAATTTTTTTCTACATATGTGATCGATCACGCGCAACGATCAATTTAATAGGACACATATAATTTGCTGCATATGATGGTTTTGATTACTTTTATTTACTTGAGGATATTCAGGTGGGATCGAGTAAATTTTTAACGTTAGCAAATTCCGATTGTCATTGTGCAAGAGTAGCTCAGCTTTAAAAAGAGCAACTGACCGTTCAACAATCATTGTCATAAAGTTGTCGCGAGTTGTACCATTTGCTTGTTTCAAAATCGCAAAGATTAAAAATGTTCGCGCCGATTTTCACGCTTTTTCTATTCTCCATGGTTTTAGCTACCGGTAAGAGTGTACAATAGGTTTACTTTTAATGATTTATTATATTGTTAAAAAACTCTTTTTTAACCTATTTTTTATTAAAATAATTTAAAATAATTTTAAAATTTTAATTAAAATTTCTAAATCATTTTAAAATTCTAACTTTGATGAAATTAATTAATGTTTAATCATTTGACACTTTAGACAGGAACTTGAACAGGACAGACTTGAAATGTGTAGGACATGCTTTCCATAACGTGTCTCTTTCCGCATATTACCCCGTGTTCGGAACGAATGACAAGCGCAATCATCTGGATGATCGAGGAAAAATGTTGAAGACTCTTCAGGTTTGTGATTTGCGATAGACATAGCGTGTTATATATAAAAAAATTTGTTAAATATTCATTAGTGTTATACGTATTATATATTAATGCAAATTCGTTTTAGGATTACCTTGATGGCCGCACTCGTTATGTCACTGTCGCTGGTAATTTGAAATCCGGTATTCCATATGGAACAAAAATATGTATAGAAAAGCTGAACGAACGTTTCGGGAAACAAATTTCCTTACAGGTATGTAAAATTATTATATTTGTTACATTTTTAACAAAAGAATTTTAAATTCTCGACGAGATTTTTATTTAATTTAATGTTACTTAATTTAATGTTATTTATTTTTTTTTATTTTTGTTAATTTACACATATTTAAAAGTTTACAAAAATTTATTTATTTATTCTATATTTATTCTATATGTGTGTCTTGCAGATAAGAGATCAAGTTGATTCTGAAGACAATATTGACATTGCAAATGATTTCTCGAGATTGGAAATTTGTGTCAGGACTGAAGAAGATACTTATGATACTTATGTCAATGATGTCGTTTCTGTTTATGTATAATAATCAATGGACTAAAATTATATATCTTTATTAATCTAATTATTATTAAATTATTTTATAATAGAATATGTGCTTTTTCTCTGCATTGAATTAAATCATATTTTAACTAGCGAAATAATATTATATATTATAATATTACATTTAATATTATAATATTAAAATCTAACGCTAACGAATCGGAATATTATAAATATTAGACAGAAAGTCTAAATTATATATCTATCCTAACAAATCACGAAATTGTAATTTATTTATTTTATTAATTGTTATTTATTTGGCCTTTTTTGTCCAATGAGGCCATGATTGTATCATTGCGTAAAGATCATCTCCAGGACAGTTAGTTGACCAGGTTTGTCGATGTCCAAGAAGCTTGTAATCACTTTTTATTTCATTATTATCCACTCCATAAGCGATCAGTTTACTTATTGCTTCTACCGCAGCTACGTGTGGTGTTCGAGCTAACAAATAAAAATAGTACATATATTATACATTAAAATAACAAGTTCTCCAATATCACTTACAGCGGTAGTCTCCAATGATACATATTCCAATGCTCTTGTTGTTGAAAGGTATAGAATGAGCACCCTTTTTGCCCCAGCCGCGGCCTTCGTAAATGTTTCCGTCTTCTCCGACCATGAAATTATAGCCAATATCGAACCAATTTTTATTGTCCATATGATAGTTCTTGAAACGAAAGATTCGAATTACTAGGAAGTACATCAGATTTATTATTTATTAAAATATGCGAAATAAAAAGACAAGATATAAGATTTGTCCTATTAACAGAAGATACATTAGTCTTGATCTAAATTATTGCTCAATTGTATTAAGTCTAATCAATTATATATAGTGAAAAATTAAAGATTAAAAGACTTGCTATTTAGAAATGGTTCTTTTTTCTCTGAAATTAATTACCTGTATTCCTTTCATTTTCAACTGGCACGCAACTTTGGTATTGCAACTAGAACCAGTCGAATGATGAATGATCACGTAAGGCGCGGGTTTTATTGAGAGATTGTCAGCTGGTGATTTCGGTGCTCTGGCGCCCCATTCCTCCCTAGTAATAATATGTAGATCATCTACAAAACTATCTGAAAAGAAAACAATATTAAATATTAGTAAATTGCTAATGAAAATTAAAGATTGTACCTTACAATATACAAAAAATACATTATATTATTCGGTTAGCAACTTGTCTAGCTTATTTGTTAGAATTGATACTAATACGAAGGTAGATTGAAAAATTCCCGATCTGACGAAGAAAAAAATATTTTATCATTAAAATGAAATTTATTTCTCAATATAATCTCCCTTCAATTCAATACATTTGGTCCAATATTTTTCTAGACCTTTCATTCCCTCAATATAATAACTTTTGTCTAAAAATAGACACTAAACTGCACTTATCACTTCAGCATTCGACGGAAATTTTTTCCCAGATAGCATTTTTTTTAAATTTGGAAACAAGAAAAATTGTCTATCACGATTTGAACATAATCGATTATTTTATCCGTTGTTGTGGTTTTTGATCGTCCAGAGCGTTCCTCGTCGAAAATGTTCGTTCTACCCATTTGAACTTACCAACCCAAGCTTTCACGATTGTAAATGAAGGAGCAGCATCTCCATACACTGATTTTAATTCAGCTTGGATTTCCGCAGGAGTTTTCCCTTTCAAATGAAGAAATTTTGTCACTGCCCGATACTCCAAATTCTCCATTGATAAATTGTCACTTTTAACTGTCAACAAACAAGCCAATCACTAGAATAATATCAAGCTTAACTCTGTGTTTCTTCCACTACCATCTATTGGACAAGTATTGAAATTTAGTTGAAATCTTGATCTTTCTTGGTCAGGTCAGAAATATTTCAATCTACCCTCATAATTATTAGAATATATGATTCATATGTAATTGTAAGATAATTAAGAAATATATGACTCATATGTAATATATAGATATAAGAAATAAGATAAGAAAAAATATGTGAATATAAGAAAATTTTACAAAAATAGAGAGGAGTAAAACATTTATTACGAATTATTTTCTTTTGTAATTATGTGGCTTGAAGAAGAATTTATGTAAAGTGCAAATAATCATTTCACTCACGCAAGCATTATTTTTTGTCATTATTTTTCTAGTTGCGCAAGATGCTTACATTTTTATAATAACTTCCCATTAATTCTTATCGATTAACACATTTCTATTCTATTTCATGCAAATAGATTTAACATAACATTTATCATAGCTATTACATTATTAATCAATCAGTCAACAACAATTAGCGTGGTGCCCATGAGAAATAATGATAGTTTAATCGATGAAGAAAATGACAAGTTAAAATGGAAAAAAACTCATTTATCAATACTGCACAACATTATTATGATAACCTTGTACATCGAAAATATCTCAGAGATTTATGACGCGTTAGCTCGATATCTCGAAAAATTACATTTGAACTAACATATAAGATTTTATATTAATTGTCGTTAAAATGGAAAATAAAAATTCTATCATATCCATGCAAAATATTCTCTTTCAACGACAATTTTTTATATGTTGAATTTTTTATATGTGAAATGCGAAAGATGTCTCTAAAAATTTCAATGTTTTTTTGAATATAAAGCAGGATTTACGGCTCGCATAAATAATATATTGAATGAGAATTACCAGTGGTAGTTTCCTGAGCGACGATTGTTAAGTAGATCGTGAAAATCAACGTTGTCGTCGTCACGATGTACATTTTAACTTGCGACATGATGAACAGAACAAATGAAACTGTCACAGATATGATAGTTTCATATATCTTCTTAATTAAAAATATTATTTTCTAGCACTCTGATCTCTGACTGTGTAATTGATAAATACATATATACATATGTATATATATATGTAAATGCACATTAATCATATTTTATCAACCGGTTTTTTCAAACTAATGATTCATTCGACGAGTTACAAAGAAGATACACTTTGATTGTCACGTCAGCCGAATTCGAGTGACACGAAAAGTTGTCAATAGGCCACGTCACCCGTATAAGAATGACAGTTATAGGTATATACCTAACTATATAGGTATATACCTAACTACAAATTATCTAAGATATTTGAAATAATAATCAATAGTAATTTTAACAATTATAGTACTGATTACTACTGTGCGAGTATATTTTTTTAAATAATATTAAAATTAATATGTAGATATAAGTTATTTTAGAGATTATATAAATATAATCTCTAACTGTTTTTTTTAGATCCTTCGTTCTCGACTACTGATTTCTGACTGACTGTCCCTCATCATTTCGATATGTGATATTTACATACTTCTATTAGCAGAAGCGATATCAGGTCAGCAAAAGATCCGATATCACACGTGAGTCTTATTTCATTCTTGTTAGATGCTTCACGTAACTGCGTACATGTCCTGACGAAGTTTTCTTCATAATTCGCATGGCAATCAGTGTTAAGAAAATTCTATAATATTGTAAAATTGTAAATTCTATAATATTGTATAATTCTATAAATTTGCATATTGGCAGAAGAGAAGAAAAAATACGATATTTTATATTTTTATTATAATATTTATAATTCTAAATGCACTTAACAATAAATATGATCAAGATTGATTGCAAAAAATTTAATTATGATATGTATCTATATAGATGTATGATATAATTATTTAAAGTATAAGTAGTTATAGATGTATATATAATTATTTAAAGTATTTAACTTATTATTATAAGTGGAAATAATTTGTAAAATATATATATATATATATATATATTTATTTCATTGTTTATACAAATAATGTAGATAAAATAAATCACTAACATACAAGCGCAAACATATAAAGTAGAAAAAATATTTTTATTCTTCTCTATTTTTTTAAATATAAGAGAGACAATATGACTTATTGATATATTAATGACTTATTGATATATTGATGACTTACATATTAAAGTTATATATTTTAAAATATTAAAGACTTAAATTAAAATTATATTTATTATATTTTCACATTTATGCGTAAATAAATGTGAAAATTACATACTTATAAAATGTGGAAATATAAGGAACAAAATGTCTACCTATTTACTTGTATTTTTTAAGAGGAACAGACTTTTCTAAGAAACATTAATGATCCAGTCGCACTAATACTGATCTATTACTATAATAAGAATACAAAATCAATATCGACAAATGTAATAACGTTTTGATTTGCTTTTATTTTAATCAAAGTTCTGATCAACACAACAAAATAAAATACGATAAAACGCGCTTAAAAATTTACCAAACTAACCATTATCTCCTCTGATCTCTCTGAACTTTACACGAAAAATACTGTATAGTAATATACAGCTGCGATATACGCAATACGATTATCTTATCGATTTCACGTATTCAAAGAATAAAACGATGTTCTTATAATGAGCATTCTCGGGGAATAATTTATTTTAATGATTTATTAATAAATTAGATTTACTCGAGGATATGTAAATCGCTCGTTTTTCTTGCACTAAAGTGACCGAAAGAGACCGCAAATAAGACCGCAAATAAGACCGCAATAAGTTTTATATATATATATATATATATATATATATATATATGTATTATGTATATGTGTGTGTGTGTATGTAATTGAATATAGTTTTTGAAAAATGCAATTTTTGGTGTAATTTTTGTTATTATATAAATCGAAAAATTTTTATCTTTATCTATATCATATCAAAATATAAATGACAGAATACATACCGATAATATATATTCTGTTATTTATATTGCAACATAATATAGATTTAATCAATGTCCATCAAATTTACATGCCGTTTTTATTATAGCCCAGATGTATGAAAAAATTTTATTTGAGTAACGTGTACGAAATTAGTTTCCTCATAGACAATCGCGCGCGCGCGTGTGTAGTGCTATAATATTCAAATTAACATCGTCGTTAATTAAATTTCCGAAGGCCATGACTTTAGGGAAAATAACTATTATAATAAATATAAAGATATGGCTCGCACGCGAATCGAGGCAAGAGATCTTGTTCATCAAACTTGCGTAAAAAATATTTACTTTATTAATCATCCATTTAATTTCTGGATATTTGTTGATATTTTTGATAATATGTTTAAAACTGTACACATACACGCACGCATATATATATATATATATATATATATATATATGTATATATAAATTAATATCTGCAATTTCTTTAGAAAAGTCTGGCGTATAACGGATTTAATAAAATTCTTTACACACATATATATATATATATATATATATATATATATATATATATATATATGAATATAAAACACTGTACTTTTGAAATTGATCTCATACCATTGATCTTAAATATTATTAGATATAAATTATACGGGAAATGTGTAACACAAGAATGCTTTATACACTGAGAGAATCTTTTTGCGAAGAAATTGTTCTTTTTACGAAATGATCGAGAATGTTTCATAGTAATAACAAGGAAAAGAGGTAGCAATGGTTATCTAGTGTGGTTATCTAGTGTGTCAAGATGCTGTCACATTAAAAACAAGCATTAGAGAGCGGAATTTGGAATTTTTTTTTTTCAACTCCATATCTTTAAAACATAGACAATTAAAATTACTAACAATATAATTACCTGAGAATTTGTCGCATTTTTTAATATTTTTATAAAAAAACAAATATATAGAAAATTGACGTAAAATAAATTATAAGATTTTTACCTTATTTTAATGGAAATGATGTAATTTGTACTATTGCATTTATAGTCTTATTACATCAAATCTTCATTTTATATTGGCTTATAGGATTCAGTATGATCTCGACCTTTGACCTTTGACCTATTTGACGTCCAGAAATTTCATTATAAAGCGATATGCTGTTTTTATTTTTCAGTTCTCTTCATTCGATGTGCTGTTCTTCTCGATGTCGTTTTTTTGCAATGTCATGGCCAAACGAATGGGTATCGGATTCGCGGTCCAACGAGGAAGAGTAGTTACGTACTCGTAAAGGCTTTGGCCAGGGCACTCCGTGTTCCGCGCCTGTCGATGACCAAGCACATTGTACTTATCGCTTATTTTACCAAGTGAAATCCCGCAAGCTATCAGCTCGTTTAGCGTCTTCAAGGCGGCCAGATTCGGGAGAAAGTCTGCGAAATCATTTTTATATGTGCGTCAAATTAAATTTTTATCAACGCAAATGCGTTCTTTATGAAATAATATTTCATACTTGATTTTATACAGAAAAGATTATTCTGGTAAAATTATTTTGAAAACATTTTGACAATTATTTTGAAAACGTATCTAAATAATTTATCCTTGATCCATATAATGTAATAATTTTTTAATTTAATTGTTTTTTACGAGAGAAACTTGAATTATAATGATCGATTTATTTTTTCTGATAATCATTAATATTTTCTCGATGAAAAATTATTATTCTATGCTCGATAATTCTACAAACTCAATAATATTACAGCAATGTATTAAATACCGCTGAAGTCTCCTAAGATGCATATGCCGATGCTCTGGGTATTATAGCCAGGTGCATGGGCGCCCACATAATCCCAACCACGTCCCTCGTAAGCGTTGCCATCTTCACCAATGAGGAAATTATAGCCGATATCCCACCAGCCTCGATCGTCCATGTGAAGGTCCTGGTAAGATCTAACGATCGCAGAGCATGTCTCCTGGTCACGACAGTATTTAGATATACCGCCATGATGGATCACCACATACGGCGTCGGTGTAACCGACAGAATTTGAAAATCGAGGCGCTTCCTGGCCTTCCATTCGCTTCGGCTGACGATTCTCGGACACTCTGAATAGCCAAAAATAATCCATCATTCTCAATAATATATTCCCAAGTTTACTCAGAGATTAAATGTGTTTAAAAGAGTGATATCAGAAAATTTACGTGTAAATTGATATGCAATTTATAAATTTCTGCTAATAAGTGACAAAGAATTACTTCGCGCTAATCTCAAAAAAGTGCCTTCATGAAATATATAATAATACATTGCAGATCTCAATGTTTCAATTGAAACTTATGAGTCAGTTAACAAGTTAGTAAACACATTTTCAACAATTAGTTGCGCAATTGCAAATGTACTTCCACATCGCACAGAATATTGTTCATAAAGATACAACGTTAGATTGCCGACTTGCGGATCCTCCACTCATAAAATAATTTTGGCTCAAGCACTTTGCATTCCTGCAAGTGTGGAAACTTTTGCAGGAAGCATACGGACATAAGCAATTATCGAACTGCGCTTGTCACGAGGAATGCGTGTAATTGCTCGCTATTATGCCTCGCACGTTTTACCTCAAACTGTATTACTTTTTCTCGATATGCTTGATTAACTTGTTGACATGATGTGGATAATTTACAATAGAACATATTTTTACAAAAATATAAATTTATTAATAAAAATAAAAGATAATAAGAATATATTTTTTAGTTCGCGCATAAAAATATACGATTTTCTGTTAACATAGAAATTGTTTTCGAATTTTCGAGCATAATCGATTATTATGTTATTAATATTTACGAAATCGTATAAATTTATTACGTCTCATGTTAGCGTTATATTTAAATCACCGATTTATCTTAATTTTGTTTAAATCGCCATAATGAAAGATTAAAAAGTTGGACACGCTAGTCTTGAGATCAGTTGAACAATTGCAAATGTAGATACAAAAAGTTGCGAATCTGTGACATCACACATTTGTTATATCTCTCGTATTTAAATACGGAATTTAAATATGTATTTATTTTGGCGACTAAATATTTTGTATGCGAATGATTCATAGTTAACGTGCGCACTAATGAGTATTCCAAAGATCACAAATCTCTTTGAACTCGCCAATGACAGAATAAGAATTTGGCACGGATGTTTAGTGATTTGTAGCATTTTATAATATTATTTTATATATTATTATATAACTTATAATATAATAACTTATATAATAACTTATTATATATTAATTATACTTATTATTATATAATAACTTATTATATACTTATTATATACTTATTAGTAGTTATACTTATTATATACTTATTACTAGTTATTATTTCTTATATAATAAGTTATTACATTATATAAAAAATGCAAGTACAGTAGATTCATTATCAAACCGAAAGAAATGTAAAATAATAAGATGTTGACATTTATATTTGCGAATGAAAAACGCACAATTGGAACTATTAATATTACTGAATACTTAAAAAGCAAATATCAAGAGTAACAATATTAAAAAGCTTTTACAATCGAGATAATTTACTGAAAATAAAGTAAAGTTCGTATGCATATCATATCATTTCTCGTAAATCATGGTCTTTCACAGATAATTACTATCAATAATAGTGACGCAGTTTTATTCAATGAAGAAAACAATTTAGAAAATTTGCTGTATCTTTCTATGTAAAATATTCGATTTTTCGAGTGACTTACCGATTGCATTCACGAAATTCATGCTGTCAATGTCAATGGCAGGTATAGGAAGGATTTTGTGTTCGAGCACCAAGATGTATAGTACGAATGATCCGACAAGGTAGGAGGATGACTTCATGATAATTGACACCGTTACAGCGCGTGTCAAACGTGAAACTGGGTAGGCATCGTATAACTGCGTCCGCTTTTAAACAAAAAACTGAACGGCAGCCGGGAAGTCCCTCGGACAAATCGTTGAATCAATCCGTTTCGTAGTCCCTTAACTCCATGTCCCCTCTTCAAATGCGTTCATCGCAACAACTGACGATGACTACGACAGAGATGAAAATTTTTATCTGATTACAATTGAAATGCAAAAGGGTGCGGAATCGTTCGATAAAAAAATCAAACGCGTGATAAGGTGTAGCGAGATTGATAAGATCACTGAAATAAATAACATAACATGATAATAAATTATATTTGACTGTGAAAATGATTATGTTAGAAAAAATATAAGCATACTTAAAAGAAGAGTTTATATATATTAATAATATTAATTATAAGAGTTTATATATATATATATATATATATATATATATATATTTACAAAATAAATACATGATTAACATATTTGTTACGAATTTTTATATCTTAAAATAAATGGAAAATAATAAAGAGAAATATAAATATAAAATAAGAAGAAATAATTTGTTATCTAAAAATAACAAAGTAGTTTTTTACTTATCTTAGATTTGTGCCTGTAATTATTCGCATGTTAAACGCATTAATTTCACATTTATCATTTGTATGCCATAATGAGAGAAAAGAAAATTACAAGAAAGTTTCAATTCAATCTATCTTATTAATTATGTGTTTTTCTATTAGTAATATTTATTACGTCGTTTTCCAGGTGAATTATTACATTTGATTCACACGCCTTATCAAGTTAGAACAGATATTTCTGATAAACGATAGTATCTAAGAATTACATAAAATCAATGATGACAATAATTACACATAAAATTATATTTATCACAAATTAGTCTTTCATTAATTTTCTTGTCGCTTCGATAAGCTATTGAAAAATTTCTGATGAATTTTTAATAATGTTTAATAAGAGCGAAATTTACTAAGATAATTACATTTTATTTTTAAATAAATGTTATGTGAATAATATTGATTAATAATTACTTTTATATGACATGTACGCGTTTGCTGTGCGTATATGTTGATTTAAGATACAATAAATAATAATATGCATGTCTCCTGAAGAGAGGATACATTGAACAGTACAATTCGTATTTATATATATAAAATTTTACGTATTTTTTATAAAAATATATAACTCGAAATTATTAAAAGCAAAAATAAAAATATTATAATAACGAATAAATAAATATATCGCGTTTCTCTATTGATGCATGATAGCTATTCCATTAAACTATATGACAAAGCAAAATTATGAATTAAAAATTGCAAAATTCTTTGTTCTCTTTCTGTGTTTAGAATAATAAAAGTCAATAAATAACGAGGATGAATGTGAATTAATACTCGCGTTTTGCAGAAATTCCAAGATAAGGGCTCATTCAAAATCGCTGAGTAGCGACAAACACTTTTATTTGCTCATCATAGTGCGCTGTCATAATTAATCGACTAATTATTTCCTGTAATCTGTCATCATTGGCGTATCTTTTATGCCATGATGGGCTGCTTCCATCAAAATAGCGATTCTGCTTCCTACATCAATAATTCCCATCACGTATAAATCTGTTAAATTTTAATATTCATTATTACAGAGCTCACATAAGGATTTACGAATGCACAAAACATACGTATGATTTTGATGATAATTATCCCGGAAATGGCCATAAGGTGATTACGCGAAATACAATAATGACTGAAGAAAAAAGAGGGAAAGAAAAAAACGGAGTAGAAATAATCGTTTTAAATAAATGTGATAAAATCGCCAGTCATTAACGTAGGCGCGGACAATGGCAGTGCTGTCATAATCAATGAAAAGTAACGAACGATTTAAAGAACTGTGAAAACTTACAATTGCCATTAACTGATTACTGGAAATCAATTATGAAAAATTTATTTTTTGTGATTAATTGTAATAACTGCTTGAACGATAAGATATAATATCGATTAATGAAATAAACGTTAGCAAGTCGCAATATACGTATTAAGCCTTTTAAAAACGGTGAATATAAATATAATTTTTATTCTTACTCTAAAAATGAATAAAACCGATAGTTTGAATAGAATAAATTGGAATGTTACTTAATTTAATACAAATGGAACAAAATTGAAAAATTTATTATTTTTCCTCGTAATTATAAATTATAAGCAACAAAATTATTGTGGAAATTAATATTATAAGAAATGATTGAATCAACAAAAAGTTCTGCGATTAATAATAGTTATTATTTGGAAACTTATCAGATTATATACATATATAAAATAATGATAAGCGCGCTATTCTAAAAAATTATGAATAAAATCCACTATGTTACAAAAAAATAATGGAAAATAATAGGTTACTCGTGTGATGATTTAACACAATAAGTCGACCTTGAATGCATTATTGTGCAAATGTATTATTATCGCAACAGAATAAATTTCTGTTGATCAATAAAAGATAAACACAAATTCAATGTAAACAATAATTGATAATTAGAAAATTTCCGCCAGTCTTCTATTTAAGATTAAACTTTTTTTAATTTAAAAATATTACATTATATACTATATAATATTACATTTGATTACTTAATTAATTTGATAATTAATTTAATATTTGATATTAGTCGCAATACTCACTTTTTTGTAATAGAACAATATCTATATATTCTCAAATTTGTTGTTTCTTATAGGAGAAAGAGAGACAGAGAGAGAAAAAAGAACTAGGAGAAAGAAAGAGATAGAATTCTGCACTATTGTGCAATTTCTAAAATTACATAATATTCCTCCTGCAATTTGTGGATGCCAGTAATTGTACAACTGTCTACTAGATGTCAGGATTTTCAAGCAAATTTAAATTTAAAAAGTTTAATAGGTTACTAGTTTATCATCGGTATAAACCAGATATCCTAAATCGATATGTTACCCTTTGAAAACATTCGTGGACTTTGGCTTTGTAATACATGTCCACGTTTTTAATGTCCACAAAGGGAGTATCGCTTTCAGAGTAATTTGGTACGATTAAAAATTTTGTCGCGCGATGTATATATTTAATATATATATACTTTGTCCGACACTCCCGGTTTCGGTACGAGCGAAAATCCCATTTCATTTCGCGAGAATCAATTTCGAGCCAACAGGTGGAGAATGCAACGATACAACGAGCAAAGATTAGGCCCGAACCGGAAAGAAGACGAAACGATTGACGGAATAGAGGAAAATAAAGTTCACCAGCTCTTTTTCGCGCATAATTATCCTATCTCGTATCGAACCTGGACCCTCTAAGCACGATTTCAAGTGACCCGCACGGATGCTATATCACTAGCGCAGTACACAAGGCTGATAGACGGTAAAAGAAGAGGATACCCACATTTTTTAAAAGCTAACATTCAGCAATTTAGAAAATGGGGAGGCAACCCCTTTTACCGAGCGAAAATCGCGCCTAGGGGAATCCACTCGACTCCTCGACAGGGTTAACACACGCTAGGCGTGTGGCTGTAGAGTAGACGAGCAAAGAGAAGGGACCCATTGACGACCATTTCGAACAATCGATCGAGTTCTAACCGATTCGGGCCAAATCAATTGACGAAGCAGAGCGTGTTCATCACTAAGCCGATCGAGTGCGAAGCTCGAACCCGCGCGCCCATGTACATTTTGTACTGGACATACGTTCTGCGCGGCCGGCATCACCAAGTGCCACGTTGCACAAGGCGCGAATACGTCGCAAAGCAACGACTCGATGAAACATCCCAGTTAGTTGGCGTCGGAAGGAGAGACTCGTTGACAAAAACGAAATTGGGATTTTGAAAACGCGAAAACGCGATAACGCGAAAACGCGGTTACGAAGCGCAGCCGTCCGCGGCACGTTAACGGCACCGACGACGTGAAAGGGTACTTAGCTTCCCTTTCAAGCACTTTAAGATTTCTCATAAATAAAAAAATTTAAGATAAATCTCAAGACACCATCCAAGAACTAAGCCCTCTCACCGCGACAAGGTGTACCCCATGGGAGGGTTATATTATATATAATTTTATATATAATATAATATATACAATTGCAGCATTTATTTTGCAATATAGTATATAAATTTAAATTTGCATAACAAGACCGTAAAACAAAATCATTAGCACGGTATTGTTTATGTCGGATATTATGTTATTCATTGTTGAAATTCATTATTAAAATATAATATAATTTGAAATGTAATACAACATAATTTAACAATTTTTTTTTTTTTTTTTTACGTGGGGAAAATGCTCCTTATGCACACCCCGACGGGACCGCTATTTAGCTATTTAGCGGTCCCGTCGGGGTAGTGTTGGGCTCTCCCCGCCGCCATTTTAACGGCAGGGACTACCAACTAAAAACCCCACGCGCCTTTCCTTAGTCTTCCAACGCGCAAGTCCCCGGAACCATGTGCATAAGGAGCATTATATGGAGTAACCCTAACAAACTACTATCCTATTATATGTTCATAATATTCATATTCAATATTATATACATTCAATATATATTCACAAATATCTGAAAAAAATAATTTTCTTAATATCTTCGATATTAAACTTTAATAATATAAGCTGTTTAGATAAATTTATATAAATAAAATTAATGAAATACAATTAATGAAATTATATATATCTCAAAATATATATAAATATATAAATTTTATAAAAATTATTATTTAAATTAAAATTTTAAATACATAAATACACAAACATCTATATATAAGAAAATAAACATATAAATTTTATATAAAAATTATTATTTAAACTAAAACCTTACATGTATATATAAATATATAAATATATAAATTTTGTAAAAATTATTATTTAAATTAAAACCATAAATATATAAATAAATGAATATATAAATTTTCGAAAAGTTATTATTTATAAATATTATTTAAATCAAAATTTTTTTTGGAATTTTAATAATAAATCTTTTTCTATAAATTCTATTCATTTTTTAATATCTACTCATTCTTAATTCTATTTTAAATCTTTCAATTTCTATATTTAAAAATAACTTATAAATTCATAAATATATGAAATTTATTATTCATATTACTAAAAAATAGCTTAATATATAAATTTATATTTTAAATTTTTCATATAAAATTTCGTATT